AAGTACATAGTCGAACCGCGCGTGGACCCGCCGGACGTTAAATAGCAATCAATCAATCAATCACTCTTTCCTTTAGTCCAGTGTTCCATTCCTCATTCTTCGGATCGGCTTCTCTGGAATCCTCTTTGCTAACTTTGTCCGTCAAGATGTTGTTTGAAGAATTTCCGGTCGAACTCATCCAGTCGGTCCTTGGCTTCATGGACTCGAGGTCTTTGCTGTCGACCATGATGACATGCAAAAAGCTGCGTTCCCTCGGAGAACCTATCCTGTACTCTCACGTGGTTTTTTCATATAAGCTGTTCAAGGCTTTGGGCAAACGATCGCATCTATTCAGCTTGGTCAGACATTTTGAATCTCCGGAGGAACTCTACGGTTGGGAAGAAGATTTTGAGTCAGTACAAGACGTCGAAGAAGTAAAACAAATTGTTCGCATAATGGCCGTCGACACCAAAGTGGACCGTAATATGGACCCGATATATTTTCGTGGAGAGGACCATAATGATGCTCTGTTTTTCTTTCTGACTACTAAGTTCCCCAACCTGAAATCTCTCCAAGTCAATGGAGACTATTATCATTCGGCCTATCTGGTACCTTTTTTCGCAAACATCGCAATGAAATTCCCTATTGAGCGTAGGCTTTGTAAGCTCAAGAGACTTGAACTTGCCAGCGAGCCGGAATCGGACCACCGTCATAATGGACCGTCACCTTACATCTTCCATCTACCACAGCTCGAGTCCCTTTCTTTCTTTTCACCACTCGGTGTGGTGCGAAGATGGCCAGAACAATGTCTACGGCTTGATCATCTCCGGGAGCTCCAAATGACAAACCTGAGGCATGACATTGAAAGTTTGCGGGCAGTTATAACCGCTGCACCGAATCTTCTGGACCTCGAGGCTTTTATTCAACCGGAACGTGGCTGGATGGGCGAGAAGCCATTCGACTGCACGGTTCTGGGTGACGCCCTGCGGCAATGTCGAAGGCTTCGACGACTTGTCATCAAAGCCCCTAAGAAATACCGCATACAAAGCGACGAACATGAGATTCGGATGCAAGGAAGCATTGGATCCCTCACTTCACTCTCAGAATTGCAGTATCTGGTCATCTCGTTAGACGCGTTTCTGGGATGTCTGAAACCTCCTGAAAACCTCTGTTTCCCTGCCACCGACTACCTGCCGCCGAACCTTCACACGTTGATGTTTTACGTCGACATGGGCACTGTCGACCCTGGAGAGTGGACACCTATGGACGTATATGAGACGTCTGTAGTGTGTACCCGTCGGGAACGCCCTCCATTTCCAAAGCTTCAGCATTATGGGATTGAAGGGTACGGCCAGTGGGCTGAGAAAGAAGAAGAGTTGGTAGGAAGTCTGTGCAAATTGGCTGGCCTATCCTACGATGTCGATTTGCCTTGGCATTCCTTAAACCATCTTGTTTTTGGGGATGAAGATTGAGATTAGCGTCGTCCAAGCATACGATCTTGAAAGGTTCTTTCGACAAACATGTCAAACCCAGATCAGCTTATCTCATTCATCGACAACTTTTATTCATCACTTCGTCTCTGTGCTGTTTTCTGTTTTCCAACTCGGACCAGCACTTGCTACAAGAACCGACACAAGGCCTACATCCCGAAGTAGTCAACGTTTGCGCCTATTTATTGATGCTTTCCTTGCTTATCCACTCGACTGCCAACTCCATTATTCGAATGCTTCAATCCACAAGTTCAAATTCCCAACACTCTTTCTTGTGTTCTGGGCACCCCTGTATAACGCCTTGATAATTGATAAAAAATCAAACATTAATTAAGCACGAAGAGTTTGAGGCAGCAACTGTGTTGTCGAAAATGCGCGTGATGCATTCGCAGAACGCTGGACCAACGACGAGCTAGCTGGTGTTTCTGACATGCGAGATGAGCAGCGGCGAGGCTTTCGGAGGTTCATCGCTTTTGTGTTGCGCAGTCTGCCGGAATGCCTTCGTCGGGCCCACAAGTGCACATGCGCAAACTGCGTTCAGGAGAGCGAAACGGACCAAAGACGACGAATCTCCGGGTGGTAGAATCAGGCCGCGCAGAGGAGATAAAACCCCAATGAAACATTGAAGCTGTACGCAATATTGCTTATATTCAGTAGGTGGACACTTGCCTCCTAGTGTATATTTGTGACTTCTGGAGATCTTTGTTTAAAGAATGGGAGGCAATGGACATAGACTTCTGCAGTTCGGCTGCCTGGAAGCAGCACTATCCGAGCTAACGTTCGACGTCAGCGCCGCCGAAAAGGGTAAAAGGCTTGTGATTTGGTAATTGACTGAGGTACTGCGAGCGTCGAATGAATGATTTGAGTTTATATTATTTGGTCGATCAAGGTATTTTGATACCGACTACTCTGTTCCAGCCTAATAAGCTAGCTGATCAACACTCACACCAGATCTTAGTATGACAGAACTCGTTGCTTCACAAGACGAAGCGGTATCTTCTGCGCTGCATGATAATCAGTTTAAGGCATAAGATCCGATTGCAAGCCTTAAGATTCATGGTGACGGCGACTCAAGCGACCCCAGTAACTTTGTCAGCAGCGATCCTGGCGCTTTCACTTCAACATGACCAATAACAACGCAACAACATTTTCAATCGAAGTATGTCTCTTCAAAGCACAGCTACCATGTTTGGTCGCATGTATCTATGGGCTGCCATGGCTGATACCCTGCGTTGGAGTTGTTGCCGCTAAGGAAATTTTGTGAATTTATTATTGGACACTAAAGCTGACTACAGCGACGATCACCTACTACGGGAGTTTTTAAGGCCAGGGTGACCTGTAACCGGATACGGCAAGACCACGATTACCAATTATCGGATTCGTTGAAACCTCAGGTCATCCCTCAAATAAACATTCGCGGGTTGAATTATTATTAGCGAAGATTGAATGCATGCTAGTGCTGATTTTGGTTCTCATTTTGTTTCCAGTTTTGACTTACACATTGCGCACGGATGAGAGCGTGAAGTTTCTGGGCACAAAGCAGTGCCAAAGCAAAGAAATTCTTGGTGACTAGCAAGACAAACATAGATTATAAGACTCGTGCTTCCGGCTTCTCCATAACACTACTCTCCAACTTGTAGGAAGAGCGGTATGCAAGCAGAAATATTCAGTCACTGCAGACCATGACTAAACGCCATGTTATAACAATCATTTTCTAGATCCGGCAGTAGGCTGATCAGAGCTAAGCATTCCTATCAGAATATTCGCCACCGCCGCCTATATCTGACGTGATCATGCACCACTACCATTAACGTGCAACTCTTGATAAGCATAATGGCAAGTTATTATCAGTTACAACCTACCCAATTATCTGAAAAAACGTAGTCCCAACATTATACACTTTGTCGTTTATGAAGTTTAAATTCTTATCCTTCCTGTTTGGGAGACAGCTCTCTAGCATAAGCATCAGCATCCAAGACGGTGTTCAACGCTTAGTCCGGTCCGTACGGAGCGTGATATCCATTCAAACTCACCACAAACAAACATGCGGTGAATAATTTGGTAGAAACATTGAGCACGCGGTCGCAAATCTTCTACGACTAACATCGTCGTATATACATGTAATCCGTAGACGTCACAAGACGATCAAGCTGTCTTTTCACCTATTTCCTAAAACAATCAGCTCCGTCACTCCATTTTTCATCACAAGCTAACATGGAGTGCAGTGACGGCAGGTATAAAGTGCACGCAACGTCCGCCGAACAGAGCACCATCATCATCACCAACTCACTTGTCTCAAACACCAACACCGCATCAAATCAAATTAAAACGCCACAACAATGAAGGCCGCTACCTCCACCATCGTCTTCGCTTTCGCCATCCTCCTTGCTCCATTCGTTGGAGCTGCGCCGGCACCAGCCGAGAATGTTCAAGCTGTTGCGTGCACTTCAGACAACTACAGAGATGTCTGCCCGCCATGCAATGACGCGTAAGCCGCACTTGCACAAAGCGAGATATGTTGAAGCTGATGGTGGTTCTATTAGTGGAAGCAAGGGCTGCTTCAACGGCCAGTGCATTGAGAACTGCAATCTTTAGTTCTGGGGTTGATACGGGTGCCGAGAGTTTCGATAGGGAGGAGGGAATAGGTATGGGTAGGCTTGGGTAGCAGAAGGGATGCACATTCGTTTAGTTATGGAAGTTTAGGCCGAGAGTGTGCTCGTAGGTATAAACGAGCTATACGTTTCTTAAATTGTTCCGAACTTTGAAATACGCGACCTATAAAGCCAATGCTTTATTAACTGTCTTCTTGCTTATCTGACTTCCACGAAAACCGCCCAAAACACTTTCCCGATCTCAACCTATACGAAGAACATGCCAAGCAAACTAAACAAGTGTTTCCCTGCATACCTATATAAGTACAAAGCGTACTTACCAGACAAAGCCCAAGCCCACTCTTACTTCTCCCTCTTCGGCAACGGAATCACATAACCCTGCAACTGCTCCCTCGTCCTCTCTCCTAGATTATGATGCCTATTCTCCTCCCAAACATCTCCGCCCTCGCCAAATTGATTCGACAGACGCCCGAGGAAGAAGTCGAGATTCCGATCCGCCTCCGGGAATGCATTCTTAAAAGTGTCATAAACCTCCTTGACACTAAGCTTCCTCTCCGCCAGCGTGATTCTCTCCTGGAAAAGCTTTAGGTACTTTCGGTTATGCTCAAGATCTTTCTCCGCATCCAACTCCCAGCCCTCCTCCACATGTCCGGGAACAATCCTCTCAGGCTTCAGCGCTTCAATCAGATCCAGCGTTCGCAACCACGCCTCGTAGATCTCAGGCGTCTCGATTTCCTCCGCCCTGGTAATTTTCAATATCAAACTCACACAAAGAACAATGGACAAAGGAAAAAGGACAAATAACTTACCACAAATGCGTACTCCTTGCATACATCACATCACCCGTGATCAGCACCCGCTCCGCCGGCAGCCAGAACATCGTATGATCAACGCTGTCGCCCTGCACCGGTCCCAGCAGCGTCACGATGCTCCCATCCAGCATGAAGAAGCTGAACGTGTACGGCTCGGGTTTGCGCGGCCTTGGGGCAACGAGCTCGGCCGGCATTACCGAGGACCAGTACTTTGTCTTGTCTTCATACTCGCGCTCAATGCCTGCACAGACGTAAGGCGCGGCGTAGAATTTTGCAGACGGGAAAGCGGCTAAGACTGCGTCCACAGAGAAATAGTGGTCGGGGTGATGATGAGTGCTGAAGATTGCGACGAGGGGGTTTGCAGTCGTGGTTTTGATCCAGGAAACAAGGGACTGCGCATCAGGGAGTAGGAAGGGCGGGTCGATTAAAATGGCGTGTTTAGAGCCAATGATGAGAGTGGAGATGCTGGAGAGACCCTTCTCGGAGGAGCGAAGGTATTCGGTGCGGAGAGAAGGCATTGTTTCGGTATTGTGTCTTGAAGAGGAACACAGAGAAGAGTAATTGTTTGTGTATGTACAAAGTTCTTGTAGTTAAAATTGTAGAGCAGCGGAATCTTCCCGCCGATCTATCAGTGGATTATGAATTTATGAAAGGCATCCCGTAATGTGCGGATGCTTTGCGGCTTTTCCTGCTTGGGCTAATCTCCGCGACGATCCGCTTATCCCCGTTCCACCCCGCTTCCATTTCGTCGGGATACCCGGAATGCTCGGTCCGAGGTTAGCTCCTCGAGTTGTCAACTAGAAAACATGTACGGAGTAGAAAATGGCTATATAAACGTCTTTGCAGGGTATAGGCACGTCGGATTGGAATTCGGCGTCTGTGCCGGGGCTTCTAAGTCGTAATTCGTTGCCTCTACAAGTACGAAAACCTATGCTGTTTGCGGTATCGAAATTCTTACTCCACAGCGGCCCCATTTCCAATTCGACGTCCATACACCCTGTACGAAGGGAAAGTTGAACGGTCTATGAAAATATTGCAATCACATGTGCTTTTATTCCATCCCATCTGATCCAAAACAAGCTGCATCAAGTCAGGGCATAAGCCGAAATTCCGGTGCATAAAACCTATGACATCGTGCAAGTATTACGTAATACTCTGAGATAAATATATATAATGCGGGTTTGGCAGCACTCACTCTCACTCTCCAAACACCCTAACTTCCACCGTCAAAAATGCTCTTCTACGACGCTGCCGGTCCTAATCCATATGTCGTCCGCCTCTTCACCCTTGAGCGCGGCGGCCTCGCCTTCGACACTCGCACCATAGACTTCAGCACCCTCGAGAACCGCAAGCCACCGTACCGCACGACCATCAACCCGCGTGGTGAATGCCCCGCCCTCCAAATCAACGATTCCTTCGTCCTCACCGAAATTACCGCCATCTGCGAATACCTCGACGAGGTTGCAAAAGGCGGAACATCCTTGTTTGGAAGCAACGCCCTTGATCGCGCAGAGACGCGCATGTGGCTCCGACGTGCAGACCTCGAGATCGCCGAGCCGCTCATCGCCTATTTCAGGAACGATCCCGAGCTTTGCGTGGACTTTTACAAAGGGTGGCGGACACCGGTTCCTGAGGCGAGGCTGGGGCAGAAAGTTGCCATTAATCAGGCACTGAATCGGCTGGATGAGGAGTTGGAGGGCAAGACGTGGCTTTGTGGAGACAGGTTCTCGGCTGCTGATATCCTGCTCTATGGATTGACGGCACAGTTGATCGAAGTGGTTACCCCATGGGTGTTGGCGCCTGGGAGGAAGAATGTGGTGCAGTATTTTAAGAGGATGGAGGAGAGAGAGAAGAGCAAGTTGGCGAAGGAGTTGTTTAAGGGGGCTGTAGTGGTTTGAAGGGTAATTGGAGGACTACAGTTACGATGGCTTTCGCTTTCAAAAAATTCTTTAGTTTTCCGCACTTCTATAAACACGTAAAGGCATCAAAAACTTACAAGAATAAGAGATTGTCAGCCAGGATCACTCCGATAACTCTCGTTTTTTCAACCTTATTACAGTCAGTTATTACACTACAGCCTTACCCCTTACACCACACATTTATCCACTGCAAGGGAATAAGGATCTTAAAGAGAAAACGTATTCTTTTAGATAGCAGCATATATACCTTCATAGGTAGTAGTAATTTAGGGGGATAAGCGGCGTCTAATTCCTTGCGCCTAGCTTCATAGAGATTGTCAATTCATTTCAGTTAAATGTTATAGAACAAAGCTTTAGAGTAGGATTTAGCATCGTATACGTCTGTACGTATAATAGTGCACATGCCTATTAACCCTGGCACGAGCATGTAGGCAAGGACTTGGGAGGAGAAATGAAAAAGAGTCTCCGGGTTGCATTTCTGCGGAAAGTTGGACATGGAAGTCGCCATGAATTTCCCGTAAAACATCCCGCTTTTTTATGTGGTGTGTAATATCCGCTACCGCGAACCGAGATCTACCGTCTAGCGAGATAGCGAACGATATAAGTAGTCCGTCTAGAATACTCCTTGTCTAGCTGCAAGTTAAAGCCTTAAATATAGGTTAAAAGGTCTTAGAGTATATAGGCTCTATATTTTTAATTATGTCTCTTCTCCTTTTCCGTATAAGTCTTACTATGTCGCTTTATGGTGAATCTCGTCTCACGATGACGGACGTTATTTCCACCGCCTCATAAAAGCAGCGTTCAAAATGCTTGCTGTTTCATTTGCCTCTGAAGAAATTATTGTAATATAATTGCAGCTATGAGAATAGCCTGCGAAATCTCATTGGACAAACAATTTAAAACGCCGCACCGCTACCGAAAATCCTCCATAAATCCATAAGCACATCCTCATCGAACAACCCAAGTCCTCGTTCCGCGCCTACATATCCCCCAAGCTTACTTCTTGACAGGGCACTCAACATCTCCGCCAATGTTGAAGATGTTGTCATTCTTGGTGCCGCAGAACGCGCCGTCGCCGCCTCCACGGCCAATGCACTGCAATCTTCATCAGTGATCGATACTTAACACCATCACAGCGTTAGGCTGTGAGGGCTGGACACAAGAAAAACGTACCGAGGTGCTATGCTTGCACCCGTAGTTAACCCCGCCGATCTTGCAGCTGGAGCCGTTACATTTCTGTTCAAGAGTGTCAGTATCGCAGACTTGAGCTTGAAAATCGAAACACATTGCTATCTTGAATAGGGGACGCCTACGCCGCAGTACCAGTAGTCGCCCGGGCATCCCAGATGCGCTTGGACGGCGGTGCCGGTGAGAAGGGTAAGGGCGACGGCGATGTTTGTGAGCTGCATTTTGTGGTTGTGGTGGTAGTTATGATGCTGGTTGTGATTGTTTGAAGTTGATCTGCGTGAGATGATGCTGTGTTTGTAGGAAAAAAGTTTCGCTGGAAGGATAGGCGGTATATATACCATTGAGTGCGACGAGTATAAGCGCTAGGTATTAAGTGGTCGCCTAGAAGTAATACCGAAGTATTTGAACGTGATGAATAGTGTAACTGAAGGATTGAGAATGCTTACTTCCGTGTGATTCCAGGAAAAGATTGGAGGAAAGGTCTCCCAAAACCGACTTAGATGCAGAAGTTAGCAAAGATATTATATGGATAGAAATGCTTTTAGATGCATAGCACATAATGTCTCTTGAGACGACGGAGTTGACAAAAGAGGTATATTAGAGCTGTGCGCCACGGCTTCTCCAGCTATACCGCTTCTCAAAATCCAGTGTCCTCCGCATGCCTGGTAGTTGGCTCTAGTTTTACAGCCTTGTGGTTTTCGAACATCATAAACAGTAAGCCCAACAAAGTCCCTCTCTATTTCCTCGAATCACTTTATCTCTAGCGACTACACTTTGGTATGCTTTGCACTCTCAGCAGCCTCAGCCGCACCCATGTGGCCGTCCTGTACTACCTACAACAACAGCATCTGACAACTTAGCTATGCTACACGAAAGTGTATTTTCCAACGTCCTTCGGAGCTGAAATTTCAACCAAGATACCTAGTTGGTCCGTCACGGCGGTGCAGTGGCGCGGCTTACGTGAGTGACGTCACGTGTGGCACAAAACGTGGAGCGTGTGACACTAGCAACAAGGACAATGCGGAGTGCATGGGTGAGCATTTAGTTTGGTATGTAGATGATGGTTTGAATTTGACAGCCGAAAGGAAGGTCGGGTTGTTAGATTTTGGAAAATTTTCGTCAGTGGGTTGAACGGAGTGGGCTAGGACCTGGATTTGGCCACTGTTTTGGATTAAAACTCCCTCTTCCTTTCTCTTCACTTCGAAATCTACGATAAGGTACTGATGGTCGCTGCTGTTCGCGAACCTGGATGTAATGCACGGAACATAGGACAGCGCTCCGGGTTGTTGTCGCGTGATAAGCTGGCCGCAGGCTTATGTAGTCGCAGCTCTCGTCAGCAAACGTCGGCAACCATGCCAGACGGTCAATTTCCCTGGAAACATAAATCAAAATATCCGCAGTAAAGGTCATAAGCCAAGATAAAGGCTGAGCTATTAAGCCACCCTTTTATTTTGGCGTCCGAAGGTGCAGACTTCCCAGCCACATACCACCGCTTGGTACAACTTGCACTTGTCTTTATTAAGGCCACGTCTTTTCGCACAAACCAGAAAAGTATTTATGACCATTACAATCATTCCCTGAACATCATACAAAGTTCCCAATACACAAAAGCCACCTAACAAGCCTCTACCTTCTACTTCCGGAAGCAGCAGACAAAGTTAACCTCGGCCAAGTCCTTGCGCGTCTGAACAATAAGTCCCATAACCTCCTCATTATCCGACCTGCAGCCGTCCTTGTATAAACTCTCTGGTAAGTTCTTTCCGAATGTGCCGGAAGGACTCTCCATCAAAACATCGAAGATTGTGCCTTCGGTGTTGTCGGCACCAGATTTCAAGGGCCGCACAACAATATCCGCGCCCTCCTCCAACTTCAGTTTACTGTAGGCGTCTCGTAGTTTGCTTTTGCCAGCTTCCGAGGGAAAGCCGGGGCTTTTCTTGGTACTGCCATTGCCGCATAAGTCTCCACGAGGAATCAACATGCTAGCGGGGTCGGTGTGCCCAGAGCTAGGAGGAATGGTACTGAGGTCCGGGACTGTGTAGGCAGGTGTTAGTTGCTAGTTTTGCAAGATTGTTTGTGCAATCGGTGGTTAGTTGAAAGCAGAGGTTTTCTTCTGGCTTTTTCACTTTTTAGATAAGGAAAAATAAATCTTACGATTGTCGCCAAGAACATTGGGAAGCAGCCCGCAGACGCCAGCAGCGATTGCAATGTTGGTGAAAGAAACGTGCATGGCAATGTCTTTGTCTGTGCAAATGCGACTTATTTGGTGTCAGTGAAAGAGGTGTTTGTCGTCTGAATGAAATCGTTGGAAGAGGTTGGTTGAAGGAACCTGATCATCTTGGCGAGTCGATCACGAACATATTTATATCTCTTCAGCGAAAGAACTATTCCGCAATACCGGGCCCGAGTGTTTCAGTTGGGGGCCTACTTAATGAGCTTTCAGGGATCTTTTTATTAGTCCGCCCTTCATTGAGTATAATTTCAACAAAGATATAGGGGAAAATAATGCGGCTTTTTGCACATGTATAAGAAACCCAGCTGGCAGAATCGGTGGCTTCTCCACTGTCAACGATCTTTGTGGAGAATTCGTACATTAACGGCGAAATGCGTTTGGAGATCACATCAAGAGCGCGGAGATCGCATAGCGGGAAACATTATGGAGAATGGTACGACGCACGGATATGGGGGCCGGGGCGGAACGAAGTTGATGTAGGGGCGAAAAGAGTACGTGTATGGGGGCGGAGCTTCTTGAGCCGTCGCGCCGGGTACGGCAGCATGACTGCTACGAATTTATCGCAAACCGCACTAGATTGGTGATGCATGGAAATGCCGAAGATCCCTCTCTGTTGACAACAATACGAGAGGCTCTTCTGGGATGATACTTAGTCATTTTTTACTTTAATGGGCATGATACTCTAAAGAAGATATAACGTCCTTGATGCATGAACGAACCTGATCGTTCAGCGAGCGCACCAATCAGAGCGCGTCTTTGTGCGGTGGTTGACCCTCTCGCTGACATCAAAACACGTAACTCTCCGCCAAATCTTTGCTTCTAGGGAGCCCAGCTGATTGGTGTGCTCGCTGAGGGATCGGGTTCGCTCATGCGTCCAGGACGTTACAACAAAAAGCTCAAATAATTGCCTTTAAAAACAACCCGTAAACTTTCTATACAAGGCGGGAAAGTTTTGTATCACCTGATAAGAACCTAGACGTGGAAATTGAGTGCCTGGTCAAACAGAACTCATCGCCATCTCCATCACTTTCAAAGTAATATATGTTATTTCCAAAGGCTATCTGACAAAACCCGCCTAGCATTCCCCTATCTTACTCGCGAATACAGCATGTAAACTTGACAAATTCTCCGGATATAGACGTATCCATAACCAACTTCGTAACCTTCTTATTTGCCGACACACACCCGTGGTCCTTCAGAGGGTCCGTAATACTGTCTCCAGTGTTCGGCTCGTCCATCAGCTTCTTGAAGATTGAGATTTCGTTCCCAGAACCACCAGCATTCTCAGGTCGTAGAGTAAGCTCCGTATCCACTTGTTGGCCCATCTCTCTTTATATATCTTGGAGCATGTCAACTCCACGCTCTACCGGAGTGTCGCTCGTTTTGTAGCTCTTGTCGTTGCCATATACTCCAGTTGCGCGCGGGAGCAACGCGGTGGCGGTTTTCATGCGGTGGACTGTCCAAATGTGTTAACCGGCTATACTTGCTGATGGTGTTGGTGCATGTGGTTATGCTGTTTGCACGCGCAGTTGGGAAAAGCAGGGGGTAGTTTTTGAGTTTGCACTCCTCGCCCCATTTGGAAAGAAATTCGGACTTACTCTCGTCTCCAAGGACACCAGAAACCAGCCCGAAGACACTAATGGCGGCCATAAGGTAGGTGGCAGAAACGTGCATGATGGTTGTGTAGAGAGATTCGAATTTTGTTTGTAGTCGAGAGGAGATGAGGCGATGTTTTCTGAGAGGTGTAGCCGAACTAAATGTGTCTTAGCAACTCTACGGTGTACACAGGCCTCCTTTACTTAAGTATTTATATATTTAGGTTCATTCCACAGCACCTCGTATAAATTTACTCCTGGGGTCATTATCTCCTGATATTTAATAGCCGCCCACTCGCATGACGATGATCTATATCGCTTTTGTCCTTTTACTGGGGTTGTACGTCCATTCATATTTGTGAAACGTCCAGTTGGCGTTAAAAAGGCATGGTATGAGATGGAAGGATTTGTGGTGTGGGGGCGGAAGGAGTAAGGCGATAAAGTAGGTTTTAGAGCGGAACAGATCATGGATGTGGAGACCGTGCAAACGCAGTTTCGTATAGGACAAGCAGAAAGACCCACTATTTCCACAGACGGTTGTTCCTTCTAAAACGATAACGGTGCGTTCGAAAGTGCTCAACTAAAAAGTGAAAAGTAGTATTCATTTCTCTGCCTATGTGCGGCGGCGACAGCACATCACATTAAGTTTCTGCCGTGCATTGTTAAGCTTATGGTAAACTTAAATCTTCCTTGCTAATCGTCTAGTTATCTAACGCTGTTGAGTTCATCTTGGAATGGACACGGACAGGAAACCACCATATTCACATCGAATGCACGGACATGGGGGCTAAACTAAAAAGTAGATCATGGGGCGAGATCACCGTGGGGGCTGGGTATGCTTGGGGGCTGAATAATGATAGGAGACATCTATAAATAAGACTTGCTAAAAAAAAGGTGTATACGAATCAGAGTGGAACCAGGCCGCTATAAAGCAAGGCCGCTGCCACGAAAGGTTGGACTTCCAAACAGTTCTTGCCATAGCAAAGAACAGTGACTCAGAAGCCTAGGCACAGACGCCGAATCCTCCATCAATCCGCCTACCTCTAAACGCCATAGATATAAAACTTTATAAATAGATCTCCCCGAGAGACTACACCGCCTATTGCGGGAACTCCTAAAATCCTTACAGAGTTTCGCGGGTTTACGGTTGAACAGGCTCTGCCACGGTTACCATGGGACATTGAATTTTTAACCACATGAAAGGTATCTGCGACAAGATTAGTTATGCCACTGATCTCAAGTATACAAATTATATAGTGGTTATTACGATCTAAAACTTAGAGACCTGCTCAAGAAATTCGAAACCCACACCTCTTCGGGTCGCCCCTAGGCAAAACCTAGCAAACACACGCCTATCCACACACCACTCCCATCCCCCACCCCCGCCGTAACACCGCCGCACGCACCATTCGGGCCGGAAACGAATCGATCCGAAACCCGTCCCGAGTCGATCTTGCTTAACAAATCCTGCTTAGAAATCCTTCACGCTATACGGGTACGGGGTACGTGGTGGGTAGAGCTTTTGTTTTCGGGGTCCAACATCCAACATCCTGTGGCTCCAATTTTGATAGGGTGGAAGGGGAAGTATAAAGGCTTTTGTCTCCGTGGAAGGGACGCATTTCAGCAGCTAAGCTTCGCTCCTTTGATCTTTTGCGCGCATACATACCAGCCTACGAACCAGCCTGGGAACCGGCCAATCTTTCAACCACTCCCCCAAAACACCCCACACGACACCACCCAGCCGCCACCATGACCGCCACCACGTCCACCACCACCAACTCCGCGCTCTTCACCCCCCTCCCCTTCGGCCCACACACCCTCTCGCACCGCCTCGTCCTCCCACCCCTAACCCGCCTACGCGCCTCGCGCACGCACGTCCCCCTCCCTTCCGTAGAAACCTACTACACCCAGCGCGCCAGCACGCCCGGCACGCTGCTCATCAGCGAAGCCGTCTTCATCTCTCCGCGCGCCTCCGGGTACGCGCACGCGCCCACGCTGGCGACCTCCGAAGCGCTCGCGGCCTGGAAAACCGTCACCGACGCCGTGCACGCGAACGGCTCGCGCATCTATGCGCAGCTGTGGGCGCTGGGGCGGACGGCTAACCCTGCCGTCCTTGCGCAGGAGGACGGGAATGTCGGCCTCGTGAGCTCCAGCGCTGTGCCCCTCGCGCCAGGGACGTTCATTCCCGCGTTCACGGGCCCGGAGGCCGGCACGCCGCGCGCGATGTCTGAGGACGAGATCCGTGGTTTCATTGCTGATTACGCGGATGCTGCGCGCGCGGCTGTGAGCGAGGCGGGCTTCGATGGCGTTGAGATTCACGGCGCCAGCGGGTATCTGGTCGATCAGTTCACGTCTACGACCGTGAACCAGCGCACTGATGCCTGGGGCGGGAGCGTGGAGAAGCGCGCACGGTTCGGCGTCGAGGTAGCGCGTGCGGTCGCGGATGCGGTTGGCCCGGAACGCGTGGGCATGCGCTTGTCGCCTTGGAGTGGGTTCCAGGGCATGGGGATGCCCAAGGCCGAGACTGAGCAGCATTATGGTTGCTTGATCCGGGGGTTGCGCGATCTGGGTCTCGGCTATCTGCATCTGGTGCAGGGGCGTGGTATGCCTGGTGGCCCGGACGAGAGCCTCGAATTCGCGCTGGAGGCGTGGGGTTTGCGCACCGGAAACAAGGCGCCTGTGATCTTGGCCGGCGGCTATGACAGAGAGGAGGCAATGCGCGCTGTGGATGAGGAGTACAAGGGCTTGAATGTCCTTATTGCTATGGGGAGGTATTTCATCAGCAATCCGGATCTGGTCTTCCGGCTGAAGAGAGAGATTGCGTTGAACATGTATGAAAGAGAAACGTTTTACATGCCGGAGACGACAAAGGGCTTCATAGACTATGAGTTCTCAGAGGAGTGGAAGAGGGAAGTAGCCGAAGCGTAAAAGTGTTTAGAGAGCTACATCGTAGAAAACAAATGCCGCTGATGTGGCTTATTCGCCAATCCCACTTGGTTCCTGCAATGAAAAACTACTTGCCGAGTTCCTTCGCAATCGAGCAGCCACACCGAATAGCTAAAAGCTCACCCACTCAGTGGACTTGAATAGCTCCTCGCTTGTCTCGTCTCGTGGGCCGTTGCGGAGGTTGCGGAGTACCAGCTATGGTAACGATCGTTAGTTCCGGGACAGATTCCATATTGGCTCAGAATCTTACCTCGGTGTTCGCCTTGACAGCGAAGGTGTTGGGAATGTGCACGTCGTTGCCAGTGATGAGGCCCTGAGAAAACAACTCTTTGTAGCGTTCAAGCTTCTTCAACCTCCCTTGTTGCTGAAGTTTCTTTTCAAAGGTTCCTGCATATGCGCGCAGAAAAAGGCTGCCACCGATAAATTTAACCTCGCTTTCAAACTCAAGTGGACCAGGATCTTCTGGATCCTCGTCAAAGATCTCGTCGACAAGATATTCCGGAGTAATAGTCATGAACATCGAGGGCTATAAGGCGACCCTTCATTGCCCGATAGACGATGTAATTCCTTCTGAACTCTTTTCACTGGACCATCCTGTCCAGTACCTGGTTAAGTTTTTCATTGACTTCTGCAACGGAGAAGCTCGGGTTTGAAATATCTTGAGAAGGGGCGTTGCCGGCCTGGTCCAGCTCTCCGTTATATCCATTGTAGGAGAGTAGGGCACCATAGTCGTCAAATTCTACCCAATTGTCGATCTCGCACGACAACAGAAACCTAGCACATTCTTTTCCCATAGGCTCTTGAGTCCCATCGCGACCACTTGTTGGGAAATGCTCTGTCGCCTTCTTGAATGTTTGGAGCAGAAAGTCGATAGCTACCGGGACCTCACAGGCAAACGTACGAAGGGCCCGAGCAACGCCGTACATGTAGGCTTCCTCAATATCCTTGTCCCTGGGTTGAAAGTTCTTTTGCACGAGCCAAGACGCCGTGACTTGCATGCTGTAGTCGCGATCGCTGGCAAACCATCCTCCACGGAACATCTGGTATGCTTCCAGCTCATCTGCGCTGGGTGGTTCCGCCATGATGGACAAGGATCCAGCGCCCGGTGGTGACTTGGAGCAGTGAGAGCCTCGGGGCTTGTTTGTTGGTTGCGCGATAACTCGTGAGCCGTGAGCTGTGAGTCGTGAGTCGTGAGTTTTGAGTCGTGAGTCGTGGAGCGAAGACGGTCGCAATGTGAAGTCTGAGATCAAATGTAACGGCGAACCCGCAGATGGGTCTTACTCTGGCATCTTGTTAGCTCAGACGATCGTGCTACGGTGAGTTGGGCATTGAGTGAAGCTGACTTACTGAGATCGCAGACGTGAGACCGCCCGACGCGCGTATGAAGGAGACGCGAGAGACGCGTGACCTTCCCTTGACCGAAGGCACTTCAAGCGCCGCGCGCAGCTCGTGAAGGAGTGTGGACCAGATGCAGAGGAGGGAAGGGGTGTGGTGTGGGGTTGAGATGGGCGGAGAAGAAGTTGAAGAGATTGGAAGGTCGCAGAAACGCGTCTTTGTCGTGCCTTTGTCGCAACTTCCTGACCTGGGGAAGGAGATACAAGGAAGGAAAGAGCCTTCCACGACCTTCTACGTCACGCCTTACGATTCTAGATTTTCCGCGACTTTTCGCTTCACCTGAGTTTCCCTGCACCGTCTGGATGGACACTTCAGCTATTTTCTCGCGACAAGAGCCTTACTAAACTCTATCACACTTCCCCTGCATGCGGAAGATTATCTTTACCATTTTGTTTGATGCGCATCAATTTTGTAGAGTGCGTAAGCGCTGGACCATTCCCAAGACTCTTACTGCGGAAACGCGACCTGGAGAGCGCTCTCCCAGCTCCTGTCGGCGGATTTTTTCATTCTTCATCAACACTTTCACAACCTTCCCATTCTCTTACCAAGTCCTTGATACGGAAACAGTAAAGTTAGCATGAACTTGCTCACAGTACCGCCGCCGCTCTCACCAGCACAACCGCCGTGTCGTACCTCTTCACTAAGCGAAAGTTGAGCCGTATACGGACAGACATGCAAGCAAATCTGTACTTACGAAACCATTTACACGACATCTACCTCTCAACGCGAAGACGCTATACGCAAAGCCTTCGCCAACGCCCCCTCTCCCCACTCACCGAGCTCAAACCACCCCAGCAACGCCCACAACAGTTCAGCATGCCCGTACCACGCCGCTCCCAGACCACACTCACTTCTTCGATCCCCCACCACCTACAACATCCTCACAACTCCTACATTACCCAGCCTCGCAGCCAAAGAAGCGCACTCTCATCCGGCTCATCATAACCATACCCACTCGGCACGCGTACGGCGCGTCTCGACGTCCGCTCTCGCGGCCAAGAGCAAGCGCACAGCGTGCACCTACAAAAAGAAAACCGCGACAAGCAGCGGGATGCCGTGACTTGGGTGTTGGCGCTCGAGAACGGCGGGGTCGGGTTCGCCGGAGGACTTGAGAAGCGCGTACAATTGGGGAGGTCATTGTGGTGGGCGGCGTAGTAGAGGTGGTTGTATAGTAGTGTACGGGGAGCGAGGAAGGATAACGTGAGCTGGTTGGGGAAGGTTGGGGGCATGATGGACGTTTGCATGGTTGATGGGTAAAAAAAGAAAAACTTGCAGTAATGAGATCACTCTACTCAGCTCTCGCTTAGCATTTTTGAGCCAATAAATGCAGGTTAATGGCTAGTAGATCACGTGAGGGGTATTTGCGCGTTATATACTTAGCGTTGGTTACCGTTGGTGAGGCTCTGTTAATAGTAAAAAAATTTCTGGCAGATCTGTAGTTCTTTTGTCCCCACACCTGTGGTACTTCGACATTTGTGGGGAATTCACTGGTTATGCAGGCGGTAACATGTGAGTAAGAAGCGGGGGACATGTAATACGTATGTACGAAGTCTTGGCTCCCCCAGCCCCCTAGCTTGAGGAAATATAAGCGATGGCTATCCTAAAGATTTATTTGCTGTACACTCACCTTAGCTTCCTCGGAGCAGCCACTATGAACAGGCGCCGGAAAAGTCAAGAAAGCTTAACAAATCCTCGCCATGCTCTGGATACGAAAAGTCTGTTGGAGACAACCTCTTGTTCTAGTCTGTATGTGTGTGATCTTTGGCACGTATTGCGATGTGCTTACTGAGTACAGTCCAACTTCCGAGACGGTCTCACACGCCGCAATCGAACTCAATGACAACGTCTGTTTCAACTCTTCACAAATGCTTCTCCAGAGGAACGAGGGAAGGGCTTCTACCGAAACATTTACCAACCCTGAAAGTGATTTTAATGCTTCAGGGGGATCTGTTCGTTCTGGTAGCATTGAGTCAATCATTGAGTTGTACGCGTCGCTAAACAACGACCGCGAAGCTACGAAGCCAAAATCCAGCTGGTGGAAGGAGCAGATGTTCGTAGATCGGACACTTAGAACTATGGCCATACTGGTGGCTGCTTTTGCAGTCATCGTTATAATCATTTGTTCATCGCTTACTGCTAAACTCGAGGATTCGGCGGCGTCTGCAACTACGTCTGTTCCGATAGCGTTTGGATCGAAAAAGGCAATGGAGAGTTTGTGCGAGGTACGGAAACTGTTCCATAGTGGAGCTGTAGGTATTCTCTTCTTACTCGTGTCCAGGCTCTCAAATTCCTGATTAATATTGTGGCCACATTGGTGCTCAGTGCATCAAATACTTATCAGCAACTAGTCACGGCTCCGAGCGTTAACGACATTCGACACGTACTTGTCAAACACGGGGACTCTCGAGTTGCTACCAATTCTCCTTTCGCCATAAGACACAAAAGTGGTGGTCGGACTGCTGCTCTTCTTGCCTGGTTGCTTTTGATATGCACTTCGCTGGTAGGGTTTATATTTGCCGTCACTTTTACTCTGTACTTCCATGCTAAATGCTCTTTGAAGCCAGTTCACCTTCTCGCAAATTCAGTTGTCGGCTTGTCAAAGTACTATTATAATGATTTCGATTTGAGACCGTCTTATCAACCTGTTCGGATGAATTACTCTTCGGACTATTCACATCCTAAAGAAGAAGACTATGATTTTAACATAGCACGCTGCTGGTGGGCATTTCGGCTCGGAGATCACCATATCGTGGCCACGGAAGATTGGGACCATCGGAAACCTAAAGAGTGGACTGTAGCTCAACAACTGGATCCACTTTTTGACGGCAAAGGTTTTGCAGATTGCGAATCTACGAAGGTAATCTATAAGGATGCAAAAAATCCATGGGATGACAAGGGCAGCAATGCTGTGACTGATAGGTCTTGTGCTGCCGTTGCTACGGTATACTACGACAACGAAAACTGTGGACAATATGTCAACGAGACCGACGATTTCACAGCCGTGAACGAAGAATATGGTCAGCATTATGCGAACGATGGAAAGTTTGTTAACTGCACAATTGAAGAGCTCGCCACCAACTATTGTCCTTACTCCCCTCGGGTGCTCGGCAACTGTACCCTTCGGGATGTCATTTGCGATTGGAGTACGTACCCTAAGGACTTTGTTTGCCACGACTACGCGCTTGTAGTACGACTTTCTGCGGGTGTTACGCTTGCCATCTGTTTATCCATTAAAGCAACATACATGATCGCGGTAAACTACCGAGCCCGGTACAAGAAAAAGACAAAATGTCTTACATTCGGAGACATCGTCGTTGCATCTATAATTGGAAAAGCCCAAATATCCAGCGAGAGTATGGTCAACGGTGGAGATTTCCATCGTAAGAAAACTACTCATCAATGCCACAAACACTGCAAGAAATGGACATCTTTATCAGAGACTGGCGACGATATCGGCCACTGCCAAAAATGCGCTGGCTTCAACTCTGTCAACAACATGCCGGACCTGCCCTGGCCGATGCTCTCGACGAAGTCAAAAAAGTCACTCATCTCGAACCTCGGCCAGACGTCACTTACGCAGCTGCTGATATTGAGTCTCTGGTCCACTGCGATGTTAATTGTTTCTACGCTCTTAGCGGTGCTCGTTGTTCCCTATTACCAGGGCGCAGTATGTATCGCCTGGACAACCTACAGAGAACAGTTTTCGAAAGCTCAAATCCTCGCCAAAATGGATGGACAAAGCCTATGGACTGAGTTCGGAGCCTTTTGTATTTCGAACGGCGCACAGCTCATCTACTCGGCACTCTACCTCCTCCTGCTTTACAACATCACTCTTGTCAGTATCGAGCACGACTGGAGTCGATTTGAGAAAGAACGGCGCCGACTCCGCTGCACGATTGTGAAAGGCCATAGTTTTGATCAGTCGTATCTCTTGCAACTCCCAAAGATGGTCATGTTTCCCATTATCGTCTACAATATCATTATGCACTGGCTTCTAGGCTTGGCGATCTACACGGAGGAGATAGTTGCTTATAATGGTCCTACGCTTTACCAAGTGAGTTTTGCATTCTACCGGTTTTAAAGGCCGCGCACAGAGTCCCGTATGTTCTAAATGCTAACAACACAGATTGTAACCGTCCCAGCATGCGTATGGGGTTCCACAGCGCTCATGTTTGTAATGACTGTAGCCTGCTGGTGGACTTTCACCTATCGCCGCGAGGGCTACATCCCGCAAATGTTCGGCTCCATTCGCACACTCTGCGCCGCTACAAGCGAGCTCCAGGACTTCCCACCTGAAGGCATACAATGGGGAGATCGTAGGTTCAGCCATCTCTTTAAACGTGTGTAATAATAGCTTACGGAGAACTAACGGTCAACCTACAGTCACAAAAGAAGACACCGACAGCCCCTGGCGGCACGCCGGCCTGTCCGCTGGGCCTGTCGGAAAGATCGTGCCCAACGAGCTGTACGCCTGACACCGCGAAAGCCACCAAAACAGTTGCACAACCCAGGGAGGAAAGCGGGAGCTTTAACAGATTGCAAAATGTACTAGCCCGAAACAACGCTCGCTAAATAATAATGGCGTTTATGTTTTACTTACAGAGTTTTAGTAGGTAGAATGCAACAGTTACCACGCCAGCTTCCAGGAACCTAGACAGAAACGGTGTGTTTTTGTACGCTATTAGTTCATTACCTACTACACTGCCTCGCTTTAACATTTCATCCATCCCCCGCAAACGAAATCCCCTATGCAAGAACACGCACTCCTTCCCTCCTTTTCCCTTCATAATCATCATCGCCGTCTCCCCCATCCAGCCCCCAAGCCGGTAGCTCCCACACCCTCGATGCATTCGTCCTCTCATCCCTCGTCACCCCCCTCAACACCTCGGGCACCTCCCCCCGCTCCACCCACCCCACCAGCCGATCAAACGCCTCCAGCGGCAGCGGCCCCTTGCCACCATGACAATGCCACACACCCGGGACCTCGAAAAGACGAAAATACGCCGCAGCCCCAGCATCCCGCTCCAGCACATCGCGGTAATAGACCTCGCTCCCCCGCACGGGGATCAGCTGGTCGTCCATGCCGTGCCAGGACAGCAGCTTCCCCCCCGCGGCCTTGAAGTCGGTAAGGTCGGGGTCGGCGGCGCTGATGACGCTGGCGTAGACGTTGTTGCTGGCGCGGATGAGGGGCGCGAGGTCGTTGCGCGTCAGGTTTAGAGGCTGCGACGAGGGGTCGCGCAGCACAAAGTAGCGCAGCCAGCCTTCTGCGACGTTGAAGGGGACGGGCGCGCAGGCGGTGCCAGAGGCGTCGCACGTCGTGTTTGCGATGCCCGACAGGGGCGCCCCGCGGTTGAGGCCATACCAGAGGGGTGAGGCGTCCTCTGCCTTGGCGCCGGCCCAGACGGCGTTGGCCACCTCTGCTGCAGCGGCAGTGACAGTGGCGTTGAAGGCGCCGCACGCGACGTGCTGGCCGACGACGTCGTGCGCATCAAAGTCGCAGGGGCCGGCGATGATGCCGTCGGCGGTCCCGTCCAGGCCGTCGCAGGCCGCGACCGCGGCGGCGGTGATGGCGTCGAGCACGCACTGGGGCGGCGCGGTGCCCAGGTCGTGCATCAGCGTCACGGGGTAGAACATTGCGGGCACGAGCGTGGCCATGTGGACGGCAGGCGCGCCGGCCAGGATGCCGTCGTAGGCCGAGGGGTAGCGCTGGGCGAGCATGATGCCCTGTCTGCCGCCGGTCGAGCAGCCTGAAAAGTACGAGTACGCGGGCTTTTGCGCGTAGTAAGCTTCGGAGACGGCTTTGCCGAGGACGGCGGCGTCGCCGAGCGACACGGCGGCAAAGTCTTGCAGCAGTGCCCAGTTGACGTTGCCGGGGCTCGTGAGGGCCCACGGTGCGGGGTCCGCGTCAAGGGCGTGCCCGCCGTCGGTGGCTACGACGCTGTAGTTGTGCTGCAGGGCGCTGCCGAGGGCGTCGTCCAAGAGGCGGGTGAGGAAGCCGCCGCCGCCGACGCCGATGAGGCGCGAATTCCATCCTTCGAGCGGCAGCCAGATCGTCACGGTGATGGTGTCGTTTTGGCCGGGGTGCGTGTACAGGACCGTGACGTTGCAGAAGGAGATTGTTTCCGGGGGCGAGGGCAGCGGAGGCACCAGGGCGTTTTCCGTAGGGACGGTGGGCAGGTTGTAGATCGGGTCTGCGATGGTGTCGAGGACGGCGCCGCCGGGGAGGGAGATGTTCATGAAAGTTGCCGGGTTGCAGTTTGCGGTCGTGTCTGCAGCGGCAGCGGGCGCGCACAGCAGCGTAGCACCCGCGATCGAGCCAACAAAGCGCCGCAAAAACATGGCCAAAAAACGCGGCGTAGTACCGAGACAATGCCTATATCCATCACAGGCCACCGTCACGGCGATATAAATACCCGTGCGAAAGTCGGAAGCGGAAGCACTTTGCGGCCTCCGCTCCGCACCTCGTTCTCGCCCTCATTGGGCCACGATAAAGCACTCCGACTCACCATCCCGCACGACCCCTTACGTGACGAAAACGAGCTGACGATAGCATTGGCCCGCCTCAATAATAAGCGATCCGCTGCCGTGTGACGTAGCGGCTGATCTCAGCCGGTTGGTCGCACGGGAGATGGTAGCCGAGGTTACCGGGGCATATGAATGGATGAGGAAGCCGAAAAGGAGCGCACGGAAAGAGGGGTAGAGAGGGGAGGTCGGAATAAGGTCGATGGCAGTGTTCGCGAGACGGTGGTGGTGGTGTGCGATCGTGTTGCGGGGAAATAACCTTATCTCAATCCCGCTCTCCGCAATCGGCGCTCGTGGCCTGCGTGGGGTTGCGTTTGTCACACCGACCCTTGGCGTGATGCTAACTACTGCACACCATCCTTGTCATCTAGACTCCTAAGGCTGCGAAAGCGTTCTGCTTTTGTACCTTGCTCCGCTTTCAATTTGTTTTTCTCATTGAGGAAAATAGACAGTGGAGACCTCGGCCGGCGTAAGGCTGAGGTGATGCGTCTAGACTGCGGTCGAGGCCATGATTATTTAAAAATAATCTTGTAGAAAAGAAATAGGTACTTATTTGTTAGACTAACACGGGATACTACTTTGGGAACTGCAATTTTGATATTGAAGCATCTATACTATACGTATATTAACTTGGAGACTGATGAAAGAACCCGCGGCATGCTGTAAGATCGGACCCGAACGACGCAATACTCTATGAATCGGCGGGTTCCGTCGCGTAACCTATCCCGAGAGATTTAGCTGCAGAACGATATTCACCATTAAGTGAAGTTCACCATCTAGCAAGTTGATGGAAGATAAAAGCAGTACCTATGAAATGCTTCTTGTCTAGATATATACTCAGGTCCTGGATATAGGTAAGGTTATTTTAGAGTGTATACGTGCTTACCTAGATTTTATTTCTACTTTGTATAAGGGTGATTTTTTCGTTAGGAGAGGTTTGCTTCCTATCGAGACAGGGTATAATGTAAGCCGTCCCTATAGAGTACTCCCTATAAAGCTAGAGATACAAGTTCCCGATATAAGAGAAAAGGTTTTAAAGCATATATATACTATAATCATCTTAAATATGTTTCTCTTTTTAATCTGTGTAGCCATTACCATCTCGTTAGCTAGTAAGACTCGCTTAAAGACGACGAACGTTACTGTTATGCGTGCGGACGACTTGGTTTATGCAGTGATGTTGGAGTCTATGAATTTAGTAGGCGAAGATGCAAATGCTGATGCACAAGATATGCTGAGGCTTATCGTTTCAACATGGGAGACAATAGTTCATGTGGATGTTTGCTTTTTGGTGAAGAATATGGAGCAAATCACAAAAATTGTGGCGCTATCACATGGCAAGCTACCTTGGCATATCAGCACAGGGTTTGGCCGTCTGCACACTGCCACGTGTTTGTTGTTACCTTGGAGGTTTAGCGAAAACATACAAGAAGGGCGGGATTATGAGAGTGAAACCCGCCTTCTTTGTTCAAGTAAAAATTCTTTGATACTGTTTGAAGCTAGTCACAGTACTTTCTAGCAGTCTCCAGACACATCCCTCTCCACAATGTCGTTTGTACGGAACCAGCATGCACTGGAAAGCCTGACAGACGAAAGTTTTGCGCTGGGACTTGTCCTTCCGCCGACCGATTACATACCGCAACGGTTTTGGAGATGCGTAAGATAGCTATCTCTTTCCTCACGTTCTTTCGAGTGGCTGAAAAGTAAACCTTTACAGTGCAAATGTAACGAGGGCAAAAACAGCGGGAGTGTTGGCGACTATCCAGAGTGCAAGAACCCCAAATGTTTGCACACACCGACTGGCGTTTGCGGATGCTCCAATGTAACTTGATGGGTGATAACGTCGCGATTGTGTCCCTGCGCTTTGTCTTTTTCGTTTGACTCGTTTGTCCAGCAGTAGTGTCGGACAAAGGCAAATATTTCAGTTTCACTTCATGTCCGATGGTGTGAAGGCGGTCGGGAATGTTCGAGCCTCTTCACGCAGCTACGTCATTTTTCCAAAAAGGTACTAGTGGCTTCTTAGCCGAAAGACGCGCACCTTCTCTCGGCGACGCGGCTTCTGGTCAACAGTTTTCGGACCACTCCACCTTTCTCCAAATTTGCTTGAACCTTCCTGGACAGACAGTCTCAACAGCTTCTACATTTCATTTGCCGCAGCTGATCGCCCTGTCTCTGGCGCGCTCATGAGATATGGACGACCAGATTGACCCCATCTGCCTCCGATTCAACGCCCGCCTTGCAGCCTATCGGCAAAAGGCCGAATTAGCTAAGCAGACTACAGGACAGCTGCCAAAATCGAGGCCAAGAAAAGACATCGTCATTAGGGAACATCAAGTATTCTCCACTATTCCATCGAAGCTCCTTGACGATGAAGTTTATCATGCAGAGGATGAGTTTGTTCCTCTCGCATACCCGCCCTCTACCAGAAGTATGAGAGAGCTACAACAGGTATGAAGTCTGAGGTTAAACGACAGACAAAAAATACTTACTAGTAATTTGCAGATGCCGCTGAAGGATTTGCGATTGGAGACTCATCATCACGGGAGAGTCCTGATTGTACGGTTGCCAGTAAAAGCGCTTAGAATACTGCGAAACATTCAGACCGTCGTTGAAGACTCTGAAGGCGATGTCGAGAAGCTACTCATCTTCAACTTTCCATTGTATCTGGACCCGACATCTTCACTTCCCCGAGGTCAACACATCGCAATCAAAGAGCCATACTACACAGCCCATGGTGAGGGTGGTGTCATCCATGTGCATCATTCTTCGGATATCCTCCGCCTTGGATCTGCGGACGAGCTGGTGTCACCACCTATGAAGAATGGGGCGACCAAGAAAACTGCAGAACAATGGAAAGTCGAGGGAAACGAAGCTTACAAGCGGGGCCAATATCAACAAGCTATTGAATGGTTTGTTGCAAGAGTTTTGTTTAATGGCGTATTCAACTAATTGTCGCAGTTTCACTTTAGGACTTGCGGTCTTAAATGATCCCACCCAAGAACTTGGCCGGACGTTGAGACGCAACCGAGCGTTAATGCACTTATCTCTCGAACAGTACGACGCCGCCAAGGCCGACGCAATACAGTCTCTAGACAATACCTCCAGCAACATCAAAAGCTTGTATCGCGCGGCGATGGCATGCTACGAACTCGAGCAGTTTTCAGAATGTGAAACTTTTCTACGGAAGATACTTAAATGCGACATGAGCAACAAGGACGGCCAGCGGGAGTACAAGCGCGTTTTGGAACGTCTCAAAGAGGAGCGACTTGGAATCTACAACTGGAAAGAGATGATCAACAAAGTCAAGAACGGCTTGTCGTTGGACCTGGCGTCTTTCAGAAAAAGAGTTACTGTCAAGGATACGGGAGACCGTGGTCGAGGACTCTTCACCCGTGAAGCAGTTAAAGCCGGTGATCTCCTTCTCGTCGAAAAGCCTTTTGCTGCTGCTTCCGGAGACGAAGATCCCAAAGAGAATTACAATCTCATGAACAGCAACACTCTGCGCTTTCACATCAGTAAACACGTTCAGCTTGTTCGAAAAATTGCCACAAAACTGGCAAATACATCTCAGGGACCAAAATTCTTGGATTTGCACGCAGGAAGCTACCCACGGACCGGTAAAGAAGGAACAATCATTGATGGGACTCCTGTTATTGACAAGTAAGTTGACGTTTCCAGTTATGTCAGCGACCCCGAAACATACTTAAAGTTTACAGTTTCCTTAACATTGCCATTCTCGAACTGAATTGCTTCGGGTTCCCTGGACGCACTCTTATTGACGCAACATCTACATCATGTGAAGACTCCTTAGGCATCTGGATCACTGCTTCCTATGTCAACCATAGTTGCATCTACAACAGCAAACAATCGTTCATTGGCGAATGATGGTTGTCCGTGCAACAAGAGACCTCGATGAAGGTGAGGAGATCACCTTCGCCTACTTCGACCCAAAGCTTGGACTCGATAAGATTCGTAAGCGGACACTTCAAGAATTTGGTTTTGAATGCAACTGCGGCACCTGTTTCGCGGATGTTCAGTGTACACAGGAATCTTGTTCACAGCGGAACGCAATCAACGCTGAAATCACTACGATCTTACTTGACTCCAACTCTGGGACCTCCGCGCCTATGGTGGATCGCGCTACGAGCCTCCATAAGAAGTTGGCTCAGACATACGACAGAGTAGCATTCTTGAACCAGCCTCGTTGTGTTCTTGCACAGGCTACTGCGAGATTAGCTATGCTTCACGTCTCCCGGAACGCTACCATTGCCGAGAAATATGCCTGGGAGGCCACAAGATGCTTAGGATTCAAGCGCTTGAGTTGTGCGGAAGGATTGATCAGTACTGCTGGCCATGTGGATGGCACAGTTATTGAAGCCTGCATAGTCCTCCAAGCTATCATGGCGAAACGGAACTCGCAGACGGAAGTGAACGTCATCTTGAAAAGGGCGAAAGAATTCTACAAAATGTGCTTTGGGGAAGACGAAACGTTCTCTGAGAGAATGACCGGACATGTCATATACACACCTTCTTGAGCTTGCTAGCTACTGCATTGAAGGCCAAGGTATCGACCCGCAGCATGCTGCTGGCCTTAATAACCTTCAGCGGATTCACTTGGGTTTGGGATTAAAAAGATAGGACTAAATCTTGATACTGGAACCTCAGCTCACGCTGAGACACTATCATGTCTTGGTAAATAGACGTCCTAATCCCAATCACTAGTTTCAAGGCCCATACACACCCCCTCTAGATATTTTACCCACCCCTTAAGTTTATATTAAGTGAAATTTACGATACCTATGGAGTACTCCTTAGGTACTTATAATGGACTATCACGTTGCAATTAGTAGGTGCTATATAACTATAAAGAGGTAAAAGTATGTAAGATATAATAGTATTTAAAAGCTTGTAATAGTAAAAGTATAGAGAAGTATTAGAGTGTTCTATAAGAGTATAAAAATACAATGCTCGAAGGGTACAAAGGTACCTATAAAGGTATAGAGATATGAACTACCTGAGGGCAGAAAGTATATCGCATGATTGTACAGTAATGTTTTTACGGGGGGTGGGCAAAATATCTAGAAGGGGCGGGGAAATTGTTCTGTGCCGTGTTCTAATCAAGTGCTGCCTGCACGAAGGAACAAAACGTCAATGATGAAAGAAAGCACGACTTTCACATGCAAGCATGAATGCGTCCGAGCAGGGGAAAGCGTGGGGTGTGGGGGTGTGCAAGGTTTGCGGCGCATAATTGTGGCGCGGATGTTGGAGTGACTGGGACGCGAGGCGCATTTTGCAGGGGTATTGCGGCACCAAAAACGCCTAACGTTTCTTTGTCGCTCGCTGACGCATCATTGGATGGGTTTGGCACCGCAAGCGCGCTTGTTTCCAGACTTCTATGGGGAGGCTGGGAAGAAGATGTCGAGTTTGGAAATAGATAGCGAAGCACCGCCACGGTCGGGCGCTTGCAGGTATTAATCATCCTGATATCGCGCAAAAGAGCAGGGAATTTGGGTTGCAACACGTGGGTGCTGCGTACGGCGAAGCATGTATCGCGGCGTGGACTTTTCTAAGCCACAAGGCTACAGCAGGCCATCAGTGTGTATATAATCAGGACGAGACCGGCTATCATCATCATCTCAACCCAAACTTCATCCTTCCAAGAGACTCAACACGTTTCAATCAATCAACCACCTGATATCGCCCATCCATCATGTCTGAAAACGCCATTCACTCTCTCGCTGATCCTTCCATGCTGGAACAGATCGACCACCTTTTTGCCTGCAACGTCGGCCACCACATCGATCTCCCTCAAATCGTCGTCGTCGGCGATCAGTCCAGCGGCAAATCCTCTGTCCTCGAAGGCCTTACACGCCTTCCTTTTCCGCGCGACAGCGCGCTGTGTACCCGGTTCGCTACTCAGATCATCTTCCGTCGCGCGCCCGTTCAGTCCGTGTCTGTATCGATTGTTCCAGGGAAAGGCTCCTCTGACAACCACGTTGAAACTTTAAAGGCCTGGAAGAGAGATGATATCGAGACACTCGAAAAAGATGTATTCGCAGAAGTTATGGATGAAGCCCACGAGGTCATGGGCATCTCAAGAGGCTTGCAACCCCTAAGGACTTTCTCTTCGGATGTCTTAAGGATCGAAGTTACGGGACCCGAGAAGGAACATTTCTCCGTCATCGATGTGCCGGGAATCTTCCAAAATACCGGAAAGGGCAATGTGACGAAGGAAGATATCATTTTTGTAAGGAACATGGTCGGCGGGTACATGAAGAACTCACGCTCCATTATGCTTACCGTTGTACCGGCGAACGCGGACCCTGCCAACCAAAGCATCCTACAGATGGCCGAAGATGTCGATAAAGAGGGCCGAAGGACTTTGGGGGTGTTGACGAAACCAGACCTTGTGGACAAGGGTGCAGAGCAAAACGTAATCGACATGGTCCTCAACAGGTCACACGTATTGCGCTATGGATGGTTTATGGTCAAGAACCCTGGACAGTCGGATCTGCGAACACCAAATTTCGACCGGTACATGGCTGAAAAGATCTTCTTCGAAACTGAAGAGCGCTGGAGAGGCCTGTCATCAGACCGGTGCGGTGTAGATGCCTTGAGGGATCGGTTGCAGGAGCTTCTGGCCATTCATATTCAACAGGAATTTCCAAAGGTAAATCTGGGCTGTGTTTCTTTACCGGACAAACTTGACTAACGAGCTGTAAAGGTCAAATCCGAAGTCAACAAAAGCCTCAGAAGGTGTAGAAAGAATCTGGATGCCTTGGGACCAAGGCGCGATACTCCAATGGAGCAGTCCCGGTTTCTCATCGACATGGCAACTCGTTTCCAGGAGGTAACTAGCAAAGCCCTCGATGCAAAGTATGTCGACGACTGTTTCACAAAGCATTCTGCACTCAAAGTTGCTACACTGGTTGCAAACCGCAACGAAGCCTTCTCCACTGAGTTTGAGAAGCATGGCCATACCTACCAATTCAAAGAAAACTGGAGTGAAGAAAAGCAAGAAGATAGCGATGTTGATGACAATGACGAGGACGAAGAAGAGAAAACCGAAGACGAGGAAAGTGAAGACGAGGAAGACGAAGACGAGGAAGATGACACAATTGATTTTGGTCACTCTGGCTCGTCTGACGGAGAGCGTGTGATGGTAAAACGCACAAACGCCACTCGTCGCGGACTCTCTGCCCAACATATATCCAATTATGCGGACGAACTGGAAGACATCCTCTACTCGAAGAAATATCTACCGCACCCCAGAAGAAAGGGTGTTCTGAGGTGGTTGAATAACATCTACATCAATTCCCGCGGCTTTGAGCTTGGCCAATTTGATCCTTCTCTTCTAGCAAACACCATGAAAGAGCAATCTAAGAGTTGGGACCACTTGTCGTATCGATACATCTCTGATGTTGTGGAGACGACACACGATTATATCAACACTCTTCTCCAAATCGTTTGTCCAGACGAAGGCATCTGCCAAAGAATCAAGTCAGCCATCATGGATGGCCTCATGGAGAGATACCAGAGAGCATTCGACCAAGTCAAGTTCATTCTTCATGTGGAAAGACTCGGGACGCCCGCAACGCAGAACCATTATTTTAATGACAATCTGCAGAAGTTGTAAGTAAAAACAAGAGAGTCTATCAGTAGTATGTGTACTAACCAGAGCAGCCGCCAAGATCGCAACCGCAAAGCCGCGGAAGGGAAATCTTTCAAGCCCTGGGAAGACGGCGAAGCAGTTGTCTATCTCAGCGACATCACCCAGACGCAATCGATGAGCAACAAAGCCCACACTGTCCAGGAGCTTCACGACATCCTGAAGTCATACTATAAGGTGGCTCGAAAGCGCGTTGTGGATACGTTGTGCATGCAAGCTGTGACCTACCACCTCATTTCTGGTCCAGACACACCGCTCAGGCTTTTCTCCCCAAACTTCGTAAGCCGGCTTTCGGCTGAAAAGCTGGATGAGATCACGAGAGAGAATTCATTGGTTAAGCATCGACGCGCACAGTTGCTCAAAGAAGCTGAGGACTTGGAAAAGGGAAAGATGATTCTGTCGCGGTAACGTCCTGAAATACTTTCAACAAGGTGACGAAGATTGAGACGCGAAAAGGTTATGAACAATGAAACTGTTTTACGTAAGGCCCTATTCATATGAAATACAATCCTTTCTAGAAACAACGCATTTGTTTGTACGTAAGAATAAAAAGTTTCATCAACCTTCCAGGGCTTTCCACTATTGACACAGTCGAAGAAAACCATCCTTATATGTAATCAGAAGCATCTTGCATCGAAAAACACCTCTTGATCATCATGTCCTTCCGCTTCCACTTCCGAATGACTATCACTGTCTCTGGTATCTCCAGCAGGCTGTGACAACTTCACAACTTCTTCATCACCCGAAGGAGAGACCTTGCGCCAAAGTAAATAGAACAACCTGTTTCTTTCAGTATCATAGTCTTCCTTGTAACGTTCAAATACCTCGACTGCACTTTCCCCTCTCACTGATCTCGAGTAAGCATCGACGCCTTTCAATCCGTGATTGAGCAGCACTTTCAGTGTATCTGAGTCTGCCCAGCCAGCGATCAAGTGAAGGACTGAGAGGCCGAGTTTGGTACGAGGAGATATATAGTTTGCACCCAGTCCAAGTAAGCATGAAAGAGCTCGCGAAGATTTAAACCGAATGGCCGTTAGAAGCGGCGTTTCTCCGACATAGTCGTGGGCTTCCAGAAATGCTCCAGCATCGAACAACATCTGTACCCCGCTCTCGAGATTGCTGCTAGCAGCACAGTGTAAAGGCGTCCAGCCAAAGTTGGTTACAACGTTGGGGTCGTTTTTAACACTGCTCCTGAGAAGCAAGACTACAATCGGAAGAACACCAGACGCGCATGCATTATGAACTGGAGTGCAACCATCGCGATCGGCAATTGTCGGGTCAGCTCCGTGCTCAAGCAGTGTGCAAACTGCATTCCTGTTGCGGATACGTGTCGCCCACCACAGTGCCGTTCTTCCGTTTACGTCTTGGGCGTTTATTTTTGAATTTCGATTATATATTTCTTGCAACAGATCCTTTCCTTGAAGACCAAGAACGGCGATATGGAGTTCTGTGAGCTCGAAGTCGTCGTTGTGAATCTTCTGGTTGATTTGGAAGTATTGTTGAATTTGGCTTCCGTCTTTTGAGGTACTCCCCTTTACAAACGAATGCTGTAAGGCCATATCTGCCGCAGTCCTTAATAGTATCCAAAGTCAGTTACCTGATGGAAATGAGTGCTTTAGCACGCATGCGCTCCGTGATAGTACGGTACTTACCCCCAACCTTGCGCCGGAAAGTTCATATCCGCACCTGCCTGTAGAAGGAATTGGCACGCTCCGATATTGTCGTGAGCCAAAGAAACCTGCAGTAGTAAGTTTTAATAAAAATGGCCATGAAAATATATTATGTCGGAATTATACTTCGACTTACCATCAAAGCATTCATGTGGAGCCCTTCACTAATATCATTCACTTGAGCTTTTCCTGCTTCAAGTAGACATTTCATTGTCGTTATGTCTCCTCTCCAAGACGCGGTGAACCATTCCGACTCCCAAGGCACGATGTTGCGTGTCGTTATGTTCAGCGACAGCCCAGAAATCGCAGTGAATGTGTATGCCACAGTGATAGCTTGTGACAACAGCCACGAGGGAAAGTAATAGATCATTGTGAGTTGTTTTTGTTTTGCAAGGCAACCTGTGAAGCTGGGCGCGAGGAATTAGACGCCGCTTGTCCTCCTAGATTACTGCTACCTATAGAGGTATATATGCTGCTATCTAAAAGAACACGTTTCTTGTTAAGATCCTTAATTCCTTGCAGTAGAAGAACGTGTGGTGTAAGGGAGTCAGTTTATTGTATAACAACTAACCGTAGGGTTGAAGCTGTGCGTTGTTAGAGTGATACTGGCTGACACAACCCCTATCACAATAATCGTCTGAGCAAGGTAGTTTCAAGAGTGGGCCTCCACGGTATCCAAGGAAAAGAGTTCCCAAAAATCGCGTTGTCAGTATTTGAGATTTTGGATTCGAGTGGCAGCTGCAAGAACAGCCCAACGCCAAACGTCGCCTTTTGCCCAATTGGACCGTAACCGCAGCATGGGTTTGCTGTGTCTTCGTATCAGTGTTTTGGTCTTGAAACATTGCTACTGCGTCCTTTGTTGTTGTTTGCTCTTGGTGGATTTTCTCCAGAAGATGGCCGTGCGCCTCAAGGACATCCCGGGTTCTATTTGCTTCCTGGTAGCTTCTGAAGCTGAACTGCTCGACAAGCAGTTCGATGCGATGTGTAGCTGCTCTAAAAGGGATCAGTAAGTTGTCCTCCGAAATTAATGGAAACTTACGAAGTATTTGCATCGAGCATAGCGCTCAAATGGAGCCTTGCATCTCGAAGTTGAGATTGAAAAGTTCGTATCTTGCCTTTGTGCCGTATCCACACTAACCGATCGATCGCCTTTGCATCATCCGCATCCACTCGCTCCAAAAAACCCCGAATGATAAGGACTTTGCTGTTCGCATCGCATAGTGTTTCAGACAGCTTTTCCGCCATTTGCGGTCGGTTTCCTAGAGCTACCTTTTCGACCTCATAAAGCAGTACTCGAAAGTTTTCAATCTCGTTTGAAAGTGCCAAAAGCTCTGCTGGCGCTTCATGCAGCCGATTGATTAGACGACCCAACTTCACTGCCGTTTCGGCGAGAGTTATGACGCTTGCGACGAGTCCGATTACTTCAGCCATGGAGGACCAAGTTAGTGATTGAAATGGAATTTGAAAGAAAACAAGGACCGTTTGTCAGGTTTTTACTGTTACTGAGGCTGGTGTCGGTGAGATTGTTGCCTACAGCTGCGGGTCAGCTTAGATATGCATGGTGACGACATTGTGCGACGTAGGAGGCTACAACACAATGTGAAGCTGCACAAAACTCAGTGTGGTTATACATTATGACCTTCCAATCTGCCCATAGACAAGTTAGTTTTGCGACTCTTTGTTACTCTTCACATCGCTGTGGAGAGCCAAACTCGCGGCTATCATGGATTAATGCGTATGTGATCCTGATCCAAGATCTACATCTCGATAGTTAAAGCAAAACATAGCTGTGCAAGTCCTTAGCGAGCCATGAAAAGAAACGGCTTATTTAGAGGCATAGTGTGTCTAGAACAGGCCACGTATAAATCCATCAAAACGAAGCCATGGACTGGACCAGTGATGTCAGGCAAACCAGAAACTTTAGCTCCAAACTTTGGTTCCGAGACTTCGGCTCTTGTATAAAACATAAACCTTCTCGCACCTCTTCACATCCATATCCATACAAATATCTCACATTAAACAAAATAACGATGTCTTCCCCACCACATACCCCTACGCGCCGTGCGATGCCGCAGCCAGAAAGCCCCTCTAAGGCGCACAGCCCTGACGCAGAGGACCAGACGTGGAAGAGGTCTTCCTCCGAGTCCTCCGAGCTTACAGCTAAGGATAAAGTCAACCACTTCGCAGAAAACTAAGCCTCATATCATTTGCCATAACGCTGCGTAACGACCCTCCCGAAGAAACATCGAAGCGACTCGCATCCCGAGCACTAGAGAAAGCGCATGCGCAGTCGCTTAAGAACGAGATATGGCAAGAACGACGCGAGCGGCTCGTTTCCGAAGCGTTCATGAAGAGAATAGACGCGCTCCTTATAGCTAAACTCTCGGATAAAGAGGCGGACGAGTGGATAATCGCGCAAGGATTCAGGCCCCGTATGTTTCGCGGTTTTGGTGTCGAGAGGTCGTACTAATTTGCCGGAACTAGCCTCCTACGACTCGTTTACGGAGGATGTTGCTCCTTGCGAAGACGACTTGATAAGGTCTAGGGACGACGAGGACGCCGATGCTACGCCAACTGACTGATGGTGGAGATGATGGAGATGCGGGGGCTGAGGATAGCGGTGATAGCGGCGTCGAGGACTCCCGTGCCTGACCAACCTCTTCTAACGATGAAGACGATGCGGGCGATGATGACAGTGGTGATGGCGGCGAAGATGCAGACGATAGCAGGAACGACCAGAAGACAAACCCACAACAAGCCATCGCAAGGCAAGGGCGCCACCAACACTACACAATCCCGGTGCCTCAGAAGCAAACCGACCCAAAAGCCGTCCTTTTCCTACATCTCGACAGCACAGCAACAATTCCTCTTCTTCAGCCCCCGAGTACCACCGCCGGGCACACGCAAGGTCAAAACGCCAAACCAGGCGCAAGAGCTAGCCTGCAAAACCCTAGCTTTTGTATACTGATTACTTAACCCCCCGGAATGATGGACAAAGGCAGGTTGCAGGCGTTGCGGTGTCGTGTCGGGCCTGATGACGGAATGGCGTGTGGGGCATGACGAAGCGGAGGGGGTGGGGAGCGTGGGCGCCACATCCGCCGCTACGACCACGTACGTACTAGGTCGTCCAACTTGGGGTGGAGCCAGGGACGTGTTTGGGCGCGCATCACCTGTAGCCTGCAGCCAAACAGGCCATCGCCTATTAAATACCACCTCGCCGCATCCAGCGCGTTCATCCAAACTCCAGCAGACCACCCTCGCCCAAGCACCCAGCCCGCCTACTAGCCCCAGAAACATCCCCGCGAAAGATCATTGCATGTGATTGTTGTTGTTATTGTTGTGCCCCAAGTGATCTACACCACCCGGATACGTCATCCCGGAACGTGCAGCTGATAGGCGACGCCGACACGTAATCGCGGACCCTGTCTCAGCCGCAAAAGTCCGCAACACCAGTGATGATGCGCGCTTCGATTCGCCAAAACCAAAAATAAATCTTGCTTTGCTGGTGCCGATGCTGGCAGCAGTGGTGGTATAAGAACTGCGCTGGAGTCTGCTTGCTTGCTACTTTTCGCTTCCGCACTTTGCTCACGATTCACGATAACACGCACCTACCTATTATTTATTTGTTATTTTACGGCAACCTCCCATCTACCTGCGTACTTGAAGCCAATTGCGTTTTCCTCGTCTGTTTTCCATTTTAGCGACACACTACACGGCCCTCTACCTACCGACCTAATTCCCCACCACAAAAATGCGCTTCTCCATCGCCCGCTTCGCCATCGCTACGGCATTAGTGCCGGCCGCGCTCGCAGCGCCGCTCGGAAATGAACTGGGTTAGCAATCGCCCTTCCAACGTGCTCGCACGCTCAAGAACCGCACTGACAACCCGCAGCACCCGCTCTCGAAACCAGAGACCCCGCAGGCGGCATCATCCACATCAGCAAAAACCACGACGCGAGCACACGCATCAGCAACACGCCCCCGGAGGCCCGCTCGCTAGAGCCCCGCGGACTCCCGATCCCAATCCACGACACGATAACCGAGACGTCGCAAATCGCACTCCTGCAGGCGTGGGACGATCTCGGCGTCTCCACCGACGAGCCCCTCGACGTGAAGAGCAAGTCCGCAGGCGGCTCGAGCAAAGAGGACAAAGTGTTGCAGAGCCTGACGGGGTCGGAGGACGAGGGCGTGCGGAAGCTGCTTGCGCCCAAGGGGGCGGTGGATGCCGAGGTTGAGGAAGTCAAGATCGAGCCGATGACGGGGAATGGTGTTAAGGGGAGCGTGTATTATGCTGTCTCTTAGGTGCTGGGGGAGGTGTGGATATGTAGTTGAGACGTCGGAAATCTGAGTGGGGGGATGCTGAGGATGGGTTTTTTGTAGACGGCGGCAACGGCGACGACGGGTTCGACTGGAGCGGGTCGCACGATCTGCTGGGGTCGTTGGCGCTGGCGGGTGGGCTGGTGGGCTGGTCGCGTTGGCGGCGCGAGTCGGGGATTTTGGTGTTGGGTTGATCTGGACACCTTGTTGTCCCGCTATACCCAACCAGGCTTAGTAAGCACGTGCGCACGATGACGGCGGTGGTGGAAATGAAGTCTCACTCCCGTCGCCTTCTGTCTTGCGCGCAAAGACCTATTCGAAGCCAACGCTTGCCTACCTCATCCTGCCATCCTTTGTGCATCCCGCCTTTAAACCCACCTCTTAAATTCCTTCACAGCTAACCCACACCCTACCCGCACCAAACACCAACTCCAACAACCCTCACGCATGACGTCTGCCGCTCCATCATACCTTCCATCAGCAACATCCACCTCACCACCGCTGCCCAACCGCACCCTCTACATAACCTCCTACGACCGCAACACGCCTCCTAGCCCCAAACCCGCGCTCGAATACGACGTCCGGCTCGCGCGCAACCCCGTCAAGCACCTCCGCGACCTGCACACCGGCCTCTCGCAACGCGTACAAGACGTGCTCAGCACCGACGCGCGCTTTGAGGAGCTGTTCGCATGCGCTGTCGGCGAGATTGGCGAGACCATGCTGCAGATAGACGGGTATGAGCGGACGAGAGGAGGGGCGAAAAACGGGAAAAGGGACAGCGTGCAGGAGGGCGTCGCGTTTGCCGAGAAGCTGGGCATGCATCCCTGGCCCGAGGGGTGGGAGGTCAAGGTCGAGCACCGCGACTTGTCAGACGAGGTCAGGGGCGAGAAGGCTCGGAACCGCGAGGTGCAGAGGGAGATGCGTGGTTGTTCTTAGTCCAGGTGCGCGGTTTCCTTGGCTTTGTTCGTGCGCGCTCAGTTGACCGATTCCACGAAAGATTGTATGCGTAACCCAGTGACCGCAAGATATACGCTCTTCTGGCGTCTCGGGTACTCGATTGATTCTCCCGATCTACACCCCACACGCTGCAGCGGATCGTTACCGCGAAATAACCTAAGCTCACGCGGCATGTTGCGACTCAAGTCGGCTTCTCCGCCCTCCCGCGAGCGTTCTCCCCATATTTGGGCCACTGTGTGATGGCGTTGAACATGCCCATCGGGCTGTACTGTACAGGCGTGACACCGGAAAGAGTCTTCCGCTTTACAGCTGCTGTTCGAAGAGTGCTGCCATAGTGCAATTGCAAGCGAAAAGATCGCTTTTCCCACTCAGTGTTAATCAGTGCGGGGCACGACACGGGCCACTTAATATCAGCATTGGCTGAGTTTTCCATAACTGCATTTCAGGTCCTCAAACTACCTGCCTCAAGCATCACGTCCGTGGGTATCCCACCCTTGTCAGCCAAAACCAAACCCATCAACGCCATAGCACCGCGCCCCAGCCAGCCATGCCATCCCAATGACTGCACTGCTCCCCCCCCTGATTGCCTCTAGTTCCTCTGGTAGTAAGGTGAGTAGGCAGCATCAGAGTCGGCTGGATCTCCACTATAGCCAGCCCGCATCAGCGCCCACTGCTTCTATCGCTCGCCGAAGTAAATCCATACAATAGTACCTTCGTCCTTCGTACGCTGGGATCCTGTCGAATGCTCAGTTCAGTATCTAACAGTTCTATATACGGGTCTCCTCTCCCATCATACCAGGTCGAGGGCGCTGCGAAAGCTGAGCGGAAGGGAGGGACGTACGATTTGCTTCGAAAGCTGATCGTGGATGCCGATGCGACTAGGCGGGCTGCTTGCCCTTGGATGCCGGCCGCTTGTCCTTGCTGGAGGGCTCTGCGTCCGGCTTTTGGTCGTCGTCGCCAACCCTGTCATCGCTGCCCTTGTCATCACCAGCCTTGTCATCACCGCCCTTGTCACCACCCTTGTCTCCTTCGTCTTCATCGTCGGACATGTTACCGCCCCAATAAGGGTCTTAGAACGGATGTATGCTGTTAGTGTCTTGGTTGTAGTTTTCTTGCAAGATATATGAGTGGTTTAAAAATCCGAGGTGCTGGATCATGCTAGATGGTGATGGAGGTTACGGAATAATTTGACGAAAAATTCCATCCACTACACCTCTGATTCTGTTAAACAGTTAAGATCCAATCCTCCGCGTTCCTTATGGGGCTTAAACACTGATCGTTCTTATTATCAATTAGTCAGATGAAGACGCATAGAAGATACCATTTTGCAGCGGGGAATGCCTCTTTCAAAGCATCAAGTGCCTTAGACACTGACCCTTCCTATCCATGAATTGCCCGCCCCGTCCGCCGTATTGCCCGACTCAGCTTCTGCAACCAAGTGAGAATACGTCTTAGCAAGATGGGGCTGATCTATAATAACCAATGATCACCGATGCAAAATTCGCTTGCGATACCGGAGCGGCCCGAGACGGTTTCCCATGTGAAGGGCGCCGAGCCGAAGCGCTCTGCACTGACGTTCGCCAAGGCAAGCGCGAGGAACAACGGCTGCCTATCCCTTGGCATCACTGTTAGCGTGTGCTGGGGTTAGCGAGGATTAAAGAGCAGAATGCTCTTAAAGTGTCTACTTCCAACAACAATACAGCTTATTCAAAGACGCTTCATAAGAGTACGAGGCGCACGGCCTTTTATATTCGGAAGTAAAGGTGAGGTGAGACATTGCTATCTTATGCAATGGATAGACACCTTGCTGGATAAAAGTCGTGATGCGAGGGAATCATGGTGCAGTGGGGCAGACAGACGGGGACTCCACCATTTACGCTTTGTTCCGCCATATCTGAGTCAGCCCTACCCCGATCTCGCCCCCAAATTGTTTCAGCTTAAAAGTTTGATTTGACAAAATGGTGAGGTGGACAATGCAGAGATAAGATCGAATCCTTTGACTGGATTCGAGCTCACTGTTTGCTATAGCTGACGAAGCATGCCGAGTAGTTGAGGTGCTTTTAGGCAACAGTTACCAATATTGCGAAATTTACTTACACCTTGGGTCAAGAGACTTTACCGCAGGGTCGGAGGAGCCCTTGCGGGGAATTCTCGCAAGCTCTGTCAGAAAGAAGGAAAGGATTCGGTTAAAGCTTGCACACCATAAAGTCATCTCCCGTTTCGTAAACCGTGTAAGCATGGCAGCTTGGCATTCTCCACCGCAGAACAAAGTTGCAAAAAGTCGCAATAATCCTTGCTGGCAGATTACGAGCTCTTAAAGGCGATCCCAATGCCTTCGAATCCTCATAACCAAAATCCTCATACCCCAAATCCTCACAAACGTCTATTTCCACCGCATCCCGGCACCAACACTTCGACACCTCTCGTCTCCCACGCACCTCCTCACGCAACCACCACATCCCGCAGAACCGACATGCGCTGCTCCGCCATCTACTCCGCGTTCAGCGCGTTACTGCTCCTCCTCACCGCACATACCTCGGCCACGCCCCTCGCCAACAGCACCGCCCGTAAGCCCCCCGCCCCCACCACGCACGCACAAAGCACCAACCAACGAGCCCACCGCGCAGCATGCTCTCTAGCCGCCACTCCTCCGGTCCAAACACCCCACAGCCCCTTCGAAGGCGACTGCGCGCGAGGCCACCCCGTCCCCGTCCATGGCATCGTGACGCCAGCGACGAAGCACGCGATCGAAGCCGCGCATGGCGCCTTACGCGTGCCTGAGGGCAGGGAACTGCATTTAAGAGCTACGGAACTGGATGGGACGGACCTGGAAGCAGCGCACTTGAGACTGCTGACGGAAGAGGGGAATGAGACGCGTTTGAACATGATTTCGGGCCGGAAGTTCGAGGGGAAGGTTGTCGAGGAGCTATTTGTAAGCCCGTTGGTCGGGTTTGAGGTCGCCGCTATGGCGTGTGTGGGTGCTGCGTAGGGCTGTTTGGTGGGTTTGGGGTTTGGCAGGTTTGCTGGTTGCGACATGTTTGGCGGCTGCTTGTACCATTGTTTTGGCCTTTGTATGCTGCTGTGGTCTAGTATCTACAAGGTAAAAGTTCACGAGATAATAACTTTTGTTTTTGAATCGGACAATTCTTTGTCTTTCACTCTCTAAATCACAGCGTGGCTTAAGAGGTATGTTGATTGATTGCATGCACAAAGTGTAGTGACTAGTTAGTGTCGGGAGTAACAAAGCATTCTTGTCCAACTTGTAACTAGCTATCGTCCTCACCGAACAATTTCGCCTTCCAATCCGTAAACCTAACCGCGCTCGCTCATTCCCTCAAACTTATTATTACCCCTCAAACCACAGCGGAGACCCAAGCTCAAGCAAAACCCTAACCATGTCATGATTACCATGCCTATGACGGTTCCTAAGCGCCACCCAAATAGGCAGTCTCGGCATAGCCCTATACCCATAGTGGGCGTAGAAGTAGGGCCTGAAGACATCACAGCCGTACCCGGCCAGAAGTCGCAGAATCTCCGGGCAGCCCAGACGGGTAGCCATCTGCACGAACTTCCTGCCCCTCGCGCTTCTGGTGGCGTCGTGTTCAGTTGGGCCATTAATATCGTACCCATGGTCAAGTAGCCATTTGATAGAACCCAGCTGCGCTGCCGCTATAGCTGATTCGAAGACGAACCTGTCGAGGGGATCAATGTTCGCACCGGCGGCAAACAGCACGTCCAAGACGCGCGGCTTTCCCCACCGCATGGCGTTCATGACGGCGGAGCCGAGAGCAGAGTCGTGGTTGACTTCGGCGCCTTTTGATAACAGCAGCTGCACAATGCGGACGTGTCCGTTCCCGGCGGCACAGATAAGGGGCTCATAATACCATGGCTCCTCGGGACGGGCTGTTGTTGGGGTTATGTGGGCAGCATTGTCTATAAGCAGCTTTGCAGCAGGCACGGCTCCAGTCTTGCATGTGGTGACGAGAGTTGAGTGAATTAACTTGTCGTCACACCCAAATTGCCACATAAAGTGCTCAATAACTCCCGCGTCGTAATACGCCTTCGAAGCAATCAGGCTGAAGTACTCTTGGTACAGGTCTTTGACACTGTCGAGTCCCAGGTTGACCATGTACTCGACCATTTCCACGTGGCCGCCCAAGCATGCTCCAACGAAGGCTGAGCCATAACTATCGTCGAAGGCATCTAGGTCTGCGCCTTGAGACATAAGGTACTGTATGATTTCGAAATGGCCCTGATGACCGGCAGCCCAGAGCGGAGAGCAGAAATAGAAGATGTAGGCGTTCATGTACGGAGTTGATATGAGGAAGGCCTTAACAAGGTCGAGGTCGCCCAGCCAAGCGGCAACGGTAAAGCAAATGTGCTTGATATAGTTGGGCCCTCCAATCGCAAGCACAAGTGTGGGGCGAAGAATCGGAAGCTGCCAGGCAACTACGCACGCAGACGCAGCCTCCAGGTACCGAAACCGTGTCTTTTCATCGCGCTTCCCGCTCCTTGCCATCATCTGCTCGGCGACTGTCTGCAGTGTCTGCAGGAGAAGTTGTGTGCGTTGGCCACGGCTGGCTGCTACAAGCATTATTATGCGTGCGGCCCACTTGTCGTTAGGCGGGATTGTTGGGCAGAGAGTTGTCGCTCCGGCGACCCAGTCGCGTGCGTGTCTTCTACAGAGGACGTTGGCGATCTCTCTGTCGAAGGTTTTGCAGACCAGACGCGCTTCCATGACTTTTTCGATTGGTAGTTGGCGCGTAATCTGCTCGGTGATCAGCCCGAAGAGCTCGAGAGGAAGATCGAAAAGATGCATGTTGGTGACAGTGGCTTTTCGCTTGGGATGATTGAAGCGGTGACCGGAAAGGAATTAGAGAAGGTCGATAACAAGTGATGGCGTTCACTGTAAAAATCCAGCACTACCTTTGTGTCAGAGCTGGCAGGAAGGTGGAGAGGAAGAAGGTACAGGTGGCGGTGGATTTATATACTATAGCAACAGAGGGCTTCACACGGGGTTAAAACGGTAAGCGAGAAGAGGTGTGTTAAAGGTTATAACATATAAAGATGCGCGTGGTAAGAGTGTATACGAGGTAGTGTTAGAGTCATGATAATAAACAAAGAGGACGGGTAGTAAGAGCGAGCATGCAAGCTCCACTCCATTCCGCTACCACTCCTACAACAACAACAACGACGACAACTATTTGACCTTGAGCAGGAAGAAATAAACATAGCTGAAGAGCTACCTGACTACTAAATAGCGCTGGTTTTGTAGCTAAAGACAGCGCTAGTGGCAAAGAAGCAAGCAAATCTAACGAATATTTGCGTTTATTATTTGATAAGAGAAAACCAAACGAATATTTATATTTGCCTGCAGCGTGAGGTTTGTAGAGCCTTCTAGCAGCGCAGCGAACAACACCCCAGCCCTACTCCAAACAATACGGCAAAAAGCGGTCCTGCACATCCGCCCACTCGGGGTCCACCGGCTCCGCCCACGCCTCATCCCTCTTAACACTCTCAAACCCCACGGGCGGGACAACGCCCAGCTCCAACAGTACCTTTACGACATCTTCATGCCCACTCCTCCTCGCCTCAACAACCATGACTTCTCTCCCTCCCCACCGCGCGCCATTGACATCGCACCCCCCCTCCCCCAGCACCCGCACCACGTCGCCATACCCCCGCACCACCGCCCAGAACACCGCCTCCCGCCCCAGCGCCCCCGGCTCTTGGTCGAAATACGGATCCCAGCGGCCGACATCAAAGCCGCTGTCCAGGATCGCCTTAACCGTCCCCACCCACCCCCTCTCGGCCGCGACTCTTAGCGGGCCTCTCGCGCGGTACACGGGCGCGCCGGCCTCGAGCAGCGCCATCACCGCAGCCGTGTGCCCCCGTGACGCGGCTATTTGTAGCGCTGTTGGTGCGTTGTAGGAGTGGTGGATGTCGTCGACGGCGCCGTGCACCGCGAGCAAAGTAATCAGCGGCGCGCATCCCCGCACCACGGCGATGTCCAGCGGCGTGTACTTGCGCGCGGCGTCGGTGTACGTGTCGAGTGCGTCGGTAGAGGCGCCCTGCGCGAGGAGGGAAGACGCGAGGGGGACGTGGCTGTGCCAGCACGCGCCGAGGAGGGCGGCGTCGAGGAGGAGGGCGCGGGCGTCGTGCCGCTCGTGTTGTGCTTGCTCTTCCTCTTCTTCTGTCACCTCCTTCGCTTTCCCCGCCTCTGCTTCTGCCTCTGCCTCGGCCTCCTGCACGCGCGCCAGCTCCCCCAGCCAAAATCCCACCACGGCTTCGTCTCCCCCCTCGGCCGCTTTCCGCACCGGCCACACGCTGCTCGCCAGCGCCACCTTTGCCGCCTCGCTGCATGCGCCGTGGAGTAAGCGCACGAGGGCCAGATTCCCTGTCGCGCTGGCTGCGATCACCGGCGACGCGCTCGACAGGTACGGCCACTCGGTGTCGAAGGCTGCTTCGACGGGGCTGGCGCCGCGCGCAAGCAGGTCGCGCACAATGCGTTCATGGCCACGGCTCGCAGCGGCCCAGAGCGGCGGGCCGAGGAAGGGCGGGTCGTCGTTGATATCACTATCGCTAACACTGTCACTGTTACTGTCACTCTCTTTGTCTTTGTCCTTGTCCCAGACAGACAAGAAATACGCAACCAGCCCCTCATCACCCAGCCACGCGGCAACGCTACAACACACCCGCACGACGCCCGCCGCCGACGTGTCGCGGTTGCGCCACTCGTCTCTGCGTTCTTCCTCCTCGGGGGCGACGAGCTCGGCGACGACGACGTTGCCGCCGAGGTCCCAGGCCGTGGCTGCGGCAGCGAAGGCGGTGGCGATATCGTCGTGGGTCCAGGCGGAGCTTTCTTCCCTCCCCTGCTCCTGCGCCTCGCCCACGCGCCGCACCACTTCCCGCGCCACGGCCAGAAGCGGCGGCTCCGGCTGCGGCTCCAGCCCAGGCGTAAGCGCAGAAGCAGCACGCCGCTTCAAGCGCGCGCACAGCACGCCAGCGGCCCATTTTGCGGGAAATGGGCGGGCGATGACGCGATCGCGTTGGTCGCTGGGCGCGGAGGCGTATTCGCGCTCGATGGCCGTGGTGGCGAAGATGGCGGATGTCAGGGCCGCGTCGAAGGTTTTGCTGATGAGGCGCGCGCGCAGAGTGCGTTGCAGGCCGAGCGTGTGCACTGTTTGCTCTGCGAGGGCGGCGAAGAGCTCGGGCGGGAGGTCGAAGATGTGCATGCTTTGGTTGTGGGGTTGAGGGTGTGGTGGATGTGGTGGATACGCTGCCGGGCTGGGGGAAGGGATGGCTTTATGTATGCTATAGGAATTTTTAGACTTTGCGGTGTGGCTGTGCACCACCTAGTCCTAGCGGGGCCGAGTTGGTGTGCGCTTAGGCGCTTTTGCTGCCTGGAAAGGGGGGTCTTTGTTTTTGGGGGCGTGGTGGTGTTTGGTGAAGTCGCTTTGTTCGGACTTTGAATGCTTTGCGTGTTATTTGTGTACTATGGTCGGGGAGAAATGCTGCGAGAAGATGCGTATACTTTCGAGTGAGGAAATAGGTACGAACGGAAGCGATACGTCTATATAGGAAGTAGTACATAGATGGCGCTCTTGTCGTCCTATAGGGGTATTGGAGTTTAGGTATAGTATATAAAGATATTCCCTAGCCCTTTATAAAAAGTATTCTATATGGAGCGTTCTTCTCTACCTACTAGAGTATTCAGGCATGAATAAACGATACAAATACAAACTCTACGTACCCATTAGAAGTAGTATATAGAAAGCAGACCTAACACTATATAAAAGCATAAAGGCATAACTACAGGATACAAATACCAGCCCTTAGTCTTTAGAGAAAGCAATATGTGGGGAGCGCTTCTATCTATCTATAGGAGCATGTAAGTGTGATTACAGCATACGAGTATATTCCCTATGTCTCCATAAGAAGTGTTCCATACAGAGTATTCTCGTTAACCTATAAGTATATATAGACAAGATTATAGTATACGAATGTAAGCGTTAGGTCTACATAGGAACGCCGCAGGTGACCTTTGCATAGTTAAAGCAATTAAACGTCTACTTGCGTATAGCGCTTGTCTTTTCTACGATATGCCTGTATAAGAAGTAATCCATAGGGCATAATATCGCATACTTCCATTAACACACGGGTACTATTACAGCCTCTAAAATAAAACAACATGATAAACTTTCGACGTTATACAGCACCTCTTACTATAGGGATAAAAAGCAATCTCTCCCCCTCCGGTAGTAGTATATCGTCATTCGATCGAAGCATTTCGAGAATGTCTTCCGGGTTGTGCGTGGTATGCCCGAAACGCTGACATGACGACCCCCTTACCTAGTTTGGCTTGGCGTGTTGACGCGCCCACGCCCCCCACAAACTCCCCGCTCCTCTGCAAACTGACTCTCCACCTTCCGACGACCGACCCTCACTCCACCTTAGTTGTCCAGCGTCGCTGCGTCACTAAAAATCAAGCACTGAAGCCAACAGACTCGCTTCACAGCCTACGCTACCATCCTACTCTTCCGCATCGCAAGCAAACCACCTGCTGCAAAGCCTCATTCGCCGTTTCACCGTTCAGAAAGCCCTCCAAGATACCTCTTTTGGACCTTCCCGCCGAGCTCCTTGGGTCGATCATGACCGAAGTGGCACTGTCGCAAAACATGCGCGCAAGCTTGAAGACCCGCCTCGTGTGCAGTAGGTCTCACCAGCCCACGCAAACCAGCTCATGCTAAGACACACCCACAGGGACTTTCTCGCACGAGATATACCGCGCACTCATCAATCTCGCTTCAGCCGAATGGGCCAAAGGCAACGGGTCGTGCCTCATGCGCCTCCTCAGCCTTGCCTACGTCTCCACCATCCTATGTCGCGGCGCCGCAAACATGTACAAAGGCGACGACAGCGCCAATGCCCAGAACAACCTCATCCTGCGCAACATCGACCGCGCCGTCGTGCGCCTGCTGGAGGAGACGGAGCAGCAGGGCGACGGGCCTCGCCTCACGTTCACCGATGCCGCCGCGCAGTGCGTGGCCGACTGGAATTTCTGCGACCTTAAGATCTATCCTACCTTCCTCGACGACGTGATGGCGTATCCATGCACGCGGTGGTTGCGGGTGCAGGACGACGCGCGGCTGGCGTGCTGCGCGATGGGCGCATGGATGGGGGACATCAACGTAGTCAAGACATTCATGGCGCCCTCCTCCACCGACAACCGCTCCAGGCTCTCCAACCTCGCCAGCCTCGTGGACAACCTCAGCCACCCCTACAACTTCGTCCGCACACCCCCCCCCCTTGACACCACTACCAACTCTATCGAAAGCGAAAGCGCGCAAGGCGACCCCTCCTCCCTCGACAACCGCTGCCGCTTCTTCCCCTACCCACTCTACGCCGCCGCGCGCCAGGGCCACCTCGCCATCGTGCGCCTCCTACTCGACCGCGGCGCCGACCCCGCCCCGGGCGACGGGTACTACGTCGACGTAGCGGCAGGGGAGGGCATAGACACGCCACGGAGCTCCGCACTCGAGGCCGCGGCCGCGGGGGGGCACCTCGACGTCGTGCAGCTCCTACTGGACGCCATGAGCGCGGGCATCAACGACGACGACGCCGACGCCGGCACCAGCAACAGCTCCACCGCCTCCCTCCTCCCACTCGAAGCCTACGCCCTCCCCGCGCTCAAAAACGCTCTCAGCAACGCGCACCTCCCCGTCGCGCAGCTCCTGCTCACTTACCTTACCCCCGAGCCGGAAGAGCTATACACCCTCCTCTCAGCGAGCAGCCGCGGCGGCAGCGAGGAATGCGTGCGCCTCCTCCTCGCCCGCGGAAGCAGGCCCCACTGGCCCTCACAAGACAGGTGGATCCAGCCGCCCTTGCACGCAGCCGCGCGGGGCGGGCACGTGGGCGCCGTACGCGCGCTGCTGGGAAGGGGGTTCGATGTTGGTGCGAGGGCGGGGCCCCGGGCCCGGGCGGAAGCTTGGCCGAAGAGTAAGGGTATGGCGCGCCGCTGGTTTGGGGGTAGGGTTTTAGGTGGGAGGGGGAGAGGCTGTGCTGGTGGTGGTGGTGGTGGTATGACTATAACTAGGGGGGAGGAGGCTGCGAGGCTGGCGAGGAAGTTGGGCGAGAGTTGCGTTGCGGATGTGTTGAGTCTTTATGGCTGTACGGATGAGGCGGGGGACGAGGAGGCTTGTATGATGATGGAGGAGTCGATGGTTACGGAGAGAGTGAAAGGGATGAAGAGGGAGCTGAGTAATCGTGGCGTGAAGGGTTTGGTGAGGAGGATTCTGCCGAAAAAGCGGCTGTAGTGGCTGGTTTGGAAGATAACGTTTAGGTAGAAGGGTGGGGAATAGATGTGGTAAGGGGATTAGTATGGCTTAAATGTGTGTTAGTTGGCGAGTAGCGGCGGATAGCTTGGATAGAGATGATGGATGCCGTGATTATAATAATAAATGTAAAAGATTTTGTGATTCGACAGTGGCCTACTGTAAGAGACTATGACATGTAAATGTAGAGGTGAACGGATGTTGGTTGTAATGCTATTTGGCTAGTGATTTAGCTTTGAGTTTGTTGAAAAATATACCCGGAAAAGCGGCTTGGCCTTGTTGTTGTTTAGTTCGCGTAACTTGCTTGCTGGCTAATTAGCAAACAGTGAAGATAATTATAAGAGTATTGCTTAAGATACGAATAGAAATCAATTTGTACGCATTTGCCTGTAACTATATATTCTGTAAGTCGCAAATAGCTAGGCCGTGTTGCTGTGTGGCGTGTGTATCTGTGAATGGTAGTCTAGTAAACTATTTTAAAATACCTGATACCTCCTCTAAAGGGATCGCAAGAGCGTACGCGCTTGTTTGCTAAGTAGCAAACCCGCTAGGCATTGTTTATTAAGACGTTTACAGTGGTGAAGTTTGTAAGAAGAATTTGCGAAGTACAAACGCGTGAGTTGATTATTAGCTTACTACTGGCTGTACTGCCTATAAAGATCTAGTGGCCTACGGGTATCGGTAGTATCTACGAAACAAATTGCTTTTTTTTTTTAACATGAGTAGAGGTGTTAGCATCTACAACTACCTTCTCTATATAAGTTCTTACCACACGTCCTTTTTGTTTGTTGTCATGACTTTTAACACTACCTTTTCTCGGTTGCCGTCTCGACGTCGTGTGAAGCTGCCTACCGTTATTATATATAAATCCACTACCACTTGCGCCTTTTTCGTCTCCACCTCGTCTCCCAGCTCTACGTTTTCAACTGGGCTGGAGCTTCTTCAGTAAACACCGACACTGGTTCGACTGTATCTCCTTCCTCTATTGCCTTGTACCTCGACTATATTTGTCGGCAAACATAACACCACAATGAGCCTCTTAGATCTTCCCCTCGAAGTCTTCGAGTATGTTATAGAGGAACTTACGCTCCCTTCATCAATCACTGACGCCTTGAATGCACGCCTAGTCTGCAGTAAGTCCTCCACGCGGTATATAATCAGTATCAACACTAACCAGACGCAGAAATCTTCGATCGTGAGATAGGCAAGGCCATCTGCAAGCGACAGGCACGCGAATGGCTCGCTCACGACCCACATTTATATCCCATGCGCCCGGCCAACGATGAGTGGACCATGAATATACTTCAGAGAGCAATGGCCGGCCGCACCCAGCACAGCATTCCGCTCCTGCAAACATTGCAGAGGGTCGTCGATAGGCTGATGCAACTGAGCGGAAACAACGACGACGGATCGCGTCGTCGGTATCTGGCCGAGGCGTGTGCATGCTTAGTGGCCTGGCTCTGCCCGGCGCCCTATACCGACCACAAAATTTTCGACCTCACCACGCCTGACGACCTCTTCACCACCAAGCAGGTGCTTATCCCAGATTCGTGCCTTGCCGTCGCTGCTTGGATGGGCGACCTCGAGCTTGTCGAAGCTTTCCACACACAGGCTTCGAACTTGCATCATTCCACGCACTATTTCTGCCCTCCGGTTTGGGCTGCAGCATATCGAGACCACATCGAAGTAATGCAGTACTTCATCGATGAATATGCAATATTGGACAGCTTCATTGCGGACAACGAGGCAGCATACGTGGGAGCGTGCCTTGGTGGCCATGAGGAAATGGTCCGCTTCTTAATGGATGAAGAACTCGAACTTATCCATAACAGGCGGCTAACCATCATCTTCTTCGACGAAATTGCCGCAAGGAACAATGTGGAAGTCATCACGGTCCTTCTCGACACATACAAGTTCAGGCGGAACGCGCTTCGCACAGCGCTATGCAGGGCGTGCTTCCATGGCGCCGGCGACGTTGCACAGCTGCTGCTCGACAGAGGCGGAGGCGCCAGGCTCGCCACGGGCGCCGTGCACTGCCCGCTCTTCTCCGCGGTCGAGGGCGGCCACCGCCACATTCTCCAGCTGCTGCTGGCGCGCGGCGTCGACGTCGAGTACGAAGGCGCCGACAAACGGACGGCGATTGTTGCCGCTGCCGAGCTCGGCCGAACACACCTCATAAGCATGCTGGTTGCTGCCGGCGCTGACGTCAACAACGACTCGTGGTCTTGCCTCACCCTTGCTGTAATCAATGGTCACCTGGATACGGTCGAGTTTCTGCTGCAGCATGGCTTCGATATCGATGGACAGACGGATTTCAGCTCCAATGATGGTGCAAGAGGTTGTGAGGCCGTGCAGGAAGCCAGTAAGAGAGGCTATGTGCAGATTTTACGCGTCCTGGAGAAGTACGGCTGTGACTTGAGGACGCCGTACTACTATACGTCTAAGCGCCTAGAGCCTATACCTCGATCGCCGTTGTGGGTCGCTAAGAGGTACCGTCGGCACGACACGGTTAGGGTGCTGAAGAAGCTTCTTAAGAAGTAATGTGTGAGATAGTGTTACTATCTGGGAAGTGGTTAGGTATGGGTTTCGAAATTGCTTGGGAAGAATTGTAGCTAGCTACCGGTTGTTTATAATCGTCTCTAAAGGTGGTCGGCCTTCTACTGTAATGGGGAGAAAGGTAGAAGATGAGATAAGTTATGAGCGGTTGCTAAGCTTTCGACTCCTAAAGATAATTACTCGACATACGGCATGCAATAATTCATGGGGAAGTTATCTTTCTATGCTACTAATTCCCACTGTACTTCTTCCGATCCTTAACTAAAAATACTGAAGAGCATTATCTACTGAAGATGCGCTCTACCGATGTGACCGCCGCTCCCTCTATGCTGCTGAACAAAGGGAACCGGTTCTGAAAGTAGCTCTTAGAAGTGATACCTGACTTCCTGTACTCCTGCTCCCCCCCCTAAGGGAGGAGAGGGGATAGCGCGGGAATCCAGCGCATGCTTCGAAGTATGCGATGAAATTTTTGATTCTTAATATCCTGACAGAGGTATTGAGCTGGAAGAGCGGTTTGCTGGATTCTGTGATTGTTACGCCTGGGCTAATCCATCTTGCTGCACCGGATCACGAGCGCTGGTGATTCATGCTTCATTGAAGCGGTCAGACGCTTGTTTCATGCAAACAAATGTTTGGGTGGATGGTGTTGCTGGTTTGTACGGTGCAAAATTTGTGGCATGTGATTGTGTGACTGGATCATCTGGATAAATGGCCTGCAGTGAGCAGGTTTTGCGCGGGACAAGAGCTTTTGCTACTACTTGCTGTACTGATTAAAGTGGTTGGTTGATTCAGTGGCGCTGCTGCGTGGCCACAATGGAAAGGCCATGGCGGTGCGGAGCGCGGCAAGCCCTGCTTTCACACAGGTAGTGTTGTGGCGCCCACAGCTTTCACTATATATACCTCTTTTAACACACCCTCCCTCGCTTACTGTTTTGGCTTAGTGGGAAATCTATAATAGTCTACGCACACAACCTTTTCCTCGACCCTTTACCCACTCTCTTCTTGACCACCTCACTCCGCATGCTCAACTTCTTTGCGAACCTTTCTCCAACACCACTCACGCCCACCACTGCTTCACTAACTTCGCGATCTGTCAACTGTCCTTGACTATAAACCCGCAGGCAATCCTTCGCGACTGCCGTCAAATTCCGAAGCCTTTCTTCTAACACCAGAACACGCAATCGCATCATCCATCAACATGAGCCTCCTCAATCTACCTCTCGAGGTGTTCGAAAATGTTATGGAGCAGATGACCGACGTGCTACCTATGAAGGAAGCACTGAGGGCACGCCTTGTCTGCAGTAAGTACCATATGAAACAGACATCCGGCGATATTTTTCTGACGGTACACGCAGGCATCTTTGACCGAGAGCTCAACAAGGTAATCTGCAAGAAAGCCGCAAATGACTGGGCGAACGGATACGACTCTGACTCCTATCCGCAGTGGGAGCCGACCGACTACATGCGGCCCGTCAACCGACAGTGGATGGAGATGATGTTGTGGAGAGCAGTGCGCAGCAAAACCCAGCACCAAAAGCACATCCTCGACACCGTGCAGAAAGTTATCGAACGACTTGTTGAACAGAGCGGAGTGAAGGATAACGACTCCCGCTGCAGGTATCTGGCAGCTGCGTGCTCTTGCTTTGTGGCTTGGGGCTGTCGCGACATACATGATTGGAACACTCGGCGTGGTCCATACCACTGTTCCAACTATGTGTTTAATCCGCACCACACAGACGCTTATACCATGACCTTCAAACCTGATGACCTTCGGTATGGCGGAGGCAAGGAGATCGACCATGGATGTCTCGCAGTTGCCGCTTGGATGGGAGACCTTCCGCTTGTCGAAGCTTTCTGGGCCAGGGCCGACATGCAGCCAAAGTACCTCGCAGAAGAAGGCGACTTTTTCTGCTCGCCGCTTTGGGTCGCGGCGCACCAAGGCCACATGGAAGTATTCCGGTTCTTCGTGTCCAAGCACAGGAACGTGGAAGGATGGATCATGCCTTCGGATCTCCCCCATCGGTTAACTTGGGAGTGGTCTTACACCCCAGCGTGCCTCCAAGGCCACGAAGAACTGGTCCGTCACATCGTCACTCTGGGAACCTGGGATAAGAAGCTCAAACAAATGAGCTTGCCATGCATCACGGGCGTCACCAGAAACAACCAGGTGAGCGTCCTGGACTTCTTCCTGGAGGAGGTCGGATTCCTGGAGCCCTGGCTGAAGGCTATCCAACACCGCGTCAACGAACCCGACAGATTCGTAGACAAGCACGAGCAGACTGCCCTCGAGGTGCTCTTGAACACCGCTTGCTACCATGGTGCTGAAGCTACCGCGCTACTTATATTTGGAAAAAGCTCCATCCTCCGCCCTACCACGCCCATCTTCTATGCGATTGAAGCTGGCCAAGCAAGCATGGTGCAGCTGCTGCTCTCGAGAGGCGTCAACCTCAACATTGCCAGCTTCCAAGGAATGACGCAGTTGACATACGCCGCCATGCGTGGCAGGGCACGTATCATGAAGATACTCCTCGCTGCCGGCGCCGATGTCCAGGGAGGCAGTAGCACAGATGATAAGACGGCCCCCTCTCCTCTTAGTGTTGCTGCCGCATTGGCCAGCTAGAAGCAGTCACGATCCTGCTGGAGCAGGGTTTCAACATCACCGAGTCGACCGAGTGCGACGATGCCAGTGGTGCCAAGGGCAGAGAAGCTGTGAGGGACGCTTGCAGATGTGGTCATGCGGAGGTCGTGCACGTGCTTGCTGGACATGGCTGCGATATCCACAGGGCTTACGGCTATCAACGTGATGGGTACCAGCATAAGACGCCTATGTATTGGGCGCATAGGAACGGCCATCAGAGCGTCGTAGATACCTTAGTTGAGCTTGGTGTGCAGGATCTGCCTGACCAATCTTCTCAAGATTCTGATGAAGGATGCGAGTACGACGTAGGCAGTACTCTCTACAATCTGGCAGACGTATCGATTGGCTAGGGACTCCGAGAAGAAACAGAGGTAGCTGCTGGTAGTATACGGGTGGATTGTATTAATACGACAGAATTTCCTATTACTTTCCTTGGAAACAGTGACAAATATCGCACTATCCAAATAAGTGAAAACAAGGAAATACATAGTTAATAGAAGTTTGTCTTCATTCTCTTTCCAAAAAAGCGCTTCCTCTTTGTATTGTTTTGATACCTTGCTGTGCTCTACTGTTTTCGACTTGCGAGACGCCAGTGCTTTCACATGAAATCTAGCAGTTATCATTGATGGCAATGCTGCCAAACAGGCGCGTTCTGCCAGCCCTGCACTCTAATACTACATATGTCCTTGTTGCGAAACACCGCAATGAGGGCTGGCCCTTTTGTGGGTGTTAGAAATACGCTCATGTCGAAATCAGCATTTTCATGCTGCATAGAATGCAGAGCCCTGTAACCAATCAAGCATCTACATGAATAGGTCCCACCGAGGCGTAATCAGCCTCATTACCTGCTGATGCGGCTGTCAGGCAAACTGCAAGTTCGGATCCCCGCTAAGAATGGTCACGTACGCCGTGCTTGGCCCGTCGCACATAACCCGGGGAACTGCAGCTTAGCCTTGTGTTGGATTGAATGGTTGAAACCGTGCGAGTAAGGAGGGAACGCGGCTTGATTTTGAAAGAGTATCTGGCAGCGAGCTTTATATACATGAAGAGGTAGAGCAGTCATGTGCTCGCTTGTAGAAAGTAGCAGGGGAATAGCAGGGTGTTGAAACAACGAAAAAGTAAAGTGAATATAGAGAATTATGCATGAAGAAATATGGCCTGATAGTCTAACACCTTGCATGACCGTCAGACTTATTCCACGTTCGGAATCTACCATTTCTCTCTTTCCATGGTGTATTATGGTGGCGCCTATATAGCTTAAAAATAATCATGATCGGCTTGACATTTTATACACACGGATAGGTCCATTCTAAATCAATCTCCGCATGTCGTACTCAATCTCAGCCTCGTCTTTAGATGATGAAGAACGATTGCGAGTGCCTATGTTTAGATGCCCACTGGAACGACTATTTAAATTATGCCATTTTCTTTGAAAAGGATAATCAACTTTTCATCCACTACCTTCATTCTGAAACAAAGATCAATATCAAAAACAACGACTTTTTATTATGGAAATGGAAAGTTCTTCATCTGCTACTCTGCAGCAACTTATGAGTAGAACCTGAGAGCCTTCAGCACCTAGACCGGAGCATTCCCGACACAAACTGTCTTTTTGGGTCTATGAGTTTTTTACCATAGCCATTTCCGCTATCAGCTTTTCTTGCCTCATCGCGACACTGTACAACTTTGATCACAAGCCACAAAAGGCCTGGGACTACCGTTACATTACCCAGAATACAGTCATTGCTGCTATCTCAACCATCACTAGAGCTTCTCTACTTGCAGCGGTTGCGGTATCTTTGAGTTAAAACAAATGGTCCTGGTTTTCAAACTCTCTTGGACGTTCTCGTATGCTTCGAGATCTGGAAAATTTTGACAATGCTTCTCGCGGAGTAAAAGGATGTTTATGGTTCCTTTCGACTGCAAGATACGGTCATATCGCATCGCTGGGTGCAGTTGTTACCATACTGGCCCTTGGATTTGATACCTTCGCCCAGAACATTCTCGGCACACAGTACCATGAAGTGCCTCAGCAAAACCTCCGATCAGTTGGACTTATACCCCGGAGCGAAATATATAATGCATCAAACAAAATCCAAAACTGGTTCAAAGAGGGACTGAACTTCGACATGAAAGCTGCAATATCCAGCAGTGCTCTTGGGTTAAAAGCGTCTGCACCTTCACCTGCCTGTTCGACTGGCAATTGCTCTTGGCCTTTAGTGCCAAGCTTAGCCATGTGTGGCTCCTGTGCTGATGTCACCGCAAAGCTCAAGAGCAACTGTACTTCTGGATACTGTCAGTACTACCTACCGGATGGGATGGTGCTACAGGGGCCAAAAGCCGGTGTATCGGAGGCAAAAATTCAAACCTTTGCGACGACCTTATTCAAGGTCGGCCAAACAACTTCCGGTCAGGTGTATAGCGACGTCCTTAATAAACCTGGTCGCATATATGCCGCACGGTTCTCGGCCATAACCACCTGGGTCCAGGAGAGAAATCCTGGAGACAGCCTTGCCGCTACCGAATGCGCCTTGTGGTTTTGCATACAAGCGTATAATACATCGATCCTTTCTGGTATTCACCATGAGTCCGTGGAAATGGAATATGATATGGCGACATTTCTGGATCCTCAGAATCTCCTCAGATCTGGTCCAGGAGGACCGAACTTCACAGGTATACCAGATAAGTTTAACATCTCTGAAGGCACCGTATTTGGACCATCATACAAGGTGATTGAAGCCTTGAACGATTCCATTTCTGAACAGGTTTCAGGAAACGTAACTTGGAGCGGGCATTATGGTGCCTTCCAATATAGTTCCGACAGGCCCAAAGCCTTTGGAATGCGCGCAAAGATCTGAATTCATGGACCAAAAACCTCGCCAAGGCCATAACAAACGTTATACGCACGAACGGAACTCTCCTAAGTCCTTATGAATCAAGCAAACGCTACTCTGGCACGGTAACATCGACAGAGGCTTTCGTTCACGTTCGCTGGCTCTGGTTGATTTATCCCGCTACCATGCTCTTGTTGGGTTGTGTCCATTTCTTTGTTACTCTCTGGCAAATGGCTAAAGGCGGAGTATTTGGTTGGAAGGAAAGCGTACTCGTTCCGTTGCTTTTGACTGTTGAAGGGGACGACGGAGGTGCAGAACATATCAATTCGGATGGTATTGTTTCAGAAGAAGTCCGTAATCGTCAAATTTTTCTCAGGTTGGAAGATGAGAAGGGCTGGTATTTCGCTACTCAATAGGTACAGATCAAGAAGACTCGACAAATCGCCATCCTTCATCTACCTTCCGCAAACGTACTTTGATTTCTTTTGAAGCGGCATACATATCATCTTTCCGCTTCAATTCACCTTTCTTGCGTCTCGTCTTCTCGTCCAGGCCATGGAAAAGCAAGGCCAACGGTGAAGATTTCCAATCTCTGCGCCATGTTCCGCGACGAGTGGTGAGCTCGATACCCATCGTAAATAATATCCCAAGGCCTAACAGTGCTACCGGGAAGCTCAGCCATGGCCATCGTACACGGATGCATGTTTGCGTCCTCCATGTTTTTCCCTTTACAAACCGCATGTCTTCTGTGTCGTTGGGTTGCTGGCGGATAACTCCCGTCATGGAATTTGCAAGAGCCTCCATGTATTTATTCGCAGTTTCTGTGGTTAGGGTTCCGTTGCGGTAGAAATTCTTAAGCCACATGTCGCCCGTCGCCTGTGATAGAGGTAATTGATGTGACAAAGCTGGTAGAGCTGATAGGTAATTACTTTGGTTAACGTGAGAGTCGAGGCTTTTGTCGTTGAACAACCCATTCAAAAACGGATGTATTGCTCTTACTGCTAGGGGGTCGAATCGGTATACACAATCTTGAGTGAACCACATCAATTGCTGTCCACGATCGTTGGAAAATGGTCCCAACCACCTGTTCTTCGTCGTGTCGATGGGTATAAAGTAGTCCTCTGTTTTTATCACTGATGGATCGCAAGACTTCCAGGCGCCGTCTCTAATAGTGTCTTTTGCGACGATAAGGTAGCCAGCCGGTTGTTCATAGAGGCACTCGGAAAGATTCTCAGAGGATATTTCTTCCTCTTCGTACGCGCCATGGCTCGTATTTGCCCGGAAAGTCTTAAGGCAAGGGTTAAGTGAGCATGTGAGAGCAAACGGCTCCCAAGTCTCTCTTGTATAACAAGAACCCTCTTCTTTGCATCTCCACATTAAGCTGTCGAATGTGTAGAGTTGGCTGGACCTGTTGCCGGATTTATATTGGGATTTTGAGGAAAACACGATTGAGTCCTCTATAACTTGTCTTTCTGTACTTGCTGTAGATGGTAGGCTGTAGCGTGGAGTTTCCGTGGTTTCGTTTATGATTTTATCTGTGCTGTTTGCACAAAAACCGCACATGGCTAGGGTTGAGAATGTCGAGCCACGAATTTCAGGGAATGTGCAGTTGTTTGTTAGACATCTCGCAGTGATACTTGCTGCGCTGTCTTTTGGAGGGTTTAGTAGTCCCATGTAAATAGCAACGGACATTTGCCCATCAATATCGTAGTCGACCTCATTATATGTCAGACCGGCTTTCGAGTACTTATTTGCTCTTGGAATCATGGCCTCTGCCACCGGATCAATCCGCATGCAACTATATTGCTGGACGATTTGCTGTGAGAAAGGATCTACAGCGAGAGTAGCGACGGTGACTAGAGCACCCACACTGGCTAGCCATCTTATGTAAGTAAGCAGATGATCATGCTGATACCGAATATCAAACTCAATTACTTACGGCGTGTTATAGCCCGGAATTCGACTTGCTAGTAGCTTAACACAACCCCATGGGCCTCTGCTCGCCATATCAAACCGTTCAATGTCGACAAGAAAATGTGGTTGTTTGTACCATGTCCATTTGAACTGACTCAGTCCTGCCCAAAGATAATTAGCGCAATATCTTCAAGTTGAAAAAACATACACTCGTCATTACCTTCAGCTATTGGCAGTATTAACGATCCTTTAAACACCGCAGTAAATACGGCGATAAGAGAATTGATGGTGATAGCGAATGGCCAATCCAGGAGTGTATGATTCTCAAATATAGCAAGGGTGATGACGATGGCGCATAAACATAGTGTTGCAATTAGAATGCTCAGAGCCTCCATTATCCAGGTAGAGTCAGGGGGTTGGTTGATATCGGAGTACTCAGCCAGTCCGTCTTTCTCCGGCTCATGTCGAGGTTGGTTGTCGTAAGAAAGCAATGATGTGCTTTTCCAGTGGGATGTTGATTCGGACGAGACGTCGCTTACGCCTAACGAGAGCTTGCTCCGATTGTAGTAGTTCTCCGCATACTGGCGATGCAAGGAAAGTCTTGAAGGATTCGCCATCATTGCTTGCAGGGAGTTTAGGGAACAGGGCAGCAAGAACAGAAATCTACATTTTCGAGGCAAACCATTATACATCCTGAGCCCCATGTATCGGCCCCCAAGAATCTATGCACGTATGCGTACACAGGTCCACAAAAATATGCATCTCCGCTCGCCGGATGCAAGAGACCCGAAAATTATATGCAAGCTGAACCATAATTGTAGCGAACCACAAGGATCATGCTTACCAACGCCCGTTTCAGCCCTTTTTGGAACAATAGGTCTTGCCAGCTAGTGCCGCCATACTCAGCCTCATGCATCCTAAATTAGTACAATTGCGCATGACGTTGAAGATTCATCAGCCTCATTCACTACTAGAGCTGTGTACTCAAAGTTCTATTCGGTTTTATATATCTACACAAAAATCGAGTTTGCTCAATTATCTCCGTGATGGCAATCATTTGGACATGCATAAATATATATAATAAAGTGGAAACAGAGAATAACCGTTTGACGAGTTACAACATAACTTATATCTCTACCAAACTGCGTGTCGCATCAACCTAAAAACATCAAAGCGGTGAGCGTGAAGTTAAATGCGGAAAAGTTTGCGGTCACTTGATAAAATCTTAGTTTTTGTTTCAGTGGAAACGAACTACAACAGCAGAGCCCTCAGAAAATCTTCTTTACGACTATTCACACCCATAGCTGATTATTTCAGCATGAAGAAAGGAAACTGTTCCCGCCATTAGAGATGCAAAGCGTTGCAAGATTTAACAATGGAACTGTAAGCCTTTGAAAGGCATTAACCAAGAAAACAAAAAAGAGGCGCATCTATCCTAAACAGGGAGCAACAAATATTAAGCCCCGCAATACGGATGTATTTGCACGGCGATCAGCGAATATGGGGGCGGTCTGCGACAAGGCTGAGCCCGCATGGCCAAATAGGCTGGCCCCGCCGGGTCGCTACACACTAGTGACACTAAAAAGGGCTAGGCGGGCCAGGCCACTCCGCAATCCGCTCCGTCCACACTGCACAGCCACACCACTCCACAAAGACTCATACACCTCACCTCAAGACCAACGCAGCCGCTTGATGCACCTATCAACATCTGAATGAAAGACGGACTACACAGCTGCATCTTGTTTCCCATACAAAACAGCTCCAACGTCTCTCATTGATGCCACAGCAAACAAGGCCGCCAAAATGCACATGTTCGACCTTCCGCCCGAGCTCTTTGAACCAATCATGGAGCACCTAGCCTACACACTCCCTATATGTCGTATCCTGCGATTACGGCTCGTCTGCAGTATGCCAACCCACAGCACACACAAGCACAACCAGCCATCTCGCACAGCACAGCCATCAGCGGCGCCCGCAGGGAAAAAGTGCAAAAGGCGGAAAGACTAACACGCGCGTGCATAGAAACATTCGACACAAGCCTGGTTGCCGCCATTATCAACACGGAAGCCGTCGAGCGCGCCTATAAAGCCAGCGCACCAGTCTGGAAACTTCGGCGGTATTGGAATTTTCGCTTCTTTGGCAACCGCATGCCAGAGAAATGGTTGTTGAGGCTGCTGCTTCGGCACGCGCAGAAACGCGGAGAGGATGACAAGTCGATAGTGTGCGCGGTGCAAGAGGTAGCGCGTCGATTGGTGCAAGAGCAGCAGCGGATTGTAAACGAAAGGACAGGTAAACAAGAAGTAGAAGAGAGCAACACGGAGCAAACGGTAGAGGAAAAAGAGGAAAAGGAGGAGACTAAACACCTACTCGACGAACAACAAACCCTCGAGGCCGTATGCGTGAGCCTAATATTCTTACACAGCAATACCATCATCGCCGACATTCTCGACCCCCTGGACAGGGAACCCGAAACAAGGCGCGCCCAACTCTGTCTCAACACCGCCGCCTGGCTCGGCAACATCGCACTTTTTGACACCTTCTACGCCCGGGCGAGCCACAAGCACGACGTCTACGGCAGCGGCCCCTACAACCATCTTGTCGGGCCACTGCAGCGTCCGCTCTGCGCCGCCGTCCACCAGAACCACAAGGCGATGGTGCAGCACTTGCTCAAACTCGGAGCGCGCCCCTGGGTCGACGAAGCGTTCCGGTGCGGCAACCTTCCCATGGCCCAACTCATCCTCTCAGCGCGGCACCCAAACAACATAGCCCGCGAGATCCGGCTGTACGCGCTCCAAGAAGCCGCCAAAGGCGGCGACGTCGAAACACTAAACTTCGTGCTCACGCACCCCGCATTCGCGCCGTCCAAGTCGTCCTACACGAACTCGCTCTTGCGCAGGGCACTCTGCGACGCCCTCTACCACGCCGTTGTCCACGGCCACGAACACTTGGTCCCGCTTCTGCTCGACCGCGGCGCCGACCCAAACGGCAGCACGTACATTTCGCCCCTGGCGACGGCCGCGCGGCTGGGCCATCTCCGCATCGTGAAGACGTTGCTGGCGCGCGGCGCGGAGTGGCACAGCTGCATCAAGTGCCGGTACCTTGATACACGGAAAAGGGACGCCCCGTGCAGTGATCCGCATAGCGCGCCTGTGCTGCTGAAGGCTGTGGCGAGGGGGTGGACTGGTATAACCCACGCGCTGCTGGATGCGGATGCGCGAATGCTCTTTTCCCCGGGTGCGCTAAAGGCCGCAGCTGAAAAGGGGTGTGTTGATGCCGCGAGAGCGTTGTTGGAGCGCGGGTTTGATGTCGAGAGGGAGCATCCGGACCTGGATCCGAGGAAAGGCGGGTTGGGCCGTGAGGCAGTCTTTGCTGCGTGCCAGCAAGGGCAGGTTTCCATGGTGAAGATGCTGGCAGAGTGGGGGTGCGATATAAGAGGGCGGTTTGGTGAGGAGGAATCTATGATTGTGGAGGCGAAGAGGTGTGGGCATGATAATGTTGTTGATGTGTTGGTGGAGTTGGGCGTTGAGGTGCCGGAAGGGTTTGAGGGTTTACAGAGGCATTTAGAACAATACATGCCAAAGTTAGTATAACTCGAGTGTAAATAGTTCAGAGGGACGAGAAATATTAGGGTACTGAGAGAAACGCTAACGTTCCAGTTGTTCGCAGAATTACTTCATACCTTTGTACATTCGTCTGGTTAAACACGACTTATACGAGAGAGACAGAGGACATGAAAAAGGAGAGTAGTATTTTAGTCAGCATTAAGTAAAAGTACATACAAGTCCGTTGTCCCAAGATTCGTCGCTCATCATGGCCTCGATTAAACAATTACAATAAGGACAGTTTCGGCCACGTCAAGCACCATTAAGCACTTCGCAATAATGGTCTAAGAGTACGTAACCGTGGAGTTGACGATCGGCAGCTCGATCTCACCAGTGGCGCAGTGCGAAGCAGGGCCACTGCCACCAGGGGAGCAAGTGAGATCGGCCTCAGTAATGGTCCTGCGGCCAACATCGCGGTGATGAGCCGTGCGGGAAGGGCTAAGTGAATGTCAGTGACATAGTTATAGGAATGTAGACTGAAAAGTTTACTTGGTCTCTTCAACAGTGTATGTGTGCGCGATTTCGATGTCGAAGTCGTTTTCGCTGACCCAGCGGGGCGTGAACCACTCCCAGTTAGTGTTCTGGCAAGGCGTCTGGAATGCTGTTAGAAATACGGAATATGTAGAGTATTTTATTGGACTTACGAAGTCATGCGGGTAATCAGTGGAATCCTGGAGCCAGACGCCTTCACAGGAGAAACGAGAACCGTCGTCGATGCCGACTGTGACGTGCGACCGCCAATGGTGGTCCGAAAGGTCAAGGTAGTAGTTGGGAGAGATGTATGCGACTTTGATGGAGTCCGCAGCCAGAGCAGCCGTGGCAAAGAGGGCGAGGGCGGTAGGTGTCTTGAACATAGTGGATAGTGGTAAGTGATTGTAGTGAATTGCTGAGGAATTGAAGTTTTGCTGTTTGCGTTTTGCTTGAAGTCTATATACCGATGTGGCATTAAGTCTTTATAAAGATAAAACCAACCCCGGCCATACTTAGTCAGGACATCATCTACGCTCCAGCTGCTTACCTTCTTGTGGTAAGCTAATGGGCTCGCTAAGCGGGCCGGCGTATGTAGATACGAGATCGCGGTTCGTAAACACCTCCGGTGCTCCACTATTGCGGTTAGCGCTTATGTGGTATGGCCGTAACGAAAGCCCATTTTGCCACGCCAGCCTAAAAATAGCGACGCACGTAACATCGCGTAGTCCCGTCTTCCCGTACTCGGACTGTTCGGGTGACGGCATCACCGAGATGTCACGGGCCGAGGTGCTGACCATATCAATCTGTACTACATATGGCGTTTTTGGGCTCCACCACAACCAACTGATGATATGTTCAGCTGTAAGCAGATTCCGCCCTTGGGATTCGTATTGACAAATTAAGTCAGGTTTCACAAGCTGACCGAGCAACTCTTGTCACGATACATCACGATGATTCAACACCGTGCGCTGCGCACACTAATCACTGAACGGTAGGACAACCAATCGGAAACTTTCAGGCAGGGTAGAATTTGAGTTACCCGTACTTAAAAAGAACCAGTGGTCTCGGGCTGTTAGGTTCAGCATCACCGACCTCCGATATCCCCGTCCTTCCATTTTGTGACTTACGAATGATGGCAGCCTGGCGGCCAAGACCTCGACGCAATGTTACCATCACCCGATCGTGGCCTTCAGGCTCATACGACTGCTCCTGCATCCACTTGAGGATAGCTGCACGTCAGATCCTCCCGCTTATACTTGCTTCTGCTGCCTTGAGGCAGTCGTATACGAAGATGTGATTCCTTTCTGCTGCATCGATGGTACTGTATGGCGTGTCAACGTTTTTTCCTAGTGTGATTGCAAACGCAAGTTTGAGACACGGTGTGCGAGGCTTGCATGCAACAAGTCGCAGTGTCGATGCGTTCGTATCCAGAATAGCTGGTATAATTAAACGCGTGTAAGATGCGATATAACGTGAACCCTATAGCTTTCACTTGCTTGTCGAAAACTCCGTGCAATGGGTAGCTAGCTGGCTGTCGAGTTCTCTAGAAGGTAGTCGAACTTTTTAGAAAGCTGTTAAGCTTTGTAGTTAATTAATAGTCTTTAGAAAAACAAACTTAAATGTTAAACGTCTTTAATGAATAAGACTACGTACATCTCTTAGTTCTGTCTATCCTTATAACTATACCATGTTTAGCTTAAGGAGAAGTAGACAGTATAAGGCTTCCCAGTTATTTTATAGATATCTAGTATACTAAGCATTTATATTTCAGCAAGTAAAAACCAGAATATATCAAGCTACCTTGAAGCAAGTACGTAACTTAAACCATCACTACACAGTACTAGCATAAATCACTGTATACGCCACCGCCACCACCAACGAAAACCAACTCGCGACCAGTCGTCTCTCCCCTAGCTTACCGCACTCTCCAACTATCTCCATCTCCACCATCCCCTCCTCTTCCCCTACCCTAAAATATAATAACAGCCTTCGACTCCTCCCGTCTCTCAAACCGGCGATACGCCTCCGGCGCCTCCTCAATCCCGACAACAAAGCTAACAATAAAATCCAACTGCGCCCTCCCCTCCGCAACCAACTCCATAAGCCGCGGAGCCCAAATCTTCGGATCCACAGGCCCACTCTTAAGACTAAGGCCCTTGTTGAAAAACTCGACGATGGGGAACTGCACCGTCGCGCTCGTCTGCTCCGCAAACGGGATGCCGGCGCTTGCGCTCTCCGCCGCGAAAAACACGCCGATCTGCCCCAGCCCGCCCCCAGCCGCCGCGACGCGCACCATGTCGCTGAGCACGATGTGCGGGCGGCGCGTGCCGTTGCTGTCCACGGCCTCGTAGCCGACGCAGTCGACCGCGCGCGCTACGCCGCCCGGCTCTCGCGCTAGGATCTGTGCCACGGGGTCGGCGTGCGCGAAGTTGATCGGCACGGCGCCGATGGACGCGGCGAGGCGCAGGCGCGCAGGCACGCGGTCGACGGCGTAGACGCGCGAGGCGCCCCGCAGCTGCGCTGAGTATGCTGCTAGCAGGCCGACGGGGCCGGCGCCGAATACCACGACGGTGTCGCCCGGCTCGAAGCCCGAGAAGTCGAGCGCGGCCCAGGCGGTTGCGAAGATGTCGCCGACGAAGAGGTAGCTGAGGAGGGCGGTGGCGGGGGTAGCGGCCGTGGCGTTCGGAATACGGAAGAGGCTGTCGTCGGCGAAGGGGACGCGGAGGTATTCGGCTGGGGTGCGCGTTAGTGCTTGCGTGGGTACTCGATGGATTGGTTGTTTTGTTTGAAGCGGTTCGGGCACTCACCCTGGCAGCCCTCACTGAGGCCAAAGTCCTCGCCGAGCCCAAACACCGTGCCCGCGCCGGGATCGGGCACCAGGTCGAGATGCAGATGGCCGTCGGCGCCCTTGTCCGGGATGACGACGTACTCGCCGACGGCGAGACTCTGCACCGCGGCGCCGACTTCGGTGATGATGCCCATGCCCTCATGCCCCATGACGTAGGGCACGGCGGCGGAGCCGTAGATGCCGTGGTAGGTGTGCAGGTCGGTGCCGCAGATGCCGGCGGCCGTCATGCGCACAATCACGTCTGTTGCGCTTTGCAGCGTTGGTATGGGCAGGTTGGTCACGCTCATTGAGTAGGGTGTTCCGTCCCAGACAACGCCGCGCATGGTCGTGTTGGTTGCGTTGAGGGCCATGGTGGTTGGGGGAAAAGAGTTCAGTGAGAGGGTGTTGGGACTTGTCTTGCGCTCTTCTACTGCTGAGACTCGAGGTCTGTTTTTTATAGAGTTATACGAGGTCGCCATGTCGGAGTTAGTGGTACTGCCGTTGGGCGAGGGGACGAAAGCTGTACATGACATCAGACATCATAAGTAGAGGTCTTTCAGAGGAGGCAGTGCAAGCACACCACAGCAAAAGAAACATCGATGCCAAGGAAAACATGCAGTTGGTCCTCCCAGAGCCGTGGTATCAGACACAGGGCTGTGGACAGGGCCAGGCCAAACCCGTAGAGGAAGGATGCGTGATGTTCTTTGAACCAGCAATGGTCTTGCTTAGAAATGCACAGCGAGCCTACACTTACATCGTTCTTCAACAAAGGCAGCTTGTGCGTCGTTCTGCCGCTATGGGATAAGCATCCTTGCTTGCCATAAGCAGCCCGCCTTAGCGCCCGCAGAGAACCTAAACCAAACCCTAAACCTACTCTAGCAGACTGACGCAAGCCGCTTATGCTTACCTACGCAGGTACCCGTCCAGCGTCCTACCCAGCATTCGTCGGCGGCGCGCACCACTCCCGCCCAAACAACTTCCGCTCGCCCCTCCTCTCCCTCCACATATTAGTAGCGCAACAAACATCCCACGCGCCCCAAACAACCCACCCCCAAAGCCGGGCAAACTCCTCGCCGACCTCCCAGCCCGCAGGGTCCGCCGGATCAGCGCCCCAAGCCACCAATCCCGCGCGCTCGCGCGGCTCGTCCGCCCCAAACTCCACTAGCGCCGCGCACAGCGCCGTGTCGTCGTAGTCGGCGCCCAGCGCGAGGATGTTGTTGCGCATGGCGGGCGAGGGCAGGAGGTCGATCCAGGGGTGGTGCGGGGTTGTGAGCTGCAGGGGCGTGGGGCGCAGGTGCGGTGGTGCTGGCTGTGCTGGCTGTGCTGGCGGGGTAGTCGTAGTGGTGGCTGAGGCGCAGAAGACAGACTCGGCGTCGCAAGCCAGCCACCCCAGGTCGAAGCCCAGCGCGGCGTTGTTCTGCATCAGCGCGCGCAGGACATTGAACTGCACGAGCGAGAGCAGGAGATCCGTGCGCGGGTCTCCAGCCAGGTAGGCGGCGTAGGCGCGGGCGCCGAAGCGGGACAGCATGAGCAGCGCGCTGCTGGCGCTGAGCGTGCATGTTGTTGTGCGGTGCTGGCCGGGGCGCTCGGCGGTGGCGGCCGTGAGGGTCGTGCTGGTGGTGGCATCTTGCTGGTGCTGGTCAAGTTTGTGGTGGGCGCGGCGGCGGCCTGCAGGGACAAGAGTCTAAGTGTCAGACACCTAGGTCGTGCACGGAGTATGTTGTATCGTCGTCACTCACGCCAAGCGCGCTGGTGCAGCCGGTTCTGGATCTTACGGCGGCGGGCCGGGTCACTGAGGCCGGACCAGTCGTCCTCGGCGCGATTGGGTGCCAGGAGGGCAATAGGGAGCTGGGTAGTGGACTGCATGATCAAAGAGTACTCGATGGACAAACGCAATATGTAGGCTGCTTACGCGCTAAATAAGTACTGAGCCAACTGCTTAAATCCCCCCCGGCGCCGATCCGCGCGCTAATGCAGCCTGCTTACGCGCAGGGACCAGCGCTTGTGTTATCTCCGTCTGCCCTCCGGATCGAGGTACGCTGGCATGTTTGATATAATTATTCGATCGAATCGAATCACCTCTTTCTTACCTCTCTATCTCTCGTTCTCTTCTCTCCTCGGAAAACCAAATGCCTAAACAATGTCATTCTTCGCACCGCCCCCTCCCCCCGCCACGCCGCTAGCGCTGCACCGCGCCCTCTCGCCTACCGCAGCCGTCAAAGTCTCGCCCATCTGCCTCGGCGGCATCAGCCTCGGCGACAAATGGAGCAGCATCTTCGGACGCAATGACGATGCCTTCGCCCTCCTTGACGCGTTCGTTGCCCTTGGCGGTAACTTCATCGACACGGCCAACACGTACAATGCCGAGGAGTCGGAGCGCTTGATTGGGGACTGGATGCACGAGCGTGGCTGCCGTGACATGATGGTCATCGCGACAAAGTATGGCGCTGGGTATAAGGCGTACGATCGCGAGCGCTGGCCCCTGCAGAGTAACTTCACGGGCTGCTCGGCCAAGAGTCTGCATGTTTCGGTGAAGGAGAGCTTGAAGAAGTTGAGGACCGATTATATTGATGTGCTTTATGTCCATTGGTGGGACTTTGCGACGGGTGTGGAGGAGGTGATGACGGCTTTGCATGCGCTGGTGATGGCACGCCAGGTGCTCTATCTGGGTGTGTCGGATACGCCGGCTTGGGTCGTCGTTAAAGCTAATTCTTGTAAGCACACACACTCATACACACCCCTAAATCCATCCATCCATCAATCAATCAACCTCTTACCGCTAACAACCCACCACAGACGCCCGCGCCCACGGCCTCACACCCTTCAGCGTGTACCAAGGCCGCTGGAACGCCGCCTTCCGCGACATGGAAGCCGAGATTGTCCCCATGTGCGCAGACCAAGGCATGGGACTCGTGCCCTGGGGTACGCTGGGCGGCGGACAGTTGCTGAGCGCGGCGCAGCGGGCTGAGCGTGCAGCAGACCCTGAGGCGCGGCAGTCGGGTGGTGGCCCGGAAAACCCGAACGACAAGGCTGTGTCGGAGGCCCTGGAGGAGATTGCGGCTCAGAAGGGCGTTGGGTTGCAGGCTGTGGTGAGTTGCGTGCCTGCATGATTACCTACTGTATCCGTACGGACCGGCTGACAACATAACAATAGGCCCTGGCGTATCTCTTCGCCCAATCTCCTCACGTAACACCCATCGCCGGCGTGCAGACCGTCGAGCACGTCAACGCGCTCCCAGACGCGCTGCGCATTTCGCTCTCGCGCGCCGACGTCGCCAAGATCCACGCTGCGGCGCGCTTCGATCCACTATTCCCCATGAGCTTCTTGCTCAATTACCGTGGCGATAAGGAGTTTCATCTTGGTTTGGGGACGGCCGATGTGCAGCAGTACCAGATGGCAGCGTGGATATCTGGTGCGAAGGATTTGGCTGGGCGAGATTTGCCTGTGGGAGGAGGGGAGGGAGGGCGGTAGTTGAGGCGAGCCGGAGCGAAACCAGTACCGTTCATGTTCTTCACGAGCAGGCGCTGGGAGGGCGCGACATGGCCGTGGTCTTCGGTGGCCAAGGAAGGGTCGTCATCGATGTCGAGGACCGCGACCACTACTTCGATGCCAAGTCATGGCGCAAGTTAGGCATGAGAGTGCAATGCCTGCTTCAGAAGAATAGCTCCCGTGGCCGTCTTTATGTGGTAAATATCCTGTAGAACAATGTTAAACAATAGCAAGCAACTTACTCCAAATGGACGTCCTTATCGCGTTGGTCCGCCTTTGAGAAAACTGCGTTTGACCATGATTTCCACTGAAGTACTTGAACTTGCCACTATTCTCTATCGCCGAGCATCCTAGGAGCGGGCAAATGGAAGAATTCCGCTTACCGTTGTTGCTGCCGCTGCTGCGGAGGTTTCAGAGGTACCTGGGCCTGCTCTCTAAACAAGCCAGTGGCCTGGTGGTCACGTATGATACTGAAAGTTCGATCAGGTGGAGCTGCTGGCTGGCTATCATCGCTCGGGTCGAAGTAGAGTCCGAGATGGAGTTGATGGAGCACGCGCGTGAGCCTTCAGGGCGATGTCGCGCTCGCGTTTCGGCCGCGTTGTCGGAGGCCACATTGCCGAACGGATGGCTTCAAAAGGTCCAAGCAAGCGTGCTGCTGAGCGAATGGCTGTAGCGGGCTTCGTGCGCGTTGAGAAGGCGGGACTTGTGGCTGTGATGTGATGTCGCGTAAACGAGGGGTGTGCGGAGGGAACGCTAGACTACGCGAAGGAAAGCGTGGGAACTGGTCACGTGAACGGGCCGCGGACGCGGTGGTTTCGAATAAGCCAAAATCCCTTCATGTATTGCCGGCTAGAAATGTGCAACTGCTAAGAAGCTTTTTTTAATGTATAGCGGAGCATGCGTCGTGCAAAGATTGCTTGGCAAGAATCGGTCTTTAGGGAAACGGGCAATTTAAATCACGAAGAAAAGTATGATTCCACCAGTCATATAGATTGGCAGCATAACAGTGGAGCTCTTAAGAGGACCCCTGTATATGAGCACATAAAAACAATCAGTTGTCAACCAATATCTTCGACATGCCTTGCCGAAATGCAGACTCGCTTCGCGCGACATATCCTCTTTGATGACTTCGGCCAATAATCGGCTGTGCGAAATGGAGACATTGCTGACAATGCATGCAAACTGCAGGTGATATTGAATTGAGTGATTGGTCTATCGAATAGTGAGGCTTGAGCTCGGACTTGGCCGGCTATTTTGTATGTACTCCGTACAGCCTTGAGAAAATTTTAAAAGCTGGCAATGTCCTGACACGTTGTCCTAGGCTCCTAGCCTACCGTTTTTCTCAAATAATTTCTTTCTACATGCCAACAGAACTATGGAAAGACGGTTTCCTTCTTCATTCCTCACTCTCATCTTTGTGATAACTCTCGACACCTAAGATAACAAACCAAGGTCTTTGTTCTCACTGACTTTTCGGCATGCGAGTTCTCAATTCTCGCACATTGAAGTTTGACAGCGGGATTTTCAAGTATGGCGAACACGAATATGCCATTGTATCACACCGATGGCGAGATGAGGAGGTAGACTATCAGGAAATGCTGGAATCTATCCGGAGCCCAAAGACCGAGCAGAAAAACGGGTACGAAAAAATCAAACGGGCCTGCAAACAAGCCGTCAAGGACAAACTAGAGTACCTATGGATCGATACTTGCTGCATAGATAAAAGCAGCAGCGCCGAACTCTCGGAGTCTATTAATTCCATGTACGCTTGGTACCGCGCGGCATCCGTATGCTACGCATATCTGGATGACGTACCTGACTACGTCTACGCCTATGCAGATCCAGACTTTGATAAAAGTGCGTGGTTTACAAGGGGCTGGACTTTACAAGAGCTTTTGGCACCAGAAAAACTCAAGTTCTTCTCGAAGGGTTGGCGGGAAATAGGTCGCAAGAGCAGTCTATACAACCAGTTATCTAAGATTACAGGTATTGATATAGATGTTCTAACAGGCTCTACAAGCGTTCTATCTGTAAGCATTGCTCAGAGAATGTCTTGGGCATCTAAAAGAAAAACGACAAGAGTTGAAGATCAGGCATATTGTCTAATGGGCATGTTTAATGTTAATATGCCAATGCTTTATGGAGAAGGAGAAAAAGCATTCATCAGATTACAGGAAGAAATCATGGCAGATTCTGACGACGAATCAATATTTGCTTGGCGTGACCCTAACGCCGACCCCGAGGACCTTTATGGCCTGCTCGCGAAAAGTCCCGCTTACTTCGAAAACTCTGGAGACATTATACCCTATCACGAGTTTGAACCAAGGGAAACTTTTTCGAAAACGAACAAAGGACTGCGAATAACACTGCACCTCAGGAATATAGACGGTGACATTTCGGTTGCGAGCATCAATTGTCCAAGTCCTGGAAATTCCTACACTGGGTTTATCGGAATTTTTGTAAGGCGCCTGGACAACGACATCACCCACATTACAGGCCAACGTAGAGGACAATATGCCAGGATCAGGGCGGGGTATCACTGTAAAGTCGAGAGCTCAAACCGTGGCGCCCCCCAAGTTTTGTATGTGCGACAAAATGTCCACCTGCCACGTATCGACGGTGTTTACTGGAAGCCGGAAGTTGACGACTACTACTGGCATCAAGTCTTGCGACTAAAAGAGAACTTGGCTTTGAAACCTGGTTATGAGTTGCTCTTCACTATCAGCAAAATGGGGTCGCATGTGCCTCAAGAAAAAGGTTCTAAAAACCTGCAAAAGAAGTTCGTACTTGAGAGTGGTGACAAGTTAGCCGCAGCGCTAATTGTAAAACGGGGCCCGAAGAGAAGTTCAAGATTTGCAATTTTGTTTGCGTCATCTAAATTTGGCATAACATTTAATGCCATAGAAGATTGGAAAAGTCAATATACTTTCGAGGTACTTGAAAGTATATTTAAGCCACTTGATTCGAGTTGTCAGGTCAACCTAAAGTCTGAGTTGGTTCGAATAGAGGTTGACACGTCTATATCTTCTGGCACAAAGTATTATATGATCGACGTCATAGTAGAACAGAAACCAAAGTTGGCTACTGCATTTCTTAATTGGGATGATAGTTCTGCCTCAGAAGAAGACCGCTCGAATGTCCAGTCTGGTTGGATGCAAAGAATGCAAAAGGTTTTGTACGATATCGTTTAGTAACCTTTTTTCAACACATGTTTGCTTAGATCTGCAAGCGCGTGCATGACTAGAATCGTGTTATGTCACAAACCTTATAGAATATAAAGCCTTACCCATCTTATTATAAGCTCTTCTGCTATCTACCAAGGAGAATATCGGGTACTTGCATTTGCACAGTTATATTTACCTTATTCTACAATAGAATGGCGCTGACCTAAATTAGTTGAGAATGTTAGCGCTGGTTTACCATTTAAACCAAGTAAATTCACCGGCACGTACATACATGTACGTGATATACTATAGGGAGATGTAAGGGAAAGAAGGGCCGGACGTGAAGGTACGCCTAACCGTATCGATGTTATAGGGTCCGGCCTTTTGATACGTACTCCAGACGATAACAGGTTAATAGAATAGATAAATAAAGTATTCGAGCGGCGCAAACTTAGAGGGATGTACGGTAGTGTTAAACTGTAGTCTATAGAATGTTGGTGCTAAATAACCAAGATCTCTGGCTTTTGAGAGCCGAACACGAAATGGAGTGTTTATAATTCATGAAAGAGAGTGAAAAACATACCCTGTAACTTGTCACATCGTCCCCCAACTGACTGCTGGCAAGCCCCACAAACTACTTATCTGGGGTAGGTTTAATAGGGAATTTGCTTCCAGATCGCCGGCAGAAGACTTTTTTTTTTTACAAAAATTTTCGAGCAGCATCTAGCACCAGGTTGCTGAGAAGGATATTCAGCTTACAATTAGTATAGCTTTACGAGCTGCTGCTATTCTGATACAGATATTTGTTTAGCAGCCTTCCCTGTTTCTTACGCCTTCCTATATCCGTTTGTACCTACCCTGTTGCCAGTGGAAAGTGCGAACTTGAATATATATCATACGACACACGACTTCTTTCACGTGGCTAAAGCCCCACTGTAGGCAGCAGTAGAGACACTGCTCCACAATTCTGCCCAAGGCCACCATACTGGCCGCTTAGCTTTGTACAATAACCCTGCTGTCTCCCGGAAATAGGGCTCTTCAGGAACCTCAAAATACCAGCAAGGCCCAGGAACTTCAACTTATAGGCTACATTAAATGTGAAGGCCGAACGTGGCTAAGAGTAAAATGTTGCTGTTGTTCTTCTCACTCAACGGCCAAGTAGTGCTTACAAAAAAGTGGAGACGATTCGATAGCCAGTTTTTACCCCGCTAACCTGGGCCATGCATAAAGGCTAGGGAGTGGAGGACGCACTACTTGGTTAACTATACTCGCAAGAAAATAAGTTTTGGGACGTACACCCAAGCAGAGTGTTTCACTGTTGGCAATATTTAAACAGTGTGAAAACCCCCGATGGATAAAGCAAGACAATCAACTTCTCCCACATTAGCTTTTTTAAGTCTTTTGTTTCCAAATCTTTTAAAGATGTACTTCGCAAGCCTCTCCAGCGTTGCTTTCGCAACCTTCATATTCTCTTCAGTCGCCTCAGCTGGATGCTTCAACGGTGGACAGTCTTGGGGCGACAAAGAACTAGCAAAAAAAGCAGTAAAGGCCTTCTGCTCTAATTTCAGCAGCTTATCATATTCAAGAGAGTTGTTAGATGCGGGTACTTCAAAATCTGGCTGCCTCGATGGACCTGCGGGCACGCGGTTCGACTTCACCGTGGAGAAGATCGTCGATGACCTAATCTTTCTTGACGAGCCAACGTGTGTTGAGTTCCTTACGAACGAAGTCCATGGTTGTGATCATGGCGGAAGCTCTCGCGTAAGATACTGGTGGTTCACGTAAGTCCCCTAAATATACTATGGTCTGTAGCCTAACTCTTGTAGCTCCGACCCGAATGCGGGAGCTTGCTAGCGCTGCCAAGGACTATGAAATAGGAAAATACGATGCGGATGGCAGGAGATTTCTTGTGTAGCAACGGGTTTAACAAATATTTGGTTGTACAAAAGTACATTTTCCGCCAGTGTACTGATTAGAGCTTCAACTTTCCTCCAGAGAAATCATTACAAATTTTAAACAGCGGAAAGTAATGATGCCGTGAATAGGTAGGTGTAAGTGAGGACAAAGATGTTCCTACCCACACTAACCTTGTTTTGATTTTGTTCGTTCGTGAGATTTGTTACGAGGAGCTTGTTGGCCAACACTGTCATAAGCTGATGCATATCCGTATCAGGGATTCAGGGTGCCAGCCGCCCTTTCCGTGTCGATCTTGCAGTTTCGGCCGCACCACATGTTGGGCTGATATATAGTAAGGACAAAGGGACTGTGAAGAAGTTGCAACAAGCTTCTTGTACTTGCAGGGAATGTAAAAATGATTTCACTGATTAGTATAGAGTAGACCGAGAACCCTGAAAGCGCCGTACATTCAAAATCAAAGCTCTACACCACAGCACCAGTAGCTGCGCCAAGCCCGATCATTCTTCTCACTTTTCTGTATCAGTTGATCCTTCAGTGAGTTGAGAGGGACAGTGCCAGAAGTGAATCGTTCTTTCCACTTAGTACTAAGTGGGTCCACAGGCTCAGCACCGAGTTCCAGCAGAGCCCTTTCCACCACAGACTGCCCGTAAGCGGCCGCAACGACGATTGGTTGAACGTCGATGACGCTTTCGTAATAAGGTGCATCGACGGGGATTCCTTTCTCGACGTAAAGCCTGACCAAATCCACGTTTCCGAACGCACAGGCGAATCCCATCATAATTGCCTTGGACTGCCTGGCCAGGTCTGAATCTTCGTCGAGATGCACGACGTTGCGTAGGAGGAGCAGGCGGATAATGTCTGCGTTGTCGAGTTTGGCTGCCCACTGCAAGTCTTTATACCAGTCCTCCTTTGGCCGCTGGAAGCCTGCATCCAGCAGCATTCGAGCCACGCCTGCGGCGTTAAGAGAGACTACTGTGTTCATGTGAACGTTTTTAAAGCAGTCTTGCAGCTTTGCGCCTCTTTCTAGTAATAGGCAGAGGATTTGCTCATGGCCAGCCTCAACGGCCTGGTCCATTCCCTTCCGTAGCCATTCTTCCATGCGCTCGCTGCTGCCTTTTATCGTTGTGGCTTTGTCGAGAAGAGTCCGGACTTGGTCGATTGCCCCGTGCACGTCAATGAGCATCTTTAGACAATCCGGGACAAGATCTTTGAGGTCGAGAGCCTGTTTGTCGGCGTGCTCAAATATCATCCACCCAATCTCGAAGTTGCCGTCTTCGAATGCGCTTATCATGGCAGATTCGTTTTCTCCACTTCGAAGGAGCTTCGGGGACTCTAATAGTATGCGCACGATATCCTTGTTGCCGCTATCGGCAGCAAGGTAAATAGGCGCCCGCCAACGCACCTCCTTATTGACGTCCGTGTTGGGTGTAAAAACTGCTTGAACCATCTCAAGATTTCCCGTCATGATGGCCGCGTGAAATGGGTACCCCCAGGGCTCTCAGCCGCCAAAGTTGCTCGATATTGAGTCCACGTCGAGCCTTCGGGTTGCCTCTTTCACGAACGGGACCATGCCCAATATGATTGCAGAGAGAACGATATCCCCTTCCGTAGGAGGTGGTGACTTCCATTCCGGGCCCCCGGAATCAACCAAGTTTATGCGGAGGTGTAGACAAGGTCTGCAGATGCTTTTGATGAGGACTCTCATGCCCTCTAAGCGCGTTTCTTCGTCTTCCAGTAAGGCAGGATTGCCGCCAGGCCCTGTTGCGAGTTCATCGAACACCTGGTTCATCCACTCAGAGAGCTGATTGCCTTTGTGATTCCGGATGGTATGAGGGCGCTGGAGCATGTAGCGAGCCACAAATCGGCATATTGACGGGCTGATCCTCGGCGGAGGTCCACATGTTTTCCTTTGTTTTTGAGATGGTACTAATAATTCTGCGTCAAGGCCAAAGACTTGTGTTGTTGTAAGTGCGCGCAGTGTCTCTCGGTCGAACAGTTCTAGAAGCGTTAAAAAGAGTGTCATGCAGCGGACAAGATACTTACTGTTGATGCGGCGAAGATGCACGGCTTGCGTCAGGCCGAGGTCACAGACGAGCCGTTCTAAGATTGTGCGGAACAGATCCAATGGAAGTTCGAGTAAAAGCATGATGGTACAGTAAGCGGTAGTGCTGACTTGTGAGATGATAGTTTCAGGCGCTGTCCGGTCATTTTATGGTAGGAAGCTGTGGGAAGTCACGAGATCAATGATCAACTGATCAGGCAGCAGCCAGGTGATGGGTGCAAATAGCGGGGTTTGGTAAAAGCAAAGAGAACAGTCAACCAAAGCAAGGAACAATGGATAGACAAAGCGTAGGTGGAGAAAGAAAGAAAGGTTTAGTGAAACAAGCAACAAAGCCCCAAAGCAATTGCCAAAGTCGCGTAAAACTCACACTAACCAGATCAGGTAATTGATCCTCTGCACACTCCACCCAGGACGACCAAGCCCCAGCACCGCCACCCAACCCCTCAAGGAATAACAGGCAGCAGCACCCAGCTCTGCCACCTCCCCCCAGTATGCAGCGTGCACCTCGCACTCTCCCCCTCCTCACCCCCACTCCCCCTCTCCAGACCCTCCAACTCCGGCAGGCGCAACTCCCTTCCCGCAACCCTCAACACGACGCCCTCGCCCGCCTCAAACACCATACCCAGCGGCCAAATCGGGATCTCCAGCTGCAGGACCTGGTCCACAGGCACGGGCTCCGCGGCCCTATCAAGCGCATAAGCGACGCGCCCGTTGCAGAGCGTCTTCGTGCCCGCGCAGCCCGCGCGCAGCATGCCCTCCGGCCCGAGGAACTTCGCAACGTTGGTGTCCGGGACGTCACGCTCGGGGATGGGGACGGGGAAGTTGAGCGACGCGAGGAGCGTGCCGCTGCGCGACTTCTTGCGGATTTGGACGTGCACGTCTGTGACGTTGGGGTTGGCGAAGGAGATGCAGACTTTGGCGACGGGGTAGCCGGCCAGCTCGGTGTAGGCTGCGAAGGTGTGCGTGAAGTCCTGGGCATGTGAGTTTCGCGCGGCCTTTTTTTGTTGGGGGGTGTTAGGGAAGGGAGAATTACGAGGCAGTCGGTTGCGCTATGCGCGGAGTAGCTTGCGGAGGCTTCGGTGGTTGGTGCGGTGGGAGAGAGCGTCTTCGTGGCGCTGTCGAGGTAGTACTTCACCTCTTCTGTGAGCGGGATTGGCCACGCGTCTTCCGCTCGCTCGACGATTGTCTTCGCTGGGCTTCCGGTGAAGCCGAGCAGGGAAATTCGGAAAGCGGGTGTCTTCTCCCAGCCGTTGTTGATGCCTTTGCAGTAGTGGTCGAAGAACTGCTGGAGCTCATCATTCACATCTGGGCGGTAGATGTCGTGCCCTGTGGGGTACATTAGTATGAGACAGGAATCAAATTGGTGCTTTCAGTCTTACACTCTTGTGAAGCGTGTACTCGGAGCCATTTTTGCTGAGACTTTGCTTTCATGAACGTATGGAATGACCCTTCAGAGTGAAGTCCGGTCCTTTCAAGCATCATTAGACAAATAACTGCAGTCTCCCGTAGTATATACTTACGAGTATGAAGCAGTCAGATAAAGCGGAACGTCAATATTCTCAACCTTGATAGCCTTATCCTCCCAATACTCATCAAAGATCGGATGCTTGTGGTACATTGCTTTGAGATCCTCAGTCCGGCCATGACCTAGATCAACGTTAGCGACATAAGCGTAAGCATAGGAACGAACCAAACCACCAGCAAAGCCTTGAGTGACCAAATCAAAAAACTCCACGCGTGGAACGCCACCACGCACAAACTGCTGGCGATAAAGATCCGACAGGCCCTCCCAAGGCGCAAGCGCCTTGACAGCGGGATGCTTGAAGCGGGAGGCGAAGTTTATCTGCGAGACCGCGAGCCAGGAGTTGCCGCTTGGTAAAACCATTAGCGCACCGTACACGGGAACTGGGTGGGAGTCCAGTAACAGAACTCACGCAAACGCAACTGAGCCGCTGCACCATGGCTGCGCGGCTACCCAGTCCACAAAGTCGTACATATCCTCGGCTTCCTGCTGGCCCCAGAAGGCGATTTCGCCCTCGGAGTCGCCGGCACCGCGGGGGTCAACATTGACGATCGCGTAGCCGCGCTCAGCCCATTCGGCGGGGTCGGGAGCCTGCACGTAAGCTAGTTAAGTCTGCACTCTTCAGGTGTGCCAGAACACTGCCTTTTACTGCTTACCTCAAACTTCTCGTAGCCAGAGGTCTGGTCCAGCGCGAGGCCCATACGGAACGGGCCCATGTTATCGTAGTTAAACGATCCTATTTGGCGAGGGCTAAGCAAGCAGTCCGTATGCCTAAGCCGGGGACACTCACCTCGTCCGCTTTTGCCGTACGGACTCCATGGGATCACGGCGGGAACTTTGCCGTCCTCCTCGCTCGAAGAGGTTGGCCGGAACACGTCCGTGTAGATCGTGACGCCATCGCGTAGCTTCACAGCAACGTCCTTCTCGAATACGGTGTCGATGCCAAAGGGGCGGAGCCCTGGCTTGCGCGTGTGGCCTTTCGGAAGCGTCTGCACGGAGGGATTGAAGCCGTCGTACTCGTACGTAGGGTGCTCTGCGGGCGGCGTGAGCTTTCGGAAGACGATGTCGGGGAACTGCCGTTTGAGAGTCGCCATTTTGCCTTGTTATTGTTGTTGTGGCCTGGTATATCCGAAGGTACGGCTTTTATATGAGTGCCTTTTGCTGTAGTAGAATAAATCCGATACTATATGCGCTAATTCCGTTGCCGCCTACCCCACTGTGGCTGCGCTCTGCCGAGCCCCGCTTTTGGCACGTTTCTTGTGAAATACCCAGGGGGATGACGCAAGCTAGACGGTGTAGCAAGCATACTCATCAGAGAAGCCCAGTAGCAGTTTCGGGAATTTACCCAACTAGCCACGAGTATATAACATGTTGTAGCTGGCGACGATGATTGAGCTTTAACTCGAAAAGCTAAAGCTACAATATCAACGAAGTTGTAATTAATATGGGAGAGAATGCGCCGGTAGTTGTAATCCGAATAGTTGCTTGAAAATCCGTTGCCGACACTTCACCGTCCCGGGGTCGGCAGTGTATCCGAAAATTGTCCGCGATGGTGGCGACAGCGCTTCCGACGAGGGATATACGGGCTATAATCCGCTGAGGACCCTAGTTTCAGATCAAATTCGAACCAATCGCTACGCGTTGGCTGATCTGTATGCGTGGAACAAGCTTCGGGTGCAGGTCTAGCTGTTTCGGTTCGGACGTCGGAGGTTAGAAATCTCCGCGGCACTGATCGGAGCCAGCTTCAGAGCCCTTGGGGTAGGTTAGTTTACTGTTTGAGTAAGACTTCCTCCTTTCATAATATTATTTTACAGCTTACAATGTCTTTCCCCAGTCCCATGCCTTACCGCAGTAAAGCCAACCACTGCACGACAAAACCTCCGCGCCCATCAATCGCGAGCGCGAGAGACCAAAGCCTCCTTCCCGCTCCCTCCATAAAAGGCACCAGCTTTCGGGGGATCCCACCTCTTCCCCCCTTCAGGACAGTACTCCTCATCATAAACGCTTCTCTGGCGGCGCCACCACACGCGCCAGCCCAACAGCAGCAAAACAGCCAACGGGATAGACGCGGCCCAGTAGATCCAGAAGTAGCTAGACGTGACGCCCGAGGAGGTTTTGGCTTGCCAGTCAAACATGCTCATGCTGAACATGGTCTTGTGCAGAGTAAATACTTATTAGCAATAGTATGAGCGGTGGCTGGGGGATGTTACTGCTTACGGCGATGAAAGACGGCGGCAGGAACACGGCTGTTAGCAGCGCGAGCGCTTTCATGGCTAACCCGTCGACGCGCGCATCTCGCGCTACTTTCATGCTCTGGTCGTTGTCGGCTTGGTCGATGAAGCTGCTTAGCTGTGGGGTAGGGTGCGAGGTTAGCGTTTATCTCTGCGCAGAGGTTTGGTTTTGTCTGCTGGGGTTGCATACGACGCTTAGTTGGCGCTCCTGCCTGTCCCGGATCTGGTTTACAAAGTCCTGAATGCTTTCGAGTTTGTTCTGGAGGAATGAGACCGATTCTTGCACCTCCGTCTCTTGTCTTGTGCGCTTGAGCTCATGCGTAGTCTCCTCAACAGTGCTTTGCATGAACGCACAGTACCGGTGTGCCCATTGCATGTTGTGGTGCAAAGCCACAGTATTGTACGCGTTAGTGTGCAGTTGCGACGTCAGTCTCACCCGTTCTTCTCTCCTTGCCATATTCTCCAGCGGCGCAACATGGTCGAGCGGGTCGTTGTACTTTTTGTAATTCCTACCCGTCCGTGTCACCCCAAGATACCTGTCAAGGCTCATCATCGACAGGTCTATATCCGATCTGAGAAATCGCTCCGCTCTGTCGACGTAGTCGTATAGCAGTATTGCCGGGAGTAGAAGCGGGTCCGTCCATGACCGCGCCATGCACTCTAACACGGTTTCGAACACCGCGATATGCGGCCTCACTCGCTTGCCCGTTGTGGGGTTGTTCTCGCGAACGACGTTTCGGCCCCATAGGAATGCATTGGTGTTCCCTGTGTCGCAGTAGTGCGTCAATGAAAGTCCACAGTTTTCTATTTGGAATATCTGCGGCAGTTTAACAATGATCACTGTATTTGCTGTAAGCAAAACCCCAGCATTTCTTAGAGACACGTTTCATACCAACCGAGACGAGGCGATCGCCCGAATACCTCTTTCGGCGGAAATGGGTTCCGTTGTGGCCCTGAAAAGCCGGAAGAGTCTCGACGGGTAAATCGAAAACCCTCATCAAAGACTCGAATGAATTCTTGCTCATGGCGAAGTCTGGAGGCTCGACATGAAGGCGCTCGCATATAAGTAGGCGGATCTTCCCTCTCTTGGTGCCGGTTCCGGGAGGACGGGAAAAGTAACCTCGCTCCAGGAGCCAATCTTCCACCTCCAAGTCATTCTGGAGCTGGCCTCTGTAAATCTGATCCACGCGGGCTGCTGCATGCACCAAATATCAGGGTGCATTAGACTCCAATTAATCAATTGTACTTACAGCTTTCGGTCTCAACATAATGGAGCGGATTGCGTTCACACCCTTCCCATATCGCGCGTCCGTTGAGGAACTTTTCGTATCGCTGTCTGAACATCGCTGTACTCGCGGAGAAGGCTGACGCGGGCCGCGCAGCTTATAACCGACTAGCTCTTACTGTCGCACAGAACCGGACAGACGCATATGCATGCGAAATGACGTACTGTAGCCCCAGAAACGCAAGTCCCTCGTCCAGGCTCGCGTATTTCTTTCCCTCATCCTCAGTTGCAACGAGAGCATGAATTTCGCAGCCATCACCACCGCGCGTGCTATCGCGGTCGGGGTCGTCGGGGAACGACGCTTTACGCGCCAACAAAGACGTAGGAGGATGGTGCGAAGAGGATGAATTGAGCGAGGATGGTTAGGAGCGACGAGCGCGACGTAACGATAGGTAATCGTCGTGGGGCACGTGAATCATCTCTAAACAAAAAACACTCGCTACCCGGCCCCCTCCCCCCGAACACAACCTCAACAAGCAACTGCAGCAACAGCAGCACCGCAAATCCCATGGCCCTGAGCACACTCCCGGGCGTCCAAACCAACAACAGCTCGACAACCTCCTCGCGCTCCAGGTCCGCGCCGTCGTATTGTCTTTTAGCGTAGACGGTCCTACACGCTGGTCCAGGTCTCGTGCGCGAGGTACACTTGAGAGCCAGCGAAACCATCTCTCTTCAAAGTCGCAATCAAGCTCCTGTGGGGTCAGAGGCGTCGGCGAAATGCGGCGGCGCGGGCCGCCCCCATGTCTCACCTAGGTAACTCGCTCACCGCTCAGCGCTCACATGCTCAGCGCCACCACTAACCAAGCACCTAAGCGTACGAATCCTTCGCTCGTGCACCTTCCGTCACCGTCAGTCGCAAAGAATAGCACCGAGCCGAATCCTCCGCTTCACGAACCACTGACGGAAGAGCAAAAAATCGTACAGACTAAACTCTCTCTACCTACATACAATAGTACCTAGCAGCGGCATACGAACACGAACCCCATAAACCGTAATCATATCATTTCATTATCTCGTCCCGCACAACCCTTGTCTCAACGTATCAAACCACGCACGCTTTTACAACCCCAAAACAACAGCCAGCAGCCCCAGCACGCCCGCCGCCGAAGAGCCAACGCCAAAGCTCGAGCCCGCAGCGCCGTTCTTCGCCGTCTGCGACGCGGCCAGCGTGACGTTGGTGGGCACGTCCGTGACCGTGACGGTCCAGTAGCGCACCGCGGACGCGGGGTGTGTGACCAGGGCCTGGGTCGGGGTGCCCTTGGCCGCGGAGATGGAGGAGATGCAGGCGTCGACGCTGGCCGTGTTCTGCGCAGGCGGGTGGGTCAGCTTCACTGTCTATTGCAACTCCGGGGTTGTGCCCGCGAATGGGTAGGTGCTGTGTGAATCGAAAGGAGGACTGCGACTTACCAAGGTCGACTGCATCTGCGCGCTAATGGGCCCCGCCACATTGTCCTGGTAGCACTCCAGCTGCTCCTGGAATTCCTTGGCGTTCTTGTTGCCCTTGAGGTCATAGGTGCAGACGGGGTCGCTCTTAGCGGTGATGCTAGCGTCGTTCTTGGCCGGGGAAGCCGTGACGGCGCAGCCGAGGTCAAAGTGGGCCGTCGTCTTGCCCGCGTTATCCAGCTTCTGGATGATGGGCATGCCGAAGAAGCCGTCGCCGTAGATGACCTCGACCTCCTTGGAGTCGTCGTCCTTGTCTGCGCACAGCGCGCCCACTTTGTTGTTGAAGTAGTCGTCAACGGACTTGGCTGTCGTCTGGCAGCTGAAGACCAGCGTCGTGCGCGACGACTGCACGTCGATGATGCGCCCGCTTATCCCGCTGTCGGGGACGTAGGTCGCTTCGTGGAAGGGGTCAACGAAGGGGAAGGAGATGACCGCGCTGCTGAAGGAGGTGGTTGAGGATGCGGCGGCGGAAGTGGAGGAGGCGGCAGAGACGGCTCCTGCGATGGCCAGGACGGTGGTGAGGTGGGCGAACATGATTGCTGTGGGTAGGTTGTTTTCTTTTTTCTTTTCTTTTCTTTTCTTTGATTTCTTTTATCCTGAGGTCCTGGAGCTTTCGGGCAACGGTGAATCAAAAGAGGACTGACTGAACAAGAAGCAAACTTCACACTCAGCGCACAAAAAACAGAGCGAAGTCGCCGCATTTTATCTCCTTCCACAGAGCCGCAGAGCCGGTAGTGTGGTGGCGATGGACTGACAGCAGTGGAGACCGGACGCATGCAAGGTAACCATGGCCCATGTGACACCCGTAACGCTTACCTCTTTCGGAGAGTTTACACGGCAGCGATTGGCGCTTGGGTTTAAGCGCCCTGAATACGAGCGTTGGTGCCTGGAGTCGTTAGGCTCCCGCGCCGCTTAATCCCCATGTCGTGCCACATGTGGCCTGTGCCTTATCGATTTCGGGCTGGTCGGCTTTTTCACGGCCGGCGCGTTCTTGTTCGCGCCGTTCTTTCCGTGCTGGCGGGGCGGGATGCGATTGAGTGTCTGAAGACTGTAATTGGGGCATTGGCTTAGTCTGTGGAGTGGGAGTGGGTTGTTCGTTGTTGTTTGTTGTTCGTTGTTGCGCATGTTTCGTTGGCAGTTTGAGTTGCGGAAGATTCGCGCTATCCGTGCTGACAAAGCCGTGCTAACCGGATTCAGAAGGACGCTAACAGGGAGGGCTGCCCAAGTCTTTCAACGTTTTTACCTTGGGCTTTTGTGGTTACTGCGATATCTGCTGACGTCTTCTTTCTGATTTCTCGGTTCATTTGTCAAGTGTTGGTGTTGTGCTTCCTCACGGTTGCTGTCAGACCAATTAGTAAATCCTAGCGGTTGCAAGCGCTGCCGTCTAATTGGAGGTTAAAATGAAGCTTATTAGTTATTGCTAACACGCCACCGGCACTGATGTTCAAGCAACAAAAACTAGGTACTGAGTACTTTCGGTAAAGCTGCCAACCACCACATCAATCCCCTCTAGATTCATCACCTACTTTAATCACCACCTTTCCAAAATGCCCGCCACTCGCCAGATACAACATCGCATCCCTCGTCTCCTCAAACTTAAAAACCGGACCAACAGCCGGCCTCACCTTCGTCTCCTCCACGAACTTCACCAGCTCCTCAAACCGATCGCGCGGCCCGTTCCAATTCCCTTCACCGTAACGTTCCTCCGCAGCGTCATCACGTCACATCCGTGCTGTCCCGGCCCTTCCCAGACAGGTACCCATTCAAGCCCCAACAACACGAACCTACCGCAAGCCACGATGACGATCATCCAAATGCTTCAAAATAAGCTCCGTCTCAGCCCTCGCGGCTTCCAGAATATGCTCGGGCATGAACTCCGGCTCCCAACCAACAGACCTTCCATGCGCGGCCGTGAAAGTCGACTGGCCAGAGATCTTGACCCTAACACTGGGCGCAGACACCTTCAACGCCTCCGCCATTTTCCCCAGCGAAACATCGTCTACCAGCTCCAGCTCCGCGGAGTCAATCACGCCCTTTGCCGCAAGCGCTTGCGCGAACGCCGCATACATGTCTTCCCAGGCGACGTTGCCCGGCGATGCGAGGTAGAAGCCGTTTTTGCCGTGGTCGGGGTTCTGGTCCGAGAGGATTGCGCGTAGTATGCTGAGGTAGAGCGTCGTGTTATCGCGGACGTGACAGACGGGCCAGGTCTTCGTGTTTGTAAGCAGCAAATACAGGTGTTTGGGTGAAGATGGGCAGAAATGCAAAATGTTTATGTGTTTAGCGCGTGTTGGGACTTACGGTGCGCTCTTTGTCGAGTTTGTAGACTCGGCCTGTGTCTTTGGCCGCGATGACAATGTCTACGGTCTGAATAGAGATTTTGTTGCCGAAACCTTCACCCTCGCCGTCTTCTCTGGTGTTAATTATTGTTTTTGTGGTATACCTTTAATGCCTCAGTGCACTTACAAACGATGCAAGGAACGAAGATGTAGGTCCTGACGCCGTGCTTCAGGCCCTCCTCAGTGACAGTGACATTGGTGTTGGTGGCCTTGGGATGGAAGATTTAGTGAGATTCTTTTACAATAGATAGAACAAAGACACATACGATTTGCACCTCCTCATACGGAGCCTTTTGGTTCTTGTGCTGCTCGTAGAGGCCGGGATCATTATCCAACAAGGGCCGGTCGATCGGAGCTCCGGAAAGGCTGGAAAACATCTTGGCGCCGCTCGTCTGAAAGAGGCAATTTTATTTTAGCATTTCTCTCGATGCGATGTTCGAGGGTTATTTCAGGACGACTCACGTAGAGGAAGTGAACCTGCGAGCCGGTAGCCTTCTTGCACTCGGCAAGCGCCTTGATGAAGTTGACTTGGCTGGTCGAGTAGTACGCGCCCATCAAAAAGTACACGATGGTGATCTTGTTGTCGACAACGGCTTTTTTTGTCGCTTCCTCGTCTTCTGGAGAAAAGGTGATAGGCTCAGCGCCGTATTGTTTGACGGCTTCAGCCTGTTCGGGCGTCCGGACTAATGCGAAAAGCTTGTTGTAGTTCGAGAGTCCGAACGGTTGGAAGTGAGCGAGAAGAGTACCGCCGAGGTACCCGGAGCCGCCAGTGATGAGGATGTTGTGAGGCATGTTAGCTAGGCAAAGATGACTTGAAGAACTGATGATGTTTGCTCTGACTTCGCATTTTCAGAAGAAGTTTGCTTGGTTTATGTAGCTGTATGATGGACGGGTGATTAGTCCTCGCATTAGAAATCAACGACTTTGAAATCGACACCTTTTGGAGATTGGAGAAGACGGACAACGTCACTATCGCTGGCATTGGGGGCATTTGGGGTAGTGACGACAGTGTGCTGTTGTTGTGGCAATTGGAGAAGCTAGAGATTTGGGGTAATTGGGGTAAGCCACACTAGCGGACAGATTTGTCAGCTCGTCCCTTCCATAACAAGCGCAACTCCCCCACTCCAATCAACCCCAACCCCAAATCTTTCCCTCCATCACTCACACGCATGCAAAACGCCCGCACCCGCAACCGCGCAGGGCGGCCGTTGACTTGCGCGTTTTGTGCTCGGGCGTTCGCAAGATCAGAGCACCTCCAACGGCACATTCGCACGCGTGGGGCATTCCTCCACGGCCACTGCCGTTCTCCTTCAACCACGCACTGACGGCATGGTCCAGACACGAAGGAAAAGCCGTATACATGCTCGTGCGGACAATCGTTCTCGCGCCAGGATCTTTTAGTTCGCCATGAGCGCCTAGCGGCACACGGGGCATTGCCGCAAAGCAACTTAAGCCTGCCATCGGGGAAGACATCGCTCTTGGAGAATGGCTTCGTTCTAGCACAACCTGATGATCTCATTGCCCCTGCTGGAGTTGGATCTGAGGACGTCGCTCTCGACTTCACACGCTTTCTGGACTTTGCGGGCCTAGATTTTGATTTGGACCTCTTCACCGGCCAGGACTTTACCGTGACGCCTCAAAGAGACCCGGGCAATACCGAAAGGCATTTCATGGTTCCCGATGGTGCAGCTGGAGATGGTATACTGAAGCTCATCACGTTCTCTTTACATTTTACTGACTCAACCAGATGATTTCCACGAACTCAAGCCGCTACAGCTCCCCTGGCGTGTTAATGAGCAGCAGCGCATCGAATACGTTGAGCAGGTTTTGCCCTTCGAGGCTGTGCTCGGGGAATTCACTGTCCCTTCTCGCCTCTCCATCTCCCGCTACGTGGCCGGCTTTGTTGATGGCTTCAGCCACCACTTCCCCGTCATTCACATGCCCACATTCAGCATCACCGCCGTACCGAACGCCCCCGAACTCGTCCTCGCCATCCTTGCTGTCGGCGCCCAGTATCGTTACGAAACAAAGGCCGGGATAGCCCTCTACGCCGCATCTCGTGCGATTATAAAATGCCGCATTCAACGCAACGAGCTCCCAGACTTTCATACAGTGCCGTTCTTCCACTTTTCACACCCGCACACTCTCCCGCCCGATCTTCCGGGCACGACCCGTACAATCCTCCTCCTTTCCACATTCTCCGCCTTGCAATCAGACTCAACCCTCCTGCAAGAGTCGCTCTCCTACCGAGCCCTCCTCGCCTATTGTGTGCGACAAGTCGGTCTTTCCGAACTAGCAGAAGAAGGAACTGCAGCAGTGTACCCCCAAAATTGGCAATCCTGGGCCAAAGCCGAAACACACCGCCGAACTGCACTCTTTGCCTTCTGCTTCCTCAATTTGCAAGAGGCCGCCTTTGGTATCCCTCCTGTACTGCACGTACGCGAGCTAGTCTTGTTGCACTTGCCCAGCTCCTGCAGCGAGTGGCTTACAGACAGCGAGGCAGCCTGGCTCTCCGCGCGGCGAAAGGATACTCTTGTGGATGTTAGTTTTGGGCACGCGCTCAAGTGTGTCCTAAAAGAAGGGCCTGCAGATGAGGCGGTGCCGGTGCTTTCGCCTTCCGGAAACTACATCCTCGTGCACGCGCTGCTGCAGCGGATTGCACTCGCGAGGCAGCTTGCCCTAAGCAGTGGCGAGATGCAAGGGCACCAGGAGCAGCTCCGCCGCGCGGACGTGGAGGAGCTGGAAGCGGCTTTCGACCGCTGGCGACAGGAATGGCGGCGCGCGCCCGAGTCAGTCCTCTCCGTGCTACAGACAAGGGACTCGCTTGCCTTCACTGCTACCGCACTTTACGGGCTCGCACATATACGTCTTCACTTCCCATATCTCGCAGACGCGCACTTCCAGACTTGTGATGCCGAGGTCGTGGCAAAGAAAATATGGGAAGCGCCTCCGCCACGACGAGGCCCGCATCTCCTGCGCACATTACTGCATACTGTGCACGCGCTTAATGTGCCTGTGCAGCTGGGTGTGGCGTATCTGGCGCGGAGCCAGGCACTGCTCTGGAGCGTGCAGCACGCGGTAGCCGGATTTGAGTGTGCGGTGTTTTTGAGCAAATGGCTCTGCGCTCTGGCCGAAGACGCGGAGTCACATGTTATATCTAGTAAGCCGTCTCCCCACACCCTTTCATGCGACATTTGCTTGGTAGCTGGCTGGAGCATTGGAGTACTAAGTACTAACCACATAAGTAGGTCTTGAGCGAGAGATTACGGGATGGGTAAAGCGAGTGGTTCGGGAAGCGAGTGAGATCGAGCTGGTAGAGTCCGCTCAGCTCTCTTCGCAACGGCATCAGTTGATCATTCTTGCGGTTGCGGTGGTTAGGCTGTGGGCGAGCATTTTCAGTGCTTCGAATGCTGCGTGGCCGTTTGTGAGGCTTGTAGGGGAGGGGTTGGAGCGATATGCTGAACTGCTTGAGGAGAAATATAGTGTTACAATGTCAGTTTAGACTTATGGTCTGTAGGTACGGATGGTTGGTTTAGCGGTGTCTGGCCTCTTTGATCAAGAGCGTCGAGTGAACTGAAGGCTGGTGTTTCTGGTGAGTCAACTAATAATCGACACATCGACAGTGATTTTTATGAAGAAAATAGAGTACTTATCTTAAAGCACTCCGCGGACATCTATAGACTTCGCTGTCTGTCGTGCTATTAGTGTGAGAGCAGTACGGCGGAGGCGGGCAATCTTACTGTCGTATTAAGAGGCAAACATAAAATATAGCTTATGGCTTGTAGGGGCACCTGGCGCTCTAAACCTCACGTAATGGTAAACAGTGCCGGCGCTGTACTTGTGCGCCATTTTGTTACCTTGGGTAAGACATAGGAGTGAGACGTGGTGGCGTCTGTGTAAGCGGGTGGTGGGGCCGACGATTAGGGGAAGGATAACACTATCGTATGTGATCGGGCGTCTAGCACATATGAAAGCCACGTTATTACGACGGGAGATTGTGAAGAAAGACGTGCTGACATTGCTCCAAGGAATATGAAGGACCTGGAAGTAACTCCGCTGAAAGAAGTCAAAGAACCCCTCCTTTCATTGAACACCTTGGCCGTTTGGCGAGTTGAAATTCGCTATGAATACAATAAGAACGGCACAGTAAGCTGCGCTGGCGCTGAAGAGTTCGTGTGTCCGAGCTTTTGTGAGGAGAGACATTGTTGCAGCGAACAATAGAGTGAAGCCGATCATGATGCCGATTGCTGAAAACACGGGGTTATGTTTGCCGAGAGACAACATCGCAATCACCGGGATAACGAGAAGTATTACGACTAGAGTGGTGATGATCAGGCCTACTAGTTTCTCTACGCGCGAGGCTGAGAAGTAGGTTACTTGTCCATTGAGAGGTTTGCCGTTCAACTCGCGTTCGTCTTTGTGGCGGCGGCCTGGACGACCGAAAACTCTCTATTAATCTCCTGTTAGTCACCTAGAGCCGTAGGTACTGTCAGTAATAAGTCTTACCTCTATTAAATCGCATTTAAGGTAGTCAAGAGTAGCTTCAATTTTTCCGTCAAAGCCAGCCCATTCCTGACCATGGCGTAAGGATACTAGATCCTCCCTCCACAGTATATACTCTTCCTCCCGCTGGACGAGAGGACGCTCACTCGAGAACCACGTTGTGACATTCCGGTAATCGCGATCCGTGGGACGTTGAAAGGAGACAACCTCTCGAGCCTTGATAAGGAGTTCGTCTGTAATTCAATCAAATAAAGTCATTCTTTGCCTGCAAATAACTAGAACATTCCATACTGACCGTACTTTAAAAGTTTCTTGTGAAGCTCCTGTAGTATATCTCTCCTTGTTGGTTCCTTTGTTATGGATTGCTGCCCCTCAGTTCCCTTTGTGGTTTCTGGTTGCCTTCTGGCTCTAGCAACGTCCAGTAATTGCGAGCGTAGAGGGCTTTTTTTCGTCTCGCTGTTTGTATTCGCCAGTAATTCATCTTCCTCATCTAACTCATATAGCTTCTTCTCAAGCTCTGATAGTTCGGTTTGAAGATCCAAAAGAAGACGAGAGTGGACATAGCTGAAACCTCTATACAGCATATGGTTTTGCTCGCTTGCGTTGAAAGCTGCAAGGCGCGGATATCCTTGGGCATATTGGTTCACTGGCGTAGTGATTGGGTCAGTTGCGGCCTTCTTTCCGATTTTATCACGTACATCTAATGACTTTCGTGTCTGGCAAGCTTGTGGTATCCCCACCCGTTTCTATCTTTTCGTCTTTCGACCCACTTTCTTCATCTTCTAAGCCTGGGCCTGGTCTCTTTGACTTGCCTTTCAAAAGGCTTTTTACTCGGTTGATGATAAGAACTATTCTTGTTAAAAGAGAAATAGCTGCCAGATTTCAGTGTTGCTTACTACATAAAGTTTCAACTCGCTCATCAAAAGAGGGCCTCTTAGGCTCAGGCGAGGATGTAGTATCAGGCATATTCTTCAAAAGGGCATATCCTCGGGGATTTCATCGGCAAACTTGTTCGCAAAAATGCGTAATTCGGATGTGCGATTCCTTAGCATCTATCGTTAAACGTACGGGCCTTTTATATAGTACAGAAAGCAAAAATAAACGAAGAAATGTGGCTCGATAAATTCGGTTAATGTACACACAAGAAGTCACACTCTATTGGTGGCGTATCACATACAGGGCTATCGGAAGAAAACCGACGATGAATAAAAATGCCACAAATGCACAACATATATAGAAAACCAGGAGTTTCCCAAACTCTAAGGTTTTGTTTTTATCACGAGCAAGCGCTTTCCTCTACAAGACTTGACTGGCTTGCATTAAGCTACTTTGAAGGCTAGCCTAAACCTGGCTTATGCAAAATCAAGGTCTTCCTCCAGAAACCATTTTTCCTTCCCTGACTCATCTTGGTAAAGTTCTCCTCCTTTGTCCTTCAGCTGATACTCCCATTGCGCACCAGCTTTCCTAAGCTTTGCCACGATCATGACTTTCTTGAATAACCTTCCACCGCCTTTAATTCTGACCGCTACATAATCGCCGACATCGTACTCTTGTGGATACTTTTAAAAAGAGTTATTGATGTTAGATATTCAGTAACTTTTTTGCAATGGATCCTTACGTCTGCCTTATTTGTAGTTGATACGTATGACATTAGACCGTTTAAAAGGCTGTTGAAGTTCCTACAATGACGAATATAACGGTAAGCGGATACACAAGTTGTATTTAGGGTGGGTGAATAGGTTTTAAATACCGGGTTAGCTTAATTTGTCTGATTTTTCTCGGTGTTCTAATGAGGCATATTTTATGTAGGAGAGATGAGTGAGCCGACCACGCCTACCGGCTATATATATCTTGAAAAGCTGTGTAACTATCAACACTTGATTCATTGCACCTGATATGTTGTGTAGCACACAGCCACTTTCTTGTGCTCCTTGTGCTCCGTCCACGTGCAACGACGATCGGGTGCCTAGTTTATGGGCGTCCAACGAGTGGATTGGGTGACCATCAGTTCCTGCAGCCAGCTGATTACTTAGGCTGTAGACGTGATTGCCCGTATTAACTATGTGCCGAGTAGATTTCGTGGGCTGAAACACTTGACGCACATAAGCAGCCTCTACGGGATAGCGGTAATTTAAACGAACACAAATAGAAACACAGGCTGAGGTGGATACCCTCGAATAATAAGCACTAAAACCCAAACTAGAAGGTAGAGTGTCCACTAGCCATACGCGCACTGAACGCGAGGCTGAGCCCCCTACACATCTCCCGTTTTAAGGAGAGCCACGACCACCGTCAATGTATAAGCAGAGAGGATTGCCATACCCTGATGTGACTTGATTTACCAGGTACCCACTGAAAAGACGAGAGGACCAATCAACGAGGACATTTCATCATAAAATACTTCTTTGTGAGCGACTTGCAACGATAAATATTAGAGATAGGTAGAGCATTAATATACTTAACGCGCGACAAAAGCGTCCTTTAAATACAGGCCCGTCCTAATTAACTACAGTTCACGACAACTTTAATCAGACGCCTTAGGGACTTGGGAATTGATGTGTATTATTATTCATCTAAGAACTAGGGCGTCCTACAAAGGCTTCAAGAGGGACGACCGAGTTCCACGCCAGCACTGCGGCCTCGGCTTTCTGGAAACAGCAGCCATATTCACCTTACTCCATACAAGAACTATGAATCTTCTACAACACCAAACGAATGTCTTCATCACTAGAAAATGTTCTGGGCCTTGAGGTTTTCCTTAAGGGTTAAAAAGCTGCACACGGACAAGATTCGAAGGCTCACGAAGCTCCTTCCCCATGCTTTCATGACTGCAAGGTTCCGCTTCGTCAAATAAGGTGGCTGAACTATTCGAGCTCTTGTCAACCGAACACCGTTGAGATAGGACAACTGGTGCTGGAAAAAAGAGGAAACTGTTTCTGATACCTCCTCTCCGGTCATGACAAAGCGGAAAAGTAAAACTTTTCCGTTGGATTTTGAGGGTACAGCGTACATGAAAGAGTCACAGTGGGAGAGTATTCGTTTAAAGGAAAGATTCTTCGTTACTTTGCCACTTTGCGAATGTTTCTTTGCCGTCTGTTACCTGTTTGTTTCAAATATCTTTTTCTTTATATGCGGCTAGTCTGTTTCTCAAATCTCTTCGACTTGTTGTTTCACCTATGTGCAGCAAATACTTGTGTTGATATAATTGAATTCGAGAATAGGCGAATTGCGTAGCTCTGATAATATAAGACAAGATAACATTGGATTTCCGTAATTGGATAATCATGCTTGATAAAAAGACCCTCTGGGCAATGTCTCCCAGCTCTTTCTTCTCGGCTATGAGTACTGTCTGTCCGATATGTACTGCAATCACGCTATGTAAGATTTTTATTAAAGCTTCTGGAATTCCCTGGAATCTGGAGTTGGATGAGCAAAGGGCGCTACAGCCCTAACTGATGCCCATTTTCGGCTTAGTTCTGCCTTACTGAAGCGCGTTCCCTTCGTTCCGGGCATGTCATTGCTGCGATCTGATTGGCTGTTTCAATGACCAACCATATGCGTCTACCTACTACTAGAAAAACGCCCCCCTTCACATAAAGTATCGAATATTCATTACTCTTCACAGAGAAGTCATTATTTCCTGCGCCTAGGAAATCAGTTTGAACTCTGAACGGTAACTCTAGCTACAAGCATGCCGTTTTCCGAAAAGTCCCCGTCTTCAGCGGAGTTCGACAATGGAAACCGCCGAAGCATGAAAGCCGCTCCGTCAGCTGGTGTGCAACAGGATCCTGAAAACCAGAAAGAGAGGGATGCCGGACTTGAGTTCGAATCAACAAATGTATCCGCTTTTAAAGGCCTGGGATGGTTGGATCGCTTCCTGGCACTCTGGATCATTCTTGCCATGGCCATTGGAATCATCTTGGGCAACTTCGTACCCGAGACTGGATCAGCAATGGAGAAGGGCAAGTTTGTCGGTGTCTCGGTACCCATTGGTTTGTTTTTGCTCTCTAAAAAGTTCTATGTTTTTTGCTAACGGATTGAGCAGCGGTTGGCCTCCTGGTCATGATGTATCCAATTCTGTGCAAAGTCGAGTTCGAAACACTACATGAAGCGTTCCAGACGAAAGAGCTTTGGAGACAAGTGTTGTTCAGCATCGTAGTAAACTGGCTTATTGCTCCTTTTCTCATGGTAAGTTTCCGAATGCTCGCATTTCCTTGCAAAGACTTACGAAATGCAGCTTGCTCTTGCTTGGGCATTTCTACCAGATGAGAACGGATTGCGAGAGGGCTTAGTGCTTGTTGGTCTCGCAAGATGCATCGCTATGGTATGCTCTTTTCCTCCATTCTTGCAGAGCTTTACTCACTAACATTTGAACGCAGGTTCTCGTTTGGACAGGTCTTGCAGGCGGAGATAACCAGTACTGCGCGATTCTTGTTGCCATCAACTCCCTGCTCCAGATGGTCCTCTACGCGCCGCTCGCAGTCTTTTTCATCAATATAATCAGTCACTCAAACTCGGCAATCACAGTGTCATACTCCACGGTCGCGACCAGCGTTGCAGTGTTCCTAGGCATTCCGCTCGGTGCTGCAATCATCACGCGGTTTGCACTTCGCCAATTGACCGGCGGGCGTTGGTACGACGAGAAGTTCATTCGGTGTATTGCGCCTTGGTCCTTGATCGGACTTTTGTACACCATCTTGGTGTTGTTTGCTTCACAGGGACACCGCGTTGTGCACCAGATTGTCTCTGTTGTCAGAGTCGCCGCCCCACTCATCGTCTACTTCTTTGTCATCTTTACTGCTACACTGTGGATCACACAACGGCTAGGGTTTGGATACAAGCTGGCAGCAACTCAAAGCTTCACTGCTGCAAGCAATAACTTCGAACTCGCAATTGCTGTGGCGGTGGCTACTTATGGAACAGACAGCGATCAAGCTTTGGCCTCGTAAGTTCTTTGTACTTCTTGTTTTTGCTTGTATGCTACGATTACTGACAGTGCACTCCAGAACAGTTGGTCCATTGATTGAAGTGCCTGTCCTTCTGGGCCTTGTATATATTGTTAAATGGCTCGGCCAAAGGCGTAACTGGAAATAGTTGGATACAAAACCCAAGCGTTACGACATGGCTCTGCAGCAGGAGACATTACCGGGATCTCCAAAGGTTCGACACCAACACCCCTAATCTTCCGCACGTAGGCAACCTTCACGAGAGACTCTAAAACGCCAACAACATCAGGCCCTTCGTAATGGATACCCCCTATTAGAGGGCGGCTACCTTGCTGTATCCAACGAACACCGGGTGGAAAGTCCTTAGCGCGGTCCCACCAGTAATTGACAAAGCGAAGATGATTGAAACCCGGAAATCGAACACATATGACAAATAAGCAAACGGTTTCAAGGTGTGTGAAACAATGGGCCAAGGCAGACAGAAAATCCTGGAAGGAATCAATCTCAAGCCGGACATGTTTTAATGACAAAGTTCGAAGGGTCTCCCGGAAAATCGAAAGGAAGTTGAAAAATAGGTGGCGGTCGCCATGGACGGAATAGAGGCTTAAGTGGCGGAGTGGAGGCCTCCATGAGCGGAAAAATGAGTCGCTGTCAAATGAAACGTAATGGAGATTTAGGTGATGGAGTTGCGGCTTCCACGACGGTTGAGAGGCAGAGATATGGTCCAAAAGGGAGTCTGTACTCGAACTGTCCAAGGAAAGGGTTTTGAGATTCGTGGCAGATCCGATAAGCGCCGTTATAAAGTTTTTCACTTCTTGCGTTAGATCCCACCAGCCCCATATAACGAGATCTAGTTCCTGTAGGTGGTTGCTCCATACTTCCACGAAATTTGGGTTACGGTATGTATCTGGCCGCAACGGTCGCATGTCCTGACACGTGCCTGAAGAGCTGATATCCAAAGTGAAAGCCTTCACCGGTAGACGGAACTCAGAAAAGTGGGACAAAAGGAGTTCCACGACGTCGGTTAAGCGAAGGTAGGCGGTTGACGGTCCGTTGAGGTTGGCTGGAAAGTACTGGGGCCCTGAAATGGCGCGGATGCGGAAGGAACGACAATTTGGCAAGCCTTCTACGATTACTTCGCGTAGAAATCTGTTGACAATATCAGGCAATGGTGCTTCCAGGTTCCCTCGTATTGAACGATGCCACTGCCCTTCGATGTCGTGTCCTAAGTCAGGATCCATTCCACCGACGTCATTTGCCCCCGCAACCACGAGTTCTTTGACAGCTTGCCGTGCTTGTGGATGCTGCGATATTTCTTCTATCCGTCGCAAGCTTTTCGTGCAAAAGTCTGTGGTGACTGTGCTGAAGGAGGTGATGAAGAAAGCCCTGGTCGTTTTTTCGAATAACTGAATGCAAACGAGCCGTAGGGAGCTGATATCAACCGCTTCTAAGCTGTCGCATATTTGCTCAACGAGTTCGGCGGGAAGCAAGGCTAGTGGTGCGTTTACTGTCGGCCGTTTGCCAAATAAAAACAGGCGACGAGGGGACCTTTTATACCAGTTGTCGTTTGGCTGTCGTTTGTGCGATTGGTGCGAGCTATGCCTGGAGGCATGCAGTGAGAAGGAGGGTAAGATGGAAAGCTGTTTTCTGCTTTGGATCTTCATTGTTAAAAGAGAAAGACGACACCGTGTAGTTTCGGCTTCTTTGTTCATAGTGCAAGGCTGCGCATTATGAATTAAATGTTAAATGTTATAGGGGACTGAGAGCGGATCGGTACAGGGGCTGAACAATGGCCCGCGCGCTGATTTATGAGGCTATGCCCTTGCAGAACACGTCACTTTGACGTGAAAAGGCAGATTTCGTTGGTCTGAGTGTCGTGGGGGCGGAGCGTGGTGGGTCAGAACGTCGTAAAAGAATGCTCGTTAGATGTAATGTCTACTTTGTTAAACTTTCTCATGCGTCTGGAAAAGAATATTATTGATGTTCTTATTCTTAAAGAGAAAGGTCTCAGTGGTATTTTCTTAAAGATCTTAAAAAGAGTTTGAAGTTTTCCTCTGTGCCGAGCAACCGTAAGCGCAGGCAACAGTAGGCAGCCAGGAGGCAACAGCCAAGGCACTCTTCAGCTCACTGATTTTCGCAAACACAGGCAAGCAGTTTTCCATGCAAATTAAACCTAGGTAACCACTCGTTTATGTAGCAGCAATTGGACTGCACCTGCTGCAGTGCTTTTCCGATGACAAATGACTGACGCGCCAAGACTACCCGGAAATTCTTTACCTGATTCCCCGCATCAACCACCATTACAATCAAGACGATGTTAGGCCCCTAGCCTATGGCTTTGGATGTCAGCCGTCCGTGTGCTCCAGCCATTGTTTTGCTGGTTGTACATAGTAGCGGCAAAGGCCGCACAGTGTGGGATCTAGTTTGTTTGCTTTTTCTTGTCGCGGCAGCGTCAGCTGTTACACAGGATAATCTCGAATACGAGAGCTGAGCCGCCGTGCTGAAAGCCAGTGTTCACTGTTGCATCGTGTCGTAGGCAGGTCTATAATTTTTTTTTAAAAATTCTCTATTGTCAAGACTTTATACCAGGTTTTATCCGGTACCACATATAATCGCCGAAAATTAATCTCATGTATTAGTTTTCACTGACCCACACACTCTCCAGGGGCTAATTTTCGTGTATGCTTGCTATTCTTGGATCGTATAAAGCCACCATGGGCCTAGAAGAACCGATCTTGATCTGGAAATCAGCCGCATGGTGGGTTTGCCTGATGAAAGGCCTGGTTCTGGCGGTTGAAAAGTCATCTGGCAAGTGCCATAAAAAAAGCAGAACCATTTGTGTAACAGATGTTTTAGATAAATTACTGGGATAAGCCTACTCTGCAAGTCTAGACTACCGTCCCAAAAGCCGATCCTGGGATGCTGTGGGTTTGTTGAGCCTGGATCGCGACAGACCTTGTAAGCCAGAGATCTCAGGCCATAGCTGAGTTCCTCCACGATCTTGTCCAGTTAGCAAATATGGCTCTCGGGTCTTTCCAAAAAGCATCATCGAGATATTCTGGGAGAGATCGCTTACAATGCAAACAAAGTCAGTGCTGACAGCTTTATTACCACCATTCTACTGTCGCAGTATTCAAAGACTTACTCAGAGATCTATAGCAACAATACTGCCTGGTTAAAGTGCTTCTCCTCTCGATCCATGCACTGGCCAAGTCACCCCACAATCGCATGATAGCGGTATGGCTTGTATACAGAAAGATACTGCGCCATCTGTTTAGTTGCGCAACACTCGCCACATCAAGACAACAAAAGCCGTGAAAGGGTCGGATCTTGCTTCTTTCAACCATAGTCTAAGCCACAGAGTCTACTAAACTAGCTTGGAAGAAACCACCATCCAGTGCGCAGCCAAACACCACGCTTGTAGTTCCAGATCGTCAATGTCAGTGATGAAGGCGGAGATCTAAGACTGGGAGACTTACTTTTCCTTCCGGACGGTCTAGAATGCTTTCAGCCCATTCAAGGCCGCTCGAATCTGGTTGTATTTGACATATAAAAGCCCTTCAGCCCGCTTCTTCAAGGGTTCATCATCTTCACTTCACTCGCTCCCCATCCACCCAATGCTCCCATCAATCATGAAGTACGTCAGCTTCGTTGGAATCCTCGGCCTGGCCAGCGCGGCCGCTCTTCCGGACTCTGTTGGAAGCAGCACCTCTATCGCTATCAAGCGTGCCGTCGACCCAAAGGCAGCAGCCGCTAAGTGCGCGAGCAACGGCTGGGATTGCTGCGCTCTGCCCACAAGCACTCTCCCCGTGCCCGACACCGCGAACGCCTTCCTCAACTACGCGACATACTCCGACTACGCAACCAAAGCTTCTTCTCCAGGCAACTACTCCACGGCCTTCACCAACAAGCAAGCTTCCACCGACGAGATCGGCTACCGCGGAGTCTTCACGCTGGACAAATACGACCCGAGCCTTTGTGCTGCCAAATGCAACAGCGACAAGGACTGCCTCGGCTTCAACATCTTCATCCAACGCGAGCCCAAACTCCGCCCCGACTACGACGTCTGCAAGAACCCCGACCCGACTGCCAACGTCAAGTGCACGCTCTACGGCTACCCGGTTAGTGCTGAGACGGCCACCAACAAGGGAGCGTACTTCAGCGAGTTCCAGTCCGTCATCGTAGCTTCGAATGGCTACAACAAGGAGAACTACGCCGCTCCCATGGTCCCCAGTTTCTTTACTCCCGAAGGCCCACTCGCTGGTGCGGTCCAGGACAGTAGCTACTACCTGTACGAGCTGTACACCAGCGGATTCGATCCCAGTCTCTGCGGCAAAGGGTGCAAGGCCAACACTGCATACAACGAGGCGCATCCGCCTGCGTCGGGAAAACCGGTTCGTTGCGTAAGTCTTACCTACTGGTTTAAGTAGCTAGATAAATCGCTTACTCTTTGTCCAGTTCGCCTTCAATGCTTACATCCAGTACAAAAACGGTAGCCCTGAAGGTACTTTCTGCAGTTACTTTTCCTATGCTGTAAGTATTTTGGTCTGCAGATACTTGCAGCTTGTGTACACTTGATGCTAATAACAATTAGTTTCAAGATGCGTCATCCAAAGCTACTAATGTCGGCGAGACGCGTGGCAGTGATCGCATTACGATTAGCAACTCGTACTTCTACCAAATTCCGGGCTAGGTTTTGGCGAGGCCCAGGTATCATTGTTAGCTTTGATGCCGCTTGTTAGGGCCGTCCACTCTTCATTGGCTGGGCTGCGTTGGCATTGGCATTCTTTTCAAGGATTCAAATAAACGGTTCTTTAGTGATAGTGTTCAAGTCGATTTCATTGCCCTCCTCAAAATATACCGTGATCTTCTCATCGAACACACTTTCGAAACAGATCGTACATTTGAGGTTTGCGGTACTGTGAGAATCGGGAGCTTATTTGGTCCTGTCATAATCGATTTTCTCCATGCTAAGCAGGGGCTTTCAGCGGCCATCGGACGTTTATCTTAATTAACTTAAATTAATTTAAACGTGAACCTGAGTTTCTTTGTTTAGCATCGTTGTTTGCGCCTGTCACATCTGATTGTCTTGTATATCAGATTTTTAGTGGGCTGAATCGTTGCATTGGCAAAATGATCGACAAACGCAGCGCTTATAACCATGTCTGCATGAAGATATGTGGCGAGGAACTCATCTACCGCGGGTGACGGCTGCGGCGAGAACTACCACTTCCGTTGCGCTGTTTTTTTGTTTCGTACATGACCGCGTGTTGGGACCCATTCTGTGCCACACACCCACGTACGCCCCTCCTCTTCAAACCTGATCGGGATTGCTCCAAACCTGCTTAAGCGAAAATTTCACGCCGCATGCTCGCTTCCATTAACAACCCAGGAAAAGTGTCTTGGTCAGTGCAGGCCGTACGGAGAACACCTGGTTGCGGCATTGCGGCGGCACGCGAAGGGGAAGGATGTTACCATAGCAACAGACCAGAATATATATGGATACCACCCGTTCCTGGTGGCTTCTATCCAATTTCACGCCTATAACCTCCGACCGCAATGCAGTCCGACAAGCGCTTTGAGTCGGTCGTCGTCACCGGTGGCTGTGGCTTTTACGGTTACCATTTTATTCGGCGCATCCTCGAACTTGAACCAACTTGCGCCGTAACAGTCTTGGATATCGACATTTCAGAGAAAGCATTTCCCAATTCCCATTACCACCAATGCGACATATCCGACAAATCCCGCTTGCGAGAGATTTTCGAGCACCTGAAACCGCCGCCACGCATTGTTATTCATGCCGCATGTCCTTCGAGTATTGTCCGCAATGACGAACGCTTCTGGAGGGTGAATGTAGGCGGCACCGACAGCCTACTAGAGCTTTCGCGCTCAGTCGGCGTTAAGGCCTTTGTCTTCACCTCTTCTTCCGGCGTCGTCCACGATAATGAGACCGACCTCATTGAGGCCGACGAGACTATGCCTATCCTTAGACCGCCGCAACAGAAGACGGTATACACGTACACGAAGGCCGTCGCTGAAGAGCACGTGCTTGCCGCCAATCGAAAGGGGGGGATGTTGACCGTATCCCTCCGATCGTGCACCACATTTGGTCCGCACAACCCTGCATTCACAGGAAGGATGGTCACTCTAGCCAAGTCTGGCAAAACTCGCTTTCAAATGGGAGACGGCAATATATGGGATTTCATGTACATTGGAAACATGGTGCACGCCTGTCTCCTTTCTGTTGAACGCCTACTACAGGCTTCGGACGCCCCGCCATTACCCACTGACCAACGTGTGGAAGGCGAGGCCTTTATGCTCGCTGACGGGGAGCGCATGACGTTCTGGGACTTTCCGCTGGCTGTTTCCGCCGCTATGGGCAAGCCAGTGAAGCCGGAAGAGATCCGCAAGATCCCCAAGTTCATTGCCCTCATTACCTGCTTTTTGTCTCAGTGGGGTGTGTGGCTGTTTTCTCTCGGTCGCAAACAATCTGTCATGGTTCGAGAGGGTGTAGTGTTTGCGTACATCACGCGTACACTTAATATCAACAAAGCAACAAAAGTTCTCGGATATCAACCTGTGGTCAGCTTTCAAGAGGGTCTGAAAGAAACTGTGGCTTGGTACATGGAGCATGACAAAAAGGACCAATGAGTGAATAGAGGGTAGATATGATACGAGTTGAATAATTTAACTCTTTGTATGTCTTGTGCTCGCTTCTTCTACCTCGTTCCAGGCCACCTAAAGACGTTGAACGTCCTCATTCATCGAAGAGAGCAGCACGATCGGGTCCGCTGTGGACCAGATTGTTACTTCATCAATCAACATTACGAACGCTACAATGCACACCAGAGGATGACTGCAGCTTACCCAGTTAATCTAGTTTCATTCTTAGTCTTCAGTTACCTCTTCGTACATGTCCGCTACATCGAGTGACCCGTGAGTTTCGTACATCATCATCATATCAACATGATAAGCCATTCGACTTCATCGCGCCGCAGTTCGGGCCTTGCAACCTCATTTAACGCCGCGAAAATAACACGTTTCTCCCATAAAGATACCCCATCATTTCTCCATAGCGCCAAAAAGTCCGCTGAGCGCACCTGCGCATTATACTGCAGCAGGAGCCTTACCAAATCCAGGGCAGAGTGCGGCCGGGAGCAAGCAGCGGACAATGGTGATTGGTTCAAATGACTTTTAGCGTTTACGTCTGCACCGTTTTCGAGGAGGAGCCGGGCAATAGAAATAACGTGCTCGATTGGCCCCGGCGTGCTGCATATAGTAAGAAGCCGTGTACTGGATCCTTGCGTTGCAAAATTGATATCGGCCTCATGCTCTATAAGTAATTTGGCTAGTTTCCAATTGATGGCGCGTATCGCAAGATCCAAAGGTCGATCATGGCTCTCCGTCTCGGCTTCCACGCGTGCTGAGAACTGGAGCAGTGTTTCTACAGCCTGGTCTTTCGAGTTCTCTATAGCGAGGTGTAGTGGTGTCTTGTTTCTCTCAGCTGAAGCTTCGATATTGGCACCCGCTTTGATGAGGACACTGGTGGCTTCAGCATGGCCTTCGCTTGCGGAGCAATGAAGAGCTGTCCATCGCTGCTTTGAAGGCGCCTCGATATCGGCTCCAGCGTGGATCAAAACTTTTATTATATCGACGTGTCCTTTCCTTGCTGCGTAGTGTAGAGGTCTTAAGCCGTTTGAATCGGGGGGATTCTTATAAGTTCCGGCTTCAAGTAAAGAGATTACAATTTCTGTATGACCTTCACCGCAGGCGAGATGAAGTGGTGTCTGTTCGAGAGCATTGACAGCGTGTACCGCGCGTTTTGGATTCAGCAGCGCGCGCAAAGCTCTCAGGTGTCCATTCTTTGCTGCATAGTGCAAAGGAGTGTTCCAACCATCGTCTTTGGAAAGTGGATCTGCCCCGAGAGATACCAAAGTTTGAACGGTGTCCTCAGCAGCTACATGTAAAGGTGTCTTTCCGTCCTCGTTTTTCAAGTTAAGATCGGCTCTATAGGATTTCAGAAGCCTAACAACATCAAGGTGTCCCCCTTCGGCGGCATAATGTAACGGAGTACCCGAAATATCTGATTGACTTTCCGAAGTTATTCTGCGAAGGAGCGATCGAGACTTGGCAACACTTCGAGTGTCGTTATCGGAACTAAGACGAGATACCCTACCCTTGCAGTTCACGTCGGCGCCCTCGTTGCAAAGCCTAACGACTTCAGTGGTGTCGCCATGCCAGGCAGCTTCACATAGCTTCCTTCCGTTTGTGGTCCGACTCTTTCCTGCCCAATTGCGCCAAGACTTCGAACCGGAGCTAAGCCTTGAGCCAATAGAGCTCCTTGTGGATCCCGATGACTCTGTGGAAAAGGTTGCAATCGTTTCGGAATCAATGTTGATGCCACTATCGCTTCCATTTGAAGGATTACCGATGTGGAAGGTGGTGGATTGAGAGTAAGGCAGAGGCTGGGTCATTGCCCGCCTGTACGTGTCGGATTCGATCAAGTCATTGTCAAAGCCGAATTCTGAGTTGCTCACTGCCGCATTATTGCTGTTGCTGGTATCAAGTATACGGTTGGAAGTACTGTATACAGAGGCATTATCCTGGGCATTTTTGATGGCCAAACGGCTCTCAAGTCTTTCTAGAAGCTGTCGTTGTTGCGTTGAAGATTTCCTGGCGGTGAAGTGTGTCAATGCTATGCTCGTTCCATAGTCAGGGGAGTTAAACGTACAGCAAAAGGGCATTTAAAAATATTCCCAAAGCTGCCGTCTGACTGTCCAACGCATTTTGATGTGCCAGCAGCTGGCCTTCATCCCAGAGATGGCGCAGTGAGCCTCCCAGCCATCCTGATTTGACGCGAAGCACATGGGCATGGATTTCGCCAACGACAGCTTCACAGGCCTCGATAGCAGACCTTAGATCAGCTACTGTCTGCTCGTGGATGTTGCTCTCGCTATCAAGCCAAGACTGAAGCTGACAGATAGTGGCCCGGACAGTCGCAAGGCGTCCCAAGATGAAGGTTGCATTACGGTCAACGTTTTTGGCTGTAGCAATGAGCTCATTGATATCTCGTGAGGTTCGCAATATGAGGGCCAGGCAGCCGCCGACGAGAGAGACGACAGACGCGGGTTCCATGGCCGGGAAAAGTGGCGGAGGACAGAAGACTACGGTGACTGCGAAGGCCTGTTGCAGACGCGGGAGTGAGGGCCAAAGGCGGGGGATACGACAAGGGTAATGATAAAAGACAGGGTTTGCGGCACGGCGAACTGTTCCGCCCCTTGCCAAGCTCGCTCTCACAGGCTAAATCCACGCCACTTACAACTGTGGCTTCCAGGCACACAGTATTGTGCAATATACTGAAATCAGCGTGGACTGTGGTTGAGCAAATTTTAATATCTCATTCTCGATAAACTCTATGCAAACAGTCGCCAGCAACTAACCTTACTTTTTAAAACAGGGACTGATAGTTATTTCCTGAGTAACTTTCGAAAATAGAGAGGGAATTAAATGGCAGCGCGATGCTCCTACCACTCGCCCTAGGATCTAGATCATGCACTACTGGCTAGGGAAGCTATCGAGCTATCTAACCAATTATGAGAAATACTGGCGCCAAAATGTGTGTTCCGAAGCCTACATGGATTAAAGTGTTATCATCGAAGATCTATATTGGTTGACCTCTAGGCATCAATGCGTCAGCAGGTGGACGGGGATTTGCAACATGCAGCGTGCGGGGGCGTGGGGGCCGAAGGGGTCGATTTCCGGCCACCCCCTGCAGTTAACCTGCAAAGCGAACGAACTACCAAATTGGAAAACCCAGTGGCTTGGGGCTGAGGGCTGATCTTGTCCGCTGTTAACGAATAATAGCGACGGCTGAGGCGTAGGGGCTGCATGCTAGACCTGCAATTGAACCGACGGTGATGCCAAATTTAATTAGACACGACTCTTTTGGTTACCACGTCTGCATGACTGCTGCTTTTAGTGAATAATCGACATCTTGATGCATAATGTAGTATCTGGTTCGTCGATAATCCAGTCAAGTCGCTAGTTCAGCTGATGCGTCACTCCAGGCCAAGGTTCTCTGATAGGGAATAAATTGTGTTCTTTTCTTAGTACATTCGTCATTTATCCAATCACAAAAATCGGTTAATCGCGCAATTTTGGCAGAAGTCTCAGTACAAAGAGACGTGATCGTATATATCTAGGCATTGTTTCTGCTCTCCACTCTACGTACTCGTTCATATATCACGAAACATACAGTGCTCTACTGAGCGACTGGTAACCCCTTATAGCTATGGCTACCCAACCCTTCACACCAACGCAAAGCTACCTTACTGGCGCGGCCCGGGAAGAAGCCATCCTACACCAGAGACCAATTCGTGAAATAGACATGATTGTTGGTACCGCTAGTCCTATAGTAGAGTCACAGATCTAACAAAGTTCTCAGGCTACATCATGGACACTTTATGGGGTAACCACTATCGTGGCTCTCATACGATTTTTTGTTCGTGTAAAATCAACCCAGAAGTTGTGGCTTGATGATTATCTTGTCATGGCTGCAGTACTGTGCTCAACGGCTTCAACAGCCTTGTTGTATCACTGGCGCGGCTCGCTATATCTAAGCAAAGCCCTTCTGACCATGCCCGACAAAGTTGCCGTTGAGCCCAAAGATTTGCCGATGTTAGAAAGTCAAACGCTCATCCTGGACTTGGTAAACGCCTTCATTTGGACAACAATATTCTCAATGAAACTCTCTTTCCTGTACCTCTTTAGAAATCTGGTTAAAAACAACTCGTTGCTTCTCATTCGGTACTTTTGGTTCGTTGTTATCTTTACGGTACTGTCCTGGGGATTCAGTGCATCTGAGATATTTATACATTGTCACTCTTTCGGAAAGGACAGTTGTGAGTTGCACAGTTTTCCCACCAATTACCGAGGCTTACAGCTTACATTCTCTGTCATAGACAAGTGCAATGAAAGCAACCCCACGATGAGTAGTGCATTAGATTCTTTGGCGACTGCATTGGATGTTGCTACCGATTTAATGGGTATGTACTAAATTTTATATTGGTAACTTCAATTGCTAAGAAAAACAGTTATATCAATTCCTATATTTGTCCTGCGAAGAGCGAAGACAAACATTACATATAAGCTTGCCGCTGGGGCATTTCTTTGTCTCTCTGTAGTAACAATCGTTGTTGCCACCATTCGCTTGCTGAGCACCAACATTCTTGAGTATGGTGGACTAGACCCAACTTGGGGTTTCTTTTGGGCTGAGATAGAAGCGTATGTGAGCATCTTAGCGACATCGGCTACGGTATTCCGGTTCTCAAGCCTTCGGCGGGCACAGTTGATGGAAGAGCAAAAACACGATAGTTTGCAAGAGACAAGCGAAGCCCCCTCGCCTGTAACATGCAAGAATTGACAGAATGGACGCGGGTTATAGCATATGCGTCGCTTTTAAATGAGACTCTCTTTGCTGCAATAAAATGTGAGAGTGACAAGCTGCAGGTGCCGCGGCATTGTGGTCCTGGTCTCTACAAACTTAAAGTACTCCATCGACTTACACGGGACGGATAATTTGATCGCCCCTCTTGGATGTTTTAACTACCCCTTTCCGCACACTAAATTTGTCAGCATCTGGCGGAAATAAAGAAAAAGATCAGTGGCACTAGGGTAGAAAGTAGGAAATAGGTAATACAAAGGAGTATCCTAACTCTACCCACTACACTAAAGTCTAGCCTAAGCACATAAAATAGTAGAAGTTAAGCGTATATAACTAATAGTATAGCAGCGCACCTGATAAAGATATACGGATAGTCTAACCACCATAAACTATAGAATTACTCTAAGTACATATTACGTAGGGTGGTTAAATCATCCTTCGCCTAATTTATAACCGAAAATGTTTGTTAGATAATAATATATCTATAAAGGATATATTATTTACTAAGGTCTACCTAGCTACCGAGATTATATACGTACTTTATTTCCGTAAGGCTACGCGACCGACGGTATCCTACTACTCTTGAAGGTAGTATCGCTACGTTCCTCTATAGCGAAGCGCGAAGGTACTATACGAATATCGCGAAGTTACTTTCTGCTAGGGGCTTTACCCGATTAGGCACAGATTGGGGGCGGGCTAATTATCTCATGCCTCTCCGAGCACATGTGATCTTTATTGTAACACGAACACCTGCTAAAAAATCAGCCCTTACCCTGACGGTTTTAGTGTTGGCCCTTAGATAGCCCTGACATCACACGTTGTACAAGAACCAGTGAGTCCCCGCAAATCAGGTCATGAGGCGGCTTATTTAGAAGTGCTTGGAACAAATCCTTTGTTATGCGCCTTGCAAACCTTACGTGAGCGCCCTGCTTTTAACAGTCTCGAGTTGTCCCATAGAATTCCAGTTTGGGGTACCCAGCATATGCATTTTCGGCGCCCAGACACCATGATCAAGTCCATTTCAATCCTACTGCTCCTATGGCAGTATGCCTCTGCTGGTAAGACTTACTGGAATGCTCTCCAGGTGTACTGCAGTAGCTGATTTTCAAAGACTGCACCGGATCGACGACAACTATACACGGAACGCGTGATGCAAGCGCACTTGCTTCATGTATTACATATACCGGCAGCATCGCCATTGCTACAGATGCCGTTGGTGAAATTGCCATCAACAAGGTCGAAGTGATTACAGGAAATCTGACCGCTTACGGAGTTGATGGGCTTATTTCCTTATCTGGCGACTCGCTACGATCTTTGGACACATTTTCATTGCAGACTGTGCCAGGACTATCGACTGTCAGATTTCCGAGTATCTCACAGATCAATTCATTACAATGGACTGGAGCTACCAACCTTACGGACATCGCCTTCAACATCACTGCCACGTCGATACAAGCAGTAACAGTCGGAGACACCTCTCTGGGGTCTTTAGACAAACTCGGCCTTCAATCTCTTCGATACGCGAATGAGATTCGTGTCATTAACAACCCTCATCTACAAAGCTTTCCGCTACCACGGCTTTATGAAGTTACCTCCAACCTAACATTTGGAGACAATGGCGATAGGTTTGACATACCTTTGCCTAGCTTAGAAATAGCTGAGAACGTGTACCTTTACAACATCTCTTCGTTCTCGATAAACATGCTGAAAAATGTCAGCAACTTTCTCTCGGTACATAATACCAACAGCGAGACGATTTTGGTTTCTCAGCTGGCTCGCGTTGGATCTTTTTTGGATTTGGTTGGTAATACTCGATGGTCCGAAGTTGCATTTCCTGGCTTTTACGAAGCTGGAAATATTTTGATCGACGGTAGCCCAAACCTCACTACCCTACGACTATCCACGCTTCAAAATGCAGCGGGCAATGTTAGCTTATCAGGAAATTTCTCCGAGTTAGTATTATCTCCACGAGAATGAAGGCATACTGTTTAAAAATGCTGATATTCTCTCAAGGAATTCTTTTTCCGGCCTTTCGTTTCTATCCTTAGAAAAAGTAAATGGTAAAATGAGCATAAGAACAACTGGAGACTTAGATTGCTCTCCTTTCCAAGAATTAGCCGAGTCGGGGAAGATTGATGGTGGACTTGAGTGCACCAACAGCTCGGGAAAGACCGTGATCATGACGACAGCCAATAAATCGGGATCGGGATCCCTTTCCACCGGTGCAAAGATCGGCATCGGAGTAGGTGCCGCGGGGGGTGCCATTGGATGCATATCGATTGGAACGCTCATGTTCATGCTTCGGCGGAACCGTATGAAGGGAGAATCAACAGACAAACAAGAGCCAAAAGAACACTCAACTAAACTGCCACCGCAAGAGCTTACATCACACGGTGTGCAGGAGCTTGAAGGCGACAAACTGGCAAGTGAAATGGATGCGCCAAGAGGAACCGTGGAGGCTGAAGGTAGCAGAGTGGTATTCGAAATGCCCGGCGATGCAGCGCATGAGATGGAAGGAGACAGATCTTTGAGACGTTCCAGTTAAGTTGAACAAATGACATCGGATACGCATACCAAGAATGGATAGACTATACTGGAGACGCATGGACAATATAGTTTTCTGGGATCACTGTTAATGTTTCTGGGCGGAATGACGGAAGAAGCAAGAGTCTCGAGATTGTCTTGATTCGCACAATCATTCAAGTTCAGAGTCCAAGAGCATCCACACGGAAATGCCGACCCTGTATAAGCCCAACCATTGCTTCGTATCACTGCGCACATCCGTGTGATGCAGCAACGTGAAATATATAATCTAGGCATCGACCGGAAATGAAACAAAATAAATACACGGCATAATAAATTGCTGCTGCAGTGAGAATATTAGTCTAATTTCTAACAGCGTAATATTCTTCGATAACTTATAACCGAAAACGTTGCTTGGATAACATTGCGTTTGCGATGTGTGCGTCGTTTGCCAAGGTCTACCCAGCTGCCGAGAAAACACGCGTGCTTTGTTCGTTGCTTAGTGACGAATCTAGCTTTGATTGCCTGTTTGATTGCTCGTATACGCATTTGCCAAAGCTTATTTTCTAGGTTACGCAGTGCAACAATGGCGTTCAACGCATTGACAGATTTGAAGAATGACGAAACAGTTGCTTTTTATGTACAACCATCAAACAAAGCTTACCCCAAATGAAACAGTAAGCGGTTTGTCAAAGATGACAATGGTGACACAGCCAAGGATGCCGGTTGCATCAGCCAAGACTGTCACCAAGGCACTTTGCTGGAATGCTCAGCCGCAGAAAACGCAAACAGGCTTCTCTACTTGTTATATAGAAAGAACTTAAAGTAACAAGCAGCAACTTTCCTTCACGAGCTGATTAAACGCTGAGCAATTTGTCTTCAAACCCCGCAGAATCGATATATCTTAAAGAAATCATCCTATCCTCAGAATATCTTCATCTGGCTGAAACATGGCCAACTTCATTGTGTTGGCACTTTACGCCATGATTTTTAGCTTTGCTTGCCAGTGCATAGCTACGCCCACGCCAGGCAAGAGTGACGATGGGGGTCTTTCGAAGCGAGCAGCAAAATCAACGTGTAAAAGACACAAGGAAACAAGGTATAATGATCATATCTTTCTGGAACGGAGCAACTACTGACATGTATTCCTCTACAAGACTAGTTGGCAACGGGAACCCGCACCATAACTACTTCCACAAGCAAGTTTCTCTGACGCGGCAATGCGTTGGAAAGACTTGTTCCCTAGGGCCCCACGAGACAAATCGATACAGCTTTAGATTCAGCGCTGACAAGAAACCCGCGCAATGGATCCCGGGCGATTTTCCAGTTACGCCGAAATACAGCACTGGCGGTGGTAAGTCAACGAAGTTGCTTCGTAAAAGCTCTCCAAGAACAATACTAATGTGACATTCTCGGCACTTTTAGGTATTAATTGCACTGCAGCAGCCAACCACCAACTCTGTGTATGGATTAAGGTTGCCCATACTGCTTACACCGTTCAAGACTGGGCGAAAAAAGAATGTGGGAGTGGCTCCCCAAAGCCGATTGGGAAGCCCTATGTCATCAAAAGCCCAAATAAGAATAATGAGGGAGGTTCATACTACTGTGTTATCGGCACCTGTAGGGAAAAGGGTGATGGGTACTGGGAATGAAAGCCTGAAGAATTGTAGCGTAGCCGAAATCTGCTCCTCAATCTTCTCTCGTTGTTAGCCCACCTAGGCAACATGTAGGCGAATCGTAACCGTTTATCGCACTCTCTACCATGCAGAATCCTCGAGGCGAATGTGGTGTTGGCAGAGGACCAAGTACAAGAAACATGTTGCGGAGACGCTGGTGACGCTAGCCTAAGGCATCATTCCGGGTCGGAAACAGGCAAAAACCCAGCGCCCCCCTCAGCCCAAAGCAGCAGCAACTCTCAGCAACCGAAACAGGCACAACCAGCAAACCCCCACTTGGCTTACCTCAATCACTTACCCACCTTACATCTTCGGCCCACCAACACAATACCAATACCCGACCCAAAAATTCCCACACTCCTTCCCCACCGCCGGATTCCACCTTAAGAAATCCTCCACACTGACACCATTCCTCTTCGCCACGTCTGCACAAAACTCGTCAGCAATCCCCTTATAGAACTTCGCGCACCCCTTCACCGTGCCCTCCCTTACGGGGTCCGGCGTTGTAGTCGCCGTCGCAGCAGCAGCAGCAGTAGCAGTAGTCGTCGATTTCGAAGCCGTCGACACCACCGCCGTAGCCGTCGCAGAGGTACTCTTCATCGCACCCCCACCACCCTTCCCCACCGCGACACAATACCACGTCCCGGGAACCAAGCCCCTACAATCATCCCCAACGCTGGGATTCATCCCCGCGAACGCCGCGAGCGTCAGCCCCCGCGTGTCGTAGAAGTCGAAGCAGTTCCAGTCCGCCGGCATGCGCGCCCAGGTGATGCAGTCCTTCGCCTCGTCGGCGCCGCGGGGCGTTGGTGGCGTCGGGTTTGGCGCTGCGGACGGGGCGGAGGGTGTGGGTGAGTTGAGCGCGATGCAGTAGGAGCGGCTGGGGGCGAGGGCGCAGGGCGACGAGGAAGAAGGCGGTGCTGAGGCGCTGTTGGTGTTGCTGTCGCTGGTGTCGCCGACTGGAGAAGCGAGCCCCGCGTTCCACGCCAGAAAGTCCTCGAGTGGGAGGTCCAGCGCGCTGGCTAGGCGCCCGCAGTCGGCGATGTCCATGCGCGAGTCGTTGAGCGCGAGGTAGCTCCAGCAGTCGACGCGGGTGCCGTCCGCAATGGGGATCACCGCAGCCCGCTTTACAGGATTTCCGCTGTCGCCGCCGCCCTCATCGTCGTCAAAGTCGAACGCGGCGGTCCAGTTGAGCTTGGTCCCGGAGTGGGTAATCCATGCTTTTGGCGACAAGGCGGGCGCGCCGCCTGGATACTTCGAGTACGTCGTGATGGCGCCGACGGGGGCGACGCAGTAGCTGTTCCCGCGCCAGAGGTTCGTGCAGTCCGTGTCGAGCATGGGGTTCAGGAAGCGGAAGTCCCTGAGCGCGATATTGAACTTGATCGCGACGGCCTCGCAGGAGTCGCCGGCGAGGGTTTCGTAGAAGAGGCCGCAGTGGGCATTGGTGCCTTGGACGGCGTTTTTGGGGACGGGCGCCGGCGTCGTGTACGCGGCGGAGAAGGACGTGGTGGCGGCTGGGACGGCGAAGTTGCCCGCCGGGTTGGACACGCAAAGCGTTTCGTTGATGAAGCCGGCAAGGCTGATGCACAGCCCGATGAGCGGGTTCCAGGACATGAGCTGCGTGCTGGAGATGCCGGCTTGGCTGGCGATGGTGGCGCAGGTGTCTTTGGGCGTGACGACGTGGGTTCTGCATCTAAATGGGATGCACAAAGACCCTGCAGAAGGGAAGTCGATTTTGCTCCGCGTGAGCCCGTTCACCGAGCGGAGAGCGTCGGTGGATACGTTTTCCGATGCCGAGACGGAGAAGATCGTATCCCCTTTGCGTACTTTGTACGTGCTGGAACAGGTGCGGTCAGACGTAGGACGTGTCGAGTTGACAATGATAGTCGCCGAAGGGGTACTCGTGGAGAAGCCGGTGCTTCTGCAGCTTGATGTCAACGACGAAAACAGGCTGGCTAAAGCTGGCTCTTGGCCTTCGAATGGAGAGTTCAACTGCATCTGCAGAGTCCTGAGATAGCATCCGTCACACGCGGAGTCGTCAGTGGCATTCTGGCGATTACAAAAGCGTCCGTCGCTGCGTGAAATCAGCTCGGGTTTCTCGTTCGCAGGTTGGAGAAAGATTACCTCCCGGCGAGGCAGGTAACGTTGTATGCATAGATGGCCTCGTCATCCCAAGCAGTAGGAGCATAGTCATTGCCGACATAATCATCGTGAATAGTCGTCCCTTTGCAAGAGCTAACGATCTTGGCCCGGTGAGCTTGCAATGATGAATAGCACTTGGCGGTGCATAGAGCAGTAAGGTCGGCATCCGGGAGTTTTTGGAACAGATGGTAAAAAAGCCCATTGATCAAACCGCTGCACGTCACGTTTGCGTTGTACGCATCAAGACACTCCTTCGATGCCCCGGGAAAGAAGGATGCATCTGCGGCGTAGAGCGGGAACCCAGACTGAGCCTGAACGGGCGGAGAGAGAGATAGCAAAAGACTGAGAAAGAGACGAAAAGAAATCATTGTTGCCATGCGCAAACTGGACGAGTTGTGAACTGGCGAGAAGGGCAATGCACAGCATTTCCCTTACGGACCTACACTGCGAACTCGTCATCTGATAATATAACAAACGACTCCTGTTCCGCATCGGCAGGGCTCTCGCTTACGCCCAGGAATGTCTTGTCAACCCACGTTGGACGGTCTTGTGCACCACCGATCGCCCAAATAAGAACTACCTCGACCCAAGACAGCGGAACGGAGGACCGCCCTACCCCGCTAACCCAAGGCCCTTGACGAATCCGCCCACCAAACGCGACCGCGATGGGAATGTATAAGGGGCTGTCATCAGCGGGGGAATATGAGGCCGAGAAGTCTCCTTTGCTCACGAGAAGCAACGGTGAAGATTCACAATGAAAGAGGAAGCCCTTGCGTGGAGCAGCAGAAAACCCCCGTACTATTTCAGACCATCCCCTGGGTTTTAGCGCAATGCGCAGAACAATTCGCCACCTACCATCTGCCTCCTGCTGGCACACGCAGTGATGCACTCACCCAAGCGCTGGCGCAGCAATCCCCTCCTCTTCGTACTCCTCTCCCTCGTCATCCTCCTCTTCCGCAGCACGAATAACGCCCGCACCTCCCACCTCATCAAACGCGCCACAGACGCCCGCCTCCACGAGCTCCTCACCGCCGGCCGAGTCGTCACCGGCGCCATCAACACCAGCGGCCAGACCAGCAGTTCCGGCGCCGATGGCGACTTCACGTGCGGCCCGGGCCGGCCGTGCAGCAATGGCGCATGCTGCGGCGCGAGTGGGTGGTGCGGCTATGAGCCCAAGTACTGCGGGAAGGGATGCCAGTCAAATTGCAGTGCCAAAGCCGAGTGTGGCCAGTATGCAGATCCGCCGGGGAAGGGCTGTCCGTTGAATGTACGTGCTGTGACAGAGAGCGGGTCGCTGTGGTTTGGGTTGTCTTGTTGCTGCACCGCGGACGCAGGTGGTTGAGAAAAGAGGAAACATATGCTGATTATCGCAGGTCTGCTGCTCGGCCTTCGGCTTCTGTGGCATGGCGAGCGAGTTCTGCGGCGCGGGCTGCCAGTCGCACTGCACGCAGCCGAAGCCCCACGGGCCCAAGAGCAACGCGCAGCAAGTCGTGATCGGCTACTACGAGGGCTGGTCCTTCAACCACAGCTGCGGCACCATGACGCCGGCTGAGATCCCCATAAACAAGCTGACGCACCTGATCTTCTCGTTCGCGTACATCTCGCCCGGGCCCGCCTTCAAAATCATCACCATGGACGGCCTCTCGCCTAACCTCTTCAGCCAGGTCGTCGCGCTCAAGGACCGCAACCCCAACCTCAAGGTCCTCGTCGCCCTCGGTGGCTGGACCTACACTGACCCCGGGAAATACCAGCCTGTCTTCTCGAACATGGTCGCCAGTGCTGCGACCCGCGCGGCCTTCATCCGGAACCTGCTCGGCTTCCTATCGGAATACGGCTTCGACGGCGTCGACTTCGACTGGGAGTATCCCGGGGCGAAAGACCGGGGCGGCAAGCCCAGCGACGGCGCCAACTACGCCAAACTGTTCAAAGAGCTGCGCGCGGCCGTGAACCGCGACTCCCACGGCTACCTCGTCACCGTCACGGCGCCCACGTCGTACTGGTACCTGCGGCATTTTGACCTCCCGGCCACCGCACCCCACGTCTCCTGGATCAACCTCATGAGCTACGACCTGCACGGCGTGTGGGACAACGACAACCCCATAGGCAACCGCGTGCTCGGCCATACCAACCTCACCGAAATCGACCTGGCGCTCGACCTCTTCTGGCGCAACGACATCGAGCCGCGCAAGGTCGTCCTGGGCCTCGGCTTCTACGGCCGCTCCTTCCAGCTCAAAGACTCAAACTGCTGGAAGCCGGGCTGCCGCTTTGGTGGGCCCGGCGACAAGGGCGAGTGTACTGACACGCCTGGCATCCTCTCCTACCACGAGGTGCGCAACATCCTGACCCGCACAAAAGCTAGCCCGCATTACGACGCCGCCGCGGCCGTCAACTACCTCGTCTACGGCGATGGCAGTTGGGTCTCATACGACGACAAGCGCACGTTCCAGAAAAAAGTCGACTTCGCGAGCTCCATGGGCCTCGGCGGGCTGATGGTGTGGGCCGTCGACCTGGACAACACGGCGCGCGACGCGCTGAAGGCCATCTCGCCCATCAACGCGGACGTGATAGACCCGCTGCTCTTCGCGCGGGACGACGGGCCCTCAATCGCGCACGGGGCGCAGGACCTCTCGCGCTGCAAAATCTCCGAGTGCGGCAAGATGTGCGATGTTGGCTGGACGGCCGTCACGCGGCGCAACATGGGCCCGGACGACAAGAAGCGCTGCAGCACCAGCGACGCCGACGACGCCGCGTTTGTGTGCTGCCCTAGCTTCTCGGCGCCGCGCCCAGAAACGTGCCAGTGGCATGACCAGCGCAGCAATGCCAGGAAAAGCGACTGCAACGGCGAGTGCGGCGTTGGCCAGGTTAAGGTGACGAGCGACAGTTTCGGCTGGACGGGCGACTCGCTGGACCCGGAGCGTGGCGGCGACTATGGCGACCGCTGCGGCCGAGGGGGGAAGGTCTTTTGCTGCGACGCCGGGAACATGAAGCAGTACCTGGACATATGCCGGTGGACCGAGTGCGGCGGCTACTGCAAGAAGGGCGAGACGGAGTTTACCAAGGACTCGGGCGGGCCGCGCGACAAGAAGCATTTCTGCGGCTACGACACGGACTGCACGGCGGATCCGTTCGGCACGTGCGTGTCCTGGGTGCGGCAGCGCCGGCTGTGCTGCCCCAAGGCCGATTCGTTCCAGAAGTGCGCGTGGAAGAGCGGCAAGGAGTGCTCCGAGTCGTGCGGCAACGACCAGATCACGCTCGACACGGATCCGTTCGGCGACGGCATGAGCTCCTGTAGCTGGGGCCGCGAAAAGGTGTACTGCTGCGATCCACCCGGCGGGTTGGACAGGCCGTTCACCGCCGTGGACCTCGACAGGCTGTTCCCGAAGAAATACCTCCCGCCTGCGAGCGCCATCCCGGACTACACACTTACGTCGTTCGGCGGGGCGACTGAAAAGGGGTTAGAGGAGCCGAATGGGGCAGGCGTTGCTTTCTTCCTGGTGGCTGGGTCGTCGATTGCAGCTGCATCCATGAGAACGAAGCGTGCTGGCGGCCAAATGGGGCTCGTCTTCCTAGACTGCCCGGGTGACGTGCTCTTCAGGCCCAACGAGCAGGCGCAAACAGCGCGCATCATCTGCATGGAAGAAGACGTAAACGCATGCTTCGGCGTCAGAGAAGGCGGCGTCGAGGGGACTGTCGTTGAGATGCCCGAGCACTGTGGAGGCAGGAGCTTTAGCAGAGCCATTTCGCTGAACTTCTCCATGGACCAGAATATCCCTGACCACATTGCGAAGAGGGACCCTACATCAGCTGTCTTTGACTTTACCTTTGACTATAACATGAAGCTCTTGAGGCGAGATGCCGGGCCGCTGAGCATCCGGATTGATTATTCCAATGTACCAGGTACGCGAGCGAAAGACACACTGCAAAAGGAAACCACTTACTGACAGGGAAAAGGCTACTGGGACGCCATCGTCGACAGCACAGGTACGTGCATTCATCTCGACGGCCACACTCCAGTACTGACAGCACCCCAGGCTACGAGAACAAAAAACGCGGCGTCACAGGCCTGGAAGAGCGGTTCTTCAGCCCCAAGCCCATCGACTGGGCCTCGCGCATCAACAAGCTCGCCCACAAAAACGGCAAAAAGATGACCGCTAGCCTAGACAACTACTACTTCGACGGCACGGTCAACGAGTGCCCCTCGGGCCCGGAAACACGCACCGACGAAATTGCCATCGGCTCCGAAGGCTCCGTCAGCGCCGACACATGGTACGGCTTCTCGGCCGTGGCGAACATCGAAGGCGGCACGTTCTCCGTGCACCAGGCGTCGGGCTTCTTCCTCGCCGACGGCTCGACAGAGGCCAAGTTCAAGGCCGGCGGGCTGGGCAAGCTCGATACCTCGGCTGCGCTGCAGGGCCGCTCCATGTCGCACGAGTTTGGACCCAAGTCGCAGGGCGGCCATCACGTCGACTTGCACAAGTTCAAGGGCTGGGTCGAGTTCGATCCGTACATCGACGTCGGCATCAAGATGACTACGTCCAACAAAACCTCGCCTACAGGCCAGGGCTTCTCGTTCGAGGGCTACATGGAAGGCGGCGTGAAGTCGCAGTTCTACGGCGGGCATGTGACGTTTCCGAATCCGGACGACGGAGACGATGCGAGGCGGCCTGACGACGCGACGAATAAGGGCGTTGATCATAAGAACGTGCTGGTGCCGCTCGGATTCAAAGGTACGGGGAAGCTGGCGGTCACCTCGATCGTCGAGATGGGGCTGTCGGTGACTATCAACATGCCGGTTAAAGGCGGCGAGGTGCTGCCGGAGGTAATGTTCGCGCGTCCCCATAGCGTACACTAAAGACTGACGCGGAGACAGATGTCGCTGCATCAGGAACTCTCTGCCGAGTTTACGGTCAGCGAAAAAGAAGGTAAGGACGAGGTGTGTCTTGACACCTCAATTCGGAACAGCCAGCATGCGAAACTTTGGAATGGCGGGGGTATATCCGGCTGGCCGCCGAAGCTGGACAAGCCGCTTGTTGAGGACTTGACCGCGGTTGGCAGCCAGCAGTGCTTCAAAGGCGTCAGCCCGTCGATGGGTTCGCTTTCGGAGCCGGAGAGTTTGGCTCGTGAAGACGTGGGTGACGGCCTGAATCGTAGGGCCGATGACGACGAGTTAGACTACTCGCAGATCGTGCGCGACGCTATGAAGGACCTGAACAGAGGGCTGACAAAGCCAACGATGCGGTGCACGGTCGGGTCGAAGTGCGTGGAGTGCGTCGAGGAGAAGAACGAGTGCTGTGGTTGCGCGGATCTATGGCTTTTGTATGGGAGTGGCAGCAATCCGGACTACGATGGCGACTACTTCGGGAATGACGCCGACACGATCAGCCTCGCGAGCTCAGCTGAGAACTTCAAGCGCGGGCTGTCGATGAGCTTAGGTATCGGAAAGGGAGGTAAGGTCAACACTGGCAAGAAGCCCGTTAGGATCCTTAGCCAGACGATTTCGCAGTCTCAAGCTTACCCGAGTAAGTACTACTCACTCACTTGGAATGGGAAGGCGGCAAGCTGATTGTTGTGCGAGACTTCCCCACGGATCCGAATGTCGAGTTCGCGGATGAGCCCGGCGGTGTGCGCCAGCTGGACGCCATACCCAAGTGGTTCGTGCAGAGAGCTTCGTGCACAAACTGGGGGATCATGCAGTACAGCAAAGCGCAGATGGCGAAAAAGAGCGATGGGACGATGGTTCGGGTGATGCATAACAGTGAGCGAAGCAGCCTGAGACACGGTTCATTGATGGCTGCCGTGCAATACTGACTGCAGCAGCCGAGCACGTGTTTGAGGGACAGACCATCGGCAAATTCTTCGACGAGTATCTCCAAAAGGGGAATCTGAAGATGGATCCCAGATCCCCAAAGGCAGGCCCCGGCCAGCAGATCCTATCCAGAGCCTGGATAAACCGGAACATGTTGACCTCTAGCCTGCCGGGAAACCCGTTTGGCAACGTGAGGGCTGCGAACCGACTAGTCGACCACCTCGGAGGCCTGGCGCACTTAGACCGCGTCGTGATTCTCGTGGACCGGGTCAACAGCGTAAAAGGGCAGTTATTCCGGGGCGTCAGTATATCGAACGAGGGCGACTTCGGGGACATGCGGACGTCGGAGGAGCAGCTGCTGTACGTCAAGGAAGTCGGCGGCGTTTTCACGTACATGGCGCTGGACCCGGTATGGCGCGCCTTTTGCGGCACCTACAACGGCATCTACAACGACCTGCACACGTTCAGCAATTGGTACAACGGCCAGCCAGGAAATGCCCAGATCGCGCTGCACACAGACTGGGCTAACTTCGTGCGCATCACGCTCGACTCGGTCGTGCTCAACGGCCGCAGCAAGCTGCAGGCGTTTTACGCGCAGCGCAGGATCGAGAGCTTGTACATGGAGGCGCGCTGGTTCCTGGCGTTCTCCGGCAACCGCCTCCTAGGGAATTGGCAGAACATCAAGCTCGATCGCACCGATGTTTGCACGAATTTGCCGCCATCGCGCGCGGGCCCGCCCGTGTGGGGAGGAACCTGACCGGCGTAGCGTAGGGAGGGATTGTACAACGGTTCGAGGGGGAGGCAATGTTGCAATCTGCGTACCCTTTGAGTGACATTGTTAGCTGCGAACGCCAGATGTGGGTTTATGTAAGGAGTAAACCATGGAGAGCGCTCCCGTCTACTTACCGCAGCATATGGGCATGGCCGCCATACCTGCAATATCCAAATTCTAAGCGACCTGACATCCTTCGGCTCCTATGGAGTACAATTTGCCGGGGAGATGAGACATAGTCTGACAGTAGCACACGTTCCTGGACTCGTGTGACCTGAAGGCGTTAGCGCAGGAATGGTAAGCAAGATATATGTCACCAGGTCCACACTCCCTCTCCAGCACAACCGTCGTCGCAATGTCCACCCCCCCAGCACCAGCACCAGAACCAGCACCAGCACCCCGCCCCAGCGAGCCCCTCTCCTTCTCAACCGCCCCACCAGCAACCCTCCCCGGACGCATCTGGTATGATGTGCGCGACCTCGGCCGGCTCGCCCGCCACCTCTTCAGCGTATGGTGGTACGGGCCCTTGTACGACCGCACGCCGGCCGAGCGCGATGCGTACGCGCGCCAGCAGGCAAGGAGCGCGGAGCCCCAGCCGGCGAGAGCGACGCGTCTCGGCAGCCCTTACGACTCGGGGCCCTCGCTGTGGCTGCGACAGGATCGCGGCGCACTGTTTTTGGGTGAGGGATATGACGCGGTTGAGGACGATGACGTGCGCGCGCATGCGGGCGCGGCGTGGGAGTTTGTGGGCGGGGAGGAGGCGGCGGCGGCGTGTTTGCGGTTGGTGAGGTGAGTGGACTCTACAGGTGTGAGAGCGATGGCGGAGACAAGAGCTGACGTGAGCAGGTTCCTGGGGACCGACAAAGAGTGTCCGCAATTCGAAGTGCTTCCCCACGGCGCGCTAGCCGCGTTCGTCACAGCGCACCCGGAGATTTTCGGCTCCGCGACGCGGGGTCTGCGACTGCGCTGGCTGCTGCATCTCGCGTCGGCGCTGGCCTTCCTGCACGCTCGCCACGTCGCCCACTGCGCGCTGAATCTCTCGGTGCTCTGGCTGCGCGAGGACGCCTCGCTCGCTCTCTTCGGCTTGACCCACGCCTTCTTCGATGGCAAGTTCGGCGAGCTAATTGACACGCCCTTCTCGCTGCCGTGGCACTGCCTTGGCCCGGATCCTGACGTCTCGCCCGAGGACTTGTTGGCGCTGGGGCGATGCGCCGATATTTTCAGCTTGGGCTCCCTGGCATACTACCTGTTGAGCGGCGGGAAAGAGCCTGACTGGGAGATTCCGGAGCAGCAGCAGCAGCAGCAGCGGGGCTGTCTGGACGACTTACGGGCCCTGCTGCGCAAGTTCGCGCCTGAGCTGCCCGCAGACTTGCCGGCTCGTGCATTCATACGCGCCTGCTGGACCCTAGAGTACCAGAGCGGCGGCGATGCGTTGCGCGCTCTGGTTGCTGCGGTTCAAGAGCTGCGTTTCGAGGTGCAGGGCGATGACATTGTCGGCATGGCGGATGAGGGTCGTCGCATGATGCGGGATTACCGCCCTCAGCACTTTCTGGGGAACGGGTCTTATCGTGACTGACGTGGGGGAGATACAACTGTCGAGGGCTTTCTCCTCGTGTAGGGTGGTGTACCGTGTCTCATGAGGAAGCAAGCAGCTAATTTAGCTGGACAAGGTCAATTTGAGATATCCTTCGCGAAACGAACCGAACATCCACCAGTACCAACTGTATCTACCCTTAGACGTCAAACCAAGACCTCGCCACTCTGTACCCCCTTGCATAGCCATTGATATCCAGGTAATGCTTCCACGGGCTTGCGAAAATGTGGAGCGCTCGGCAATCCAAATCGTACCTTATCGGCGCTTCTCTATCCATGGATTGCAATTCGGTGCGTATAAATATGGCACATGTAATATCGACCATAAGTGTTCCTACAAGCATCATGAGAAAGGGTATTCGTATGAAGGCTACCACATCGTCTCGGAACTGTTGACGCAGAATCCTGGTCTTCGTTTTTCTGTCGAAGTTGAAAGATGCTGCAACAATAATACCCAGAAACAAAAAGTACGGAATTACGAAAGGTATATATATGTATGGTCCCTTTGCTGAATTGGAAGCTAGTCGTATTGCAGCCAAAAGTCCTGGATTTTGGAAGAGCCAATCCTTGGCGGGACTACAGAGCTGTGCTGGTGTGCATTGAGCACTCAGAAGTCCTGGGGCGGTAGTGATTGCGTCCTCGATGCAGTCGTATTGCGGCTTCGTTCCAGGCCCACTAAATACTATAGCCCTCCAATTCCACCCCACTACGGCTATGCGCGCATACCCGGTACCGATATACTGGGCTAATGTAGCGATAAAGAGGGACTACTGCAGAGTCCTTTTGTACTTGGAACCAGCAGAGAAAAAGCATGCCATCGGATGGGCATTGGCGAGCAATGTATAAGCCTTGACCCAGGTTGGCCACCAAGACCAGAGCGAGAGCGAACGGTGCCTATCTGGATATCGCACTATTTGTGCGAAGCCCCACCAGAACCAACCGTAAGATACAACTGACTTTGCGTAGATGGTCCAGTCGACAATGCTTCTTCGCTCTGGGCAGTCCTTTGGAGCGTGTCTTCCCATCAACGCGTGTTTCCTTAGCAGGACAAGCACGAGGAGGGTTGCGCTGTTCACGGTACTCCAAATAGTAAGAGTCGTTTCGGGAAAAGCGGACTCGCGTGGTTTCGAAGGAATGACTTTGAATCCATCCAGACAGGTGACCAGGTCGCACCAGCCATATGATACCGCGCTTCCGTTGGGTGCTGTAGTGTCCCATTTCAAGCGGTTCAGGGCGGGTTGATCGGTGTTCGGATTGAAGATGAGACTGCAGTTGACGCTGTCCAGCGGCTTGATTGCAGTCGCGCAGTCCTTCAAGTTTATCTTTCGTTTTCAAACAGCACGACCCCAAGCTCCGACGACGCGGAATTCCAGCTGTATAAAAACACGCGCTTTGATGACAAGAATCGCAATCTGGAAGAGGAGGAAGATCACGATTAGGCTGGGTGTGCTGAGCCTGAGCCAACACCCAAGGTCGAATTTGAAGAACATCCACTTTGGGTATTCCTTATTGTCCTCAGAAAGAGGAACGAGTTTGTAGGCATATTTTCTAAACCTGCCGGAAGACACCATAGCGAAGGTTCTGTTCGAGCTTCCTGGCCTGGAATCGACTTGTAGAAAGCCCTTGCGACTTCTCGTTTTTATCTGTCAGTTGCGGCAGAAGGTGGTGTGAAGCGTCAACGCAGTCATCAAAGCCACATGCGGGGGGCAGATATTCCAGCTGACAACAAACAGACGATTGCCTGCAACCTATTGGTCCAGCGGCAGCCTCAAATTTCTAGGCAGTAGCTTGTTTCCTCTTCGGGGCCGGTGAGTGTTTCTTAATTGCTGCATCTGCAAGTCAAGAATAGCCAGCCTTCCAGATCGCACGGTGCCCGTGTTATAAGTCGGTCAGCTAAAATGCGACTTTTCATCAATCCTACGCGCGAGCCAACCTGAACGCTTCGCTTGCTTCACGCCAGCCTCTCATAAACCGCAGGGCGTAAGACAATAAATGCATTGCGCCGCAGAAGACGCACCATGTGACAGTTTTGCTAACATAACATTGGTCGAGCAGTTTAGCCAATCATCGAGACCTACTGCCTTCTCACTCTTCGACAACACAACAAGTCAGTGATAAACAGTATTGGAGACTGAGAATTGCAATTCTTAACCCAATGTAAAACATGAAATTCGAACGACAAAAACCGATACAAACTCTCTTCATTAACAGGGCACTAAAAGCGCTCAAGCACCATCAACAGCCCTCTGCACCTCCTCCACACCCACCTCCCTCCCCAACAACCACCCGAACGCCAACACGCCATCCCTCTCGGCCCTCTTCGCCTTCTCCAGCCCCGCCTTCGCAAACAGCCCCACCCCATGCGGCACCCCGGCATACACATCCAAGCGCGTCAGCACGCCCTTCTCCCGCAACATCTTCTCATACACCAACCCATCATCCCTCACCGGATCCATGCCGCACACCATAATGTAAGTCCTCGGCATCATCCTCCCCTCTGTCAAAAACCCCCCCGACCCCACCGGCGAAAACAGCGCAGACCCCACGTCCGCGCGATACAGCTCCTTCAGATAAGCCAGGGACTCGGCATTCAGGACCGGCGCGGCCGCGTTCTGCTCGCGCGCGAAATGCAGCGTCTTCCACTTGTCGGGCACGATACTCGGGTCGAGGAAACTCGGCATCTGCAGCCACACGCCCGAGACCCTCGGTTCCTTCCCTGCATCTAGCCACGCCTGCACGGCCACGCCCGCAAGCGAGGCGCCCGACGACCCGCCCCCGACGACGAACCCCGCGGCTGTGTCTGCGCCGATGCCGCTGTCGGCGGCGTGCGATGCCAGCCACGCCACCGCGTCGATGGCGTCGTGCGCGGGCGTCGGGAAGGGGTGGTCTGGCGCGAAACGGTGCGAGATTGTGATGGCGGTGGCGTTGTAGGTGCGCGCGAGGATGCGCGCGAGCGGGGTCGCCTGCTCGTAGGTGCCGGCGCAGTAGCCGCCGCCGTGGATGAGGATTACTAGCGGACTGCCGCTGCCGCTTGCTGCGGGGTTGGCATTCGTGTTGGCGGCGGTGTCGGTGGAGTCGGTGGTCCGATGGGGGGGCTTGTGCACGCGCGCGGGGTTGAGATGGCCGTCCCGCATGGGGATGTGGATGATTTGTTCGAGGGGGGTTTCGGGGGAGGGTGTGAAGGAGCGGGAGGAGGCGATGAAGGCGTCGATAAGGGCGCGGCCGGCGGGGATGGGGGTCGCTTTGAGGAGCTTTCGGGGGTGTTAGTTAGGGTTTTCTTTGTGTTTTTGTTTTTATTTTGTTTTTTGAGGGGATGGTGGATGTGGTGGCTGGGGCGGGGGTGCTGACTTCGGCCATGTGTGGACTGGATGTTTTGTTAGACTTATTTCGAATCGATAGAGGTTGGAGATGAACGTACTCGGGTTTAGCTAAGGCGGCTACTGCTTCGGGCGTGTTGTACTCCATTGTGAATGTATCGTGGGTAGTTATACCGAATGGAAGAAAATGGCGTCTACTTCTATATTGTATGCGGAGAAGTGAAGGTTCTTTTAAGCTTTCAGGATGGTTGCTAGCTATTGGGTGACTATTATTAGACACCGCAGGTCAGCTTCGGTGTCGTTGCGTTCAAAGGATTCAGCTAAGCCTATTAGAGATACCGGGTCAGGCCTACCACCACGACTACATTGACAAGTAACAAGCTCGAAGCCACAACACTGTCCAATACGCGACGACGAGCAAGCCACCCACTCAAGACTCAAGAGCATGGCACAAGTCACGGTCTTCGACTCGGTCCTCGTCGGGAACCTCTTCGGCACCGAAGAAATCCGCGACTGCTTCTGCGAGAGCGCGTACGTCGCCAACCTCGTCAAAGCGGAGGTCGCGCTCGCGCAAGCCGAGGAAGCCGAGGCCATTATACCCGCCGGCGTCGCGGCCGCTATCAGGGAGCACTGCGCCGACGTCTGGAGGCTCGACTGGGCGCTGCTCGGCCTCCGCACTGAGGCTGTCGGCGACCCGGTCCTGCCCTTGGTCGAGCAGATGGCTGAGTTGGTCCCTGATGAACTCTGTAAGGCCCATCCATACGCCTTGCGTGGGTAAGCAACAGTTGAGTTAATAGCCACCAAGCCGGGTACATCCACTGGGGCGCCTCAAGCCAGGACATGATGGACCTAGCCTCAACCCTGCAAATGCAGCAAGGCCTCGCCATCACCGAAACCCTCCTCCGCAAAATAACCTCCACCCTGACCCGCATGGCCCTCGCCTACCGCGACGTCCCCATGGCCGGCCGCACCCACGCCCAGCACGCCGCGCCCATAACCTTCGGCTACAAGTGCGGCGTCTGGCTGGCCAGCTTCCAGCGACACCTCGCGCGCCTCACACACCTGCAAGCCACCAGCCTGCTCGCACAATTTGGCGGCGCGGCCGGCTCCCTCGCCTCGCTCTCGCTCGCCCGCGGCCCTAGCACCGACGCAGCCGCTGCCGCCAGTGCCATCCGCGTCCGCAGGCGCATCGCGCACCTCCTCGGCCTCACCGACCCCGTCATCTCCTGGCACACGGCGCGCGACACCGTCGCCGACATCACCAACTTCCTCGCGCTGGTGGGCGGGTCGCTGGGCAAGCTCGCACAGGACCTGCTCCTCCTGTCATCGGCCGAGGTAGGCGAGGTCGCATTCGCGGAGCCGGACACCCCGGCCTCGCTGCCCGCGCTGCCCTTGCTGCCGCTGCAGCGCAACCGCCCCCTGCCGGCCGAGGCGATGCTGGCGGCGAGCAAGCTCGTGCGCGCGCAGGCGAGCCTCGTCCTCGACGCCATGGTCAGCGCGAGCGAGGGCGGGGGCGGGCCATGGCGGCTCGAGTGGGCGGCCGTGCCGACGGCGTTTATGGCGCTGGTCGGGGGGCTGCAGCAAGCGGATTTGGCGCTGGCAGGGCTGCACGTCAATCAGGATGCTATGCTGCGGAACTTGCGGTCGACGCGGGGGCTGGTTGTTGCGGAGGCGGTGGCGTTGCGCTTGGCGCGGTTTTTGGGGCGCTCGGAGGCGGGTGAGATTGTGCGGGCCGCGTGTGCTGTTGTGAGCGATGAGGGAGTGTCGTTGTTTCAGGCGCTGGAGAGGCAGGAGCGTGTCGTGGGGCTTTTGGGGGGAGAGGAGTTGGAGGACTTGTGTGATCCGACGAGGTATCTTGGCTGCTGCGGGCCTATGGTCGATGAGCTTGTTGGGAACTGATTTGTAGGTGGACAACAACAACAAACGAGACTAGAAGGTACCAAAAAGAAGCCAATTCGCACCGAATAAATCCTGCTTTATAATAGTAAAGCTCTAGACAATCAATAACCTAGCTAATTGTGAGGACACGGATGGACACGGACACGGACTACGTGGACAACAACTCCTATCCCCGACCAAAACACACCTACTCCGTACCTAGCACCCCACTACAGCTCTCCTGGCCCCAACCTTACTAATTCACGCAGACACGCGCCGCCTCGGCGCCACCTTGGCGCTGACAGCAACCGTCTCGGCAGGATCCGATTGAGCTGTGCCGCTTCCTAACCAATACAGCTTGACGTTGAGCAGACTTGGCTGCAACCAGAAGATTAACAATCAACATGATCGCAGCCATATTTAACCCCAAGAGCGCATTGTCACTCACAAACCACAACACAATCAACGTCTCAGCTTCCAGAACCTCCGGACAAACAAGCTGCACGAAACACCGCCATGTCCAGCCTCCAGTACTACACCTACGGCGGCACCGGCCAAGTCCTCAAGGACAAATACCACTACAACCAAGCCGTGCGCATAGGCAACCGCATCGAGTGTTCCGGCCAAGGTGCGCCTCCCACAACCCCACACCCCACAATCCCCACTAACCACCCTCCCCCCAGGCGGACTCGACCCGCAAACAGGCGCCATCCCGAAAGAGCTCGCCGCCGAGATCGACGCCGCCTCCGCGCTCGTCGACCGCGCGCTCAAGGCCACTGGTGCGCAGGGCTGGAACCAGGTCTTCCGCGTCAACTCGTACCACGTCGGCTTAGGGGCCGAGACGATGGACGCGATGGTCAGGAATTTTAGGACGTGGATGCCGCATCATTGCCCTGTTTGGACGTGCGTTGCTGTGCCGAGGCTTGTGCCTGATGGGGCGAGGGTCGAGGTTGAGGTTGTGGCTTTTGATGGGGAGGGGTCGGGTGCGGTGGATGGTTGAGGATGAGACGGATTAATGGGGAGGGAGTGTGAGGTGGGATGTAAGGGACGGTCGTGCTGGATGTACTGCTGTGGGTGCGGCTGAGAAAGTCAGCACTAGTGACAGAGGAGCGTTGTCAGATTCTTTGGCGGGGTTACCCAATCACGTAAAAAGGATTCACGCTAATGTCTTTCGTACCTTATTGTCTTCCGTACCTGAATGTGTGACTGTGACTGGCGTTCAGCTGTTCGCCTTTCAAGTGAATTGTTATTACTAGGAAGCGGTTTTGGTATATTTTTTCCAGAAGACTTAACTTTTCTTACATCTGGCTTCTATAATATAGTTTGTTAAATTTAGATTAATTTGAAAACTTTTAACCTCTATGAAGACATAGGAAATGCGGCAACACTCGCAGCTGATTTGAAAACTTCAGCTCTACTACTGCCATGGAACACAAAAAAACGAAAGAGGTATAGTCGTTCAGGCAAGCACTGCTGACATACCCAACGCTGGATCTGCGATTTTTGCTTCTTGCAGCAGGAATGCTGACGAGCTGACGAGCGCCTAAGCTGCATGCAGTAATAACGGCACGCTCTCTTGCGCTTATGGCGAGACTCAGGCATCAGGTAGGAACACAATGACAAATCTGTACGCTTTCATCGGACGCCAATATGGCATCTGAGAACGATCAGGTCCCTGCCCGGGCCAGAGCATTCAGATATAAAAGCTCAGAAAGCTACAAGCCGAGCCTAGCCCGCCATCAGCTTCGACCAACTCTTCTCTTCCTCCAACGTCCAAATCCAAAATCAACAAGCACACCATGCAACACCTCACGCCCCTCGCCCTCCTCGCCGCCACTATGGTCGGCTTCGCCGCTGCAGACAACTGCCGCCACGGGCTTTACTACTGCGGCAACGTGCTCCTACGCAAAGGTAACCGCACACCCAAACGCCGAGTTGTACTCAACCCCATTCCCAGAACCAAAATCAACCACAACCCCGAACCCACCTTAGCCCCCTTCCCCCCTCGAAACATGCTTCCAAGCACATTCCAGCACTAACGGCCTCCAACCAGGAAACTACTACAACGACATCGTCACCTCGCTAAAGGCCGCGAAACAGTCTACCGACTCTGGCCACGTGAACAACTCGCTCTTCTACTGTGCCGGTGACGACGATGTGCCGTTTGTGCGGTACTGCAGCAGTGGATGCGTCGATGGCGGCTCCGGGAAGAGCGATCACTGCTAGGTAGAATAGCTTGGGCAATGCAGTGATCCGATACGGAGGGAGAAGATTGAGTTGGAGGAAGAACAATGGGGGCGAAGTGGCCGTAAGATATTTCGCGAATCATAGTTAGTAACTCAATACGTTCGTTTAATTTTCGTAGTTGTTCACGCTTCTGAGACAATTTTAAGAAGTGAAAGGGTTGCAGACGGTGCTTCTTGCATAATGTGAATGGAAGGAAGGTAAGACAATTACGACTAATATATACCTTAACGCCTTCTTCGAAGACATAACCGCAAACTCAAGGGATTTTAATATGGTAAAAGTATCTAAAGTAGCCTATCCTGCTTAACCTGACGGAGGAGTTACTATGCTCGCTAAAAGTCTGTGGCGCTGAGACGAATATCAAGGAGTCTTGGCATGGTTTTGGGGTAGGAGGGGATGCGGCGCACTCCGCAAGGAACACTAGTTTAGCGTGGAATTACGTATATGCTTACCATTGATAGCTAATAATTATCTTTCATGGAGGTGCATTTCATGCGGAATAAGCCGCTCTCTATGTGGTGATGTTAATACTTGGTATTATGGTACTCTTTTGGCCCCGACTAATTTGACCACCCCTTCTGGCTATTTTGACCACTCCGCCCGCCGCCTTCCTGAACAGGTAGTATCTGGTAGAAAATCAGGCCTCATCGCAACGCGCGACGGCCGCGCGAGAATGATAAAGCAGGGAACAGGAACTAGCACCCTTATTTTGCACCCAAAATCAATCAATACGCGCTTACCGCACATCCGGCGGGGAATCCGTACTAAATATCACACCGCCGCGCGCGCGCGTCCCTCCGCTCGCTCATTCAGTACTAAACCTATTTAGTAGTTGGCTCCTGTTCGCGTAAGCTGCTGCGAAGGTACCCGTTTAGGAAGGCGGTAGGCGGGGGTGGTCAAAATAGCCAGAAGGGGTGGTCAAATTAGTCGGGGCCTACTCTTTTTATCCCTTAATTCGTTTTCGAAGGTGGCTGTGGCTAGGCCCGCAGAGACAATTGGCCTAGAACAAAGCCACTGAGATGATCAAGAAGAGACCAATCGTTCAATTATGGCGCCAGACTCGTCTCACTTAAAGGCCCGTTCTCAGGCCAGCGAGCGTGCAAGGACGGCTTCAATATTATCATGACGGATTGCCTCGGAAAAAGCAACCGCGACAGCGTAAGTATTTCTATTTACCATGTTATATTTCGTTTCCCCGTCATCCAATATCGGCCGGCACAGCCCCGTATTATCCCTACATGTTGAAGTGTACGCAGTTTATATTGCTTTTTCTGTGGCTTAGTCATTTAGCACAGGGTATAAGAGGACTCCGCCTACCGGGCTCCTAACAAGATCATGCCACTCATTGCTATCAATTGAAACCCCATTCATTGCAACACTACATAAATACAAAACTACATTCACACCACCTCACTCCAGCATCATCTCAGCTTGCACTTTATCCAGTTTAAAAGGCGCAAATCGGCCAGGCTACCCGTGATTCAACAGCGTAAGGGTGTGCATTCAATGCTATCCGCACACAGGAAAAAAACAACCGTTCCCTACACAAGAAGACAAAACATTCGTAAAGAACAAACAACGCACAGCTCGCAAACACCTGCACCCCCAACATCACCAACCAACCCCCTCCAGCACAAATCTAGAAGTTCCCCCCCGCAGCCTTCGTCAAGCCCGCCGTCACAGCCATATCGTTAACAACAATCTGCTCGCCGCTCTGGCTCGTAATCCTCACATCCACCGTCTCAGTGCCAAACCCGCTCTGGTTCTCAAAGAAATTATACTCGGACCTCGTCGTCGCCTGCCAGGAGCTTCCGCCATCGGTGCTGACCTCGAGCGACTCCACCGGCAGGTTCAGGTTCCGCGCCTGCATGCTAAACCAGTACGCGCTGGTGCCCTCCTTGTTCTTGAGCACAATGTCATCCGTAATGCCGCACGCGACGCTCTCGAAGCTGATGTCGATCGTGCCCTTCGTCTTGTCCCCGATCGCCGCGAACGCGTCCTCGAAGAGGTCCAGGTGCGTCGCGTCGCACTCCGGGCACTGGTCGACGACCATCACTGTCACGGTGCCCAGTGGGCCTGTCACTTTCAGGCACTCGCCGCAGTGCGACGCGCCGTCCCATGCGGAGCCGGAGAACGCGGTTCCGTACAGCCCCGACGGGATCGTGTACCCGCTGAATAGGCACTGCCCGCCTTCCGTGTTGCCGCCGTAGAAGGTCGCCGTGCCGCTGGTGGTGGCGCTGCTGCTGGCGACTTTGACGCTGTTTTTGCTGGTGGCGACGCTGCTGGTGGCGGGTGCGCTGGTGCTGGTGGCGATGCTGGTGGCGATGCTGTCGGTGGCCGTGGCGCTGGCAGAGGTGGCGACGTCGTCGGCGTACACGTACTCGACGGCGCAGAAGGGAAGGGGGTTTGCGGCTGTGAGGGCGGCGAGGGCCGCCAGGGCCGTAGTGGTGGTGGTGCGGAAAGAGGGCATGGTTTTGAGTGTGGAAAGGTGTGGCGTGTGGTGATGGTTTATTCCACAGAAGAAGAAGAAGAAGAAGAAGAAGAAGAAGAAGAAGAAGAAGAAGAGAGAGAGGGCGTGTGTGTGTGTGCGTAAAGGTAAAAGAAGTCCGACTAGCAGTCTTCGCAGTGAACAGAACAGAGAGCAGAGCAGAACAGAACACAACAGGACCAAACGGATGGATGAATGAATGATGGTCAAACTGGTCGACAGCACAAGTAGTTGCGATTTCCAACCCCAAACCCACACCACCTCTTATATACCCTTCCATCCATCCACCATCGCCACCACGCTCCACTCCACTCTCCACAAACAACCACCACCCCATCACATCACCCATCACATCACCCACAGGCCGCACCGGCGCGTCGCCCCGCCGGCTCGCCCGCCATTCATCCTGCACCATGCACGTCGCGCATCATAGTGGGTCGCCTCAACGGCGCAGGACGCAAGTGGCGCGGCGCCTTGAAACGGGGCCGTATGTAGCTGCAAGCTGCGCGTGGGAGATTTGGCTTGGTGCGACGCGAGCGAAACGGCGGCCAAAGTAGAAGCGAGACAGGCGACAGGCGACAGGCGACTGCAGGCGCCGCACCACAACCGTTCGATGGTAGGGGTGATGTGGTGCGCGAGTGGGCGGGTGATCAGTCGTGGGTAATTTTATTTAAGAGGGAGGGCTTTTGCGGTCGTTCGTTTGCTTGCTTGTGGGGTGGTTGGTTGGTGCTTGCGGCCGTTGAATGTGGTGCCATGTGCGGCCGGGGGCGGCTTGGGGGGCCTGATCCGTGTTCCGGGTCCGCGGCGCGGGATGCCTACAGGAGATCGAGGGTGCGTGCCGTGGGTCGCGTATAGTGCGCGTATGTTGTGTCTCTGAGCTGTATAAAAAGAAAGAAGAACCGCGCAATCTTCTGCTTACTGCTGCTTATAGTTATGAATGATGATCGCATGCCAGCCACTGTCTGAGGGCAAAACTCGCCCTGGTATGTATGTATGCGGCATGCCTGCGTTTCAGACCAACGTCAGCAGCTCTCGCACTACGCTATCAGACCTTGTTTGTAAGGGCAAAGCAAAGCACCCGATCCACCGACTCTGTCGACCCGCACCTCCTCCCCCACTAGTAAACACGCCCCGCGTTCAACTCCGTAATGAACTTCCAAATCCCGCTTCCCTCGAGCACTTCGTACTCCTTCAACGGCGCCTCAAAGAGGATCTCGGCCTCCGGCTTCATCAACGGCCTATATTCCCTCCCAAAATCCCTCCCAATGCGCAGATCCGTCTCCTCGACCCGCCACCCCTGCTCGCGGCCGGGCAGCGACCTCAACTTATACCGTATCGACTCGGTGCTCTTGGGCAACGATGGCGGCTCCTGCGTGTACTGACCCGGCCACAGTTTGACACGCACGCCGACGCCGCGGACCTCGAGCCGCTCGAGGCAAGGCCACTCCGCTTCGAGCAGGACGGGGTGAATGAAGCGCGTGAAGAGCTGCTCGCCTGGCCGAAGGCTGTCTTCGGGGGCCTGGAGCGCCAACTGCTCGTTCACCCAGTTGTCCCCGTTCTGCTCGAAGAAGAGGGAGCGTAGCGTGGGCCGGATTGAGCCCAAAAAGGCGCCATATTCGCGGTAGCGAGCTGCATCGTGGGGACGCAGATCCTCGGACCTCTGTGGTGCCCACGTGCCGATGCGGAGGGAGGTTAAGTTGGTGCAGCGGCGGGTGAGGTACGGTTGCATGTGCCCACTAAGCGGTCCTGCAGGCGTGTTTTTCCTTTCTCCGGCGTATTCGGCGCTTCTCTCAATGCTTTCCCGAATCGGATACAGGTCCAAGCAGTATTGCATCAGCTGGGCGTGGGTGAGGCCGTCGGGTGGGTCGGGGAGAGGGTTGGCGTATTGCGAAAGGCCATCGAAGTCAAGGTGGCGGAGCGCGCTCGCGTCTCTTTCTCCAAGGATTGCTCTCACGAATGATCGCGAGACTTGGCCGCCGAGCCGAATTGACGTTGCCGAAGGGAACAGTGGGGGAGGGGGGCAGGACTCGCGGTACATCCTTTAGCGCCGTAGTGAGCATGAGTTCAGCGTGATGCGGGGATGAAGGGTGTTGCTCCGAACCTGAGGAAGAAAACATCGATGATGATGACCTTAGTCATTGTTGAGAAAGCAGCCCATAGTGGTGCTGTGAATTGTCAGTCCATTATGATAAGTGTTTGAAAGCACTCACAGTCTTCGACTAGCAAGTCGATGGGGTCGTCACGCCGTATAGTAATCCTATAGTCAATGCTATTTTCATACAGCTGGTAGTTGCCATTTTTGCGTCCCGGCGGCGCCATAATGATGCTCCATGCCAAATGTCGCACATGTTCTCCATATCCTGGGCGGGTCTGCAGGGTTGCAAGGAGAGATCGCTGGCGTTTTCGGATGGCTTGGTCGAGGGGAGTCTCGGGATACATTACATTGTAGGCGGGGATGGGGTGGGGGCCATATTCGAAGAAATTGGCCGTTTCCGAAGAGTTATGGCGGCTTAGGTCTATGGAGCGGTAGAGCTCCTCGGTCTGAGGTGAAGTTAGCCAGTGGTTCGGAGGCAATGTGAGCCGGAGAGGACGCACGCAGATGGAATGCAGCCATTGACATGTCGCGCTGAGGGCGCAGCATGAGGGCGTATCGCAGAAGTCGGCGATGATGTAGCGGAGTAGTTCAACGGGCAGATGGCCGAGCGCGGTCATGATGGCGTAATGGTGGATGGAGTTGGATGTGTTCGGTCTTAAGAGCGACTCGCTTCCGTCAGGCAACAACAAAAGGCGCGAGTCAGGCAGCCACCACCAGGCCAAGCTTGTGGCTGCGACACAACAACATCAACACCTCGAAATATCAAACAGAAGCCATCCATCCTTTGAAGCTGTCATTTCCAAGTGGAGCATAGGTGACGCTGCTTTGATTTATCAGCATTTGCGTCTGTGACTCAGGCAAACCTCAAAATCGATGACTCAAGCATTCTTTATAACGGCAATGAATCACTCCACCAGTCCCCTCAGCATCATGTCCACCACCAACACGACCTATCTCATCACCGGCGCCAATAGAGGTGAGTCTCGCCGAACCGCCCCCAACTTCCACGCTAATCCCATCTTCCCGACAGGCCTTGGCCGCGGCCTCGTCGCAACCTACCTCGCCCGACCCGCCAGCACCATCATCGCCGGCGTGCGCGATCCTGCCCACCCGACCGCGCAATCCCTCTACTCACTCTCCGTTGGCACCGACAGCGCCCTCATCGTCGTGCGCATCGACAGCAGCGACGCACCCAGCGCCGCCGCCGCCATTTCCCTCCTCGCGACCGAGCACAGTATCACGCGTCTAGACGTCGTCATCGCCAACGCTGGCATCGGGAAGACATATCCACGAATCGCCGACGCGACACTCGACGAGCTCGACGAGCATATCCGCGTCAACGCCTATGGCCCGCTGGCGCTGTTCCAGGCCGCGTTGCCGGCGTTGAACCAGAGCTCGCAGCCCAAGTTCGTGGCTCTCAGCTCTGCCGTCGGCAGCATTGGCGGGATGGGGAAGCGGACGTTGTTGCCGCACGCAGCGTACGGGCCGAGCAAGGCGTTGCTGAACTGGTTGGTGAGGAGGATGCATTTTGAACATGAGAACATGATCGTGTTTCCCATCCATCCGGGGTAAGATGCGGATTAAAATTATCTGGTGAAGTTGCGGCTGACTTTGCGGTAGCTGGGCCAAGACCGAGATGGGGAACGGGACAGCGACCAAGTTTGGCTTAGGCGAGGCTGAGGTCGAGCCGAAGGACAGCGTCGCCGGCATGATCAAAGTGGTACGTATGAGAGGCCCATCAAAAAGACGTATTTTTCTGATTTATTGCAGATTGACGGCGCGACGCGAGAAGAGACATCAGGCCGGTTCATGCTCTTCAACGGAGAGGTTTCGGAGTGGTAAAAACAGACAGAAATATACTTACGGTAAGTAGACTGATATAGAATAGAGGTAAGGACACTTTACTCGTTTTTCCATGCCTTTTCTTTTGTCCATGTCTGCGCGAAGAAGCGGACGGAAGTTCAGTGGTTTAGGGCCGCTTCGTCCGCCGTATTTCTCTCTTGCGCAAGTCTGTCCGACCGGCCGCAGGGACCACAACTGTCAACACTCTGCTTCCACTCCCGATCTGCCGTCAGTGGTATAGGTATTTGGTCGCAAATAACCTACCTTTCGAATCATTTTAATACTCAATTCGCTTGGCAAAGTCTCCACATCACAGGGCCATCCACCTAAGCCTCTTACGATATCAGCAAACCGTCGTGTCAACTATCCATTGTGGAACTGGACATGCGGAGATAACCACATGCAGCTTACGCCTCGCCGCAGTTAAGATCCTTCGGAATCATGTTGTAGAACACGAATGTCATCTCATGTTTGCAGCCTGCAGCTGCGAGTACCAATCGGCTATCCTGCGACCCCGCAACCCCGCATGCATGGGTGCGCGATAAAGACCAAGTCATTACTATAAAACATGCTCTCAACAGTCTCATTGCTTCCAACACTCCAATTGATAGCCCATAATAGTTCTAACAACTGCCTCGTCGTCAATATGCCCGAACAAAACGTAGACGCGCTCGTTGTCGGCGCAGGCTTCGGCGGCATCTACTTGCTGTACGAGCTCACCAAGTTGCCGCTCTCGGTCAAGCTCATCGACATGGCCGGCGACGTGGGCGGGACGTGGTGGTACAACCGCTACCCCGGCGCCATGAGCGACACTGAGAGCTACCTCTACCGCTACTCTTGGGACAAGGAGGACCTGCGCACCTACCCCTGGGCGAACCACTATCTGCACCAGCCCGAGATCCTCAAATACCTCGAGCACGTCGTCGAGAAGCACGGCCTGAGGAAGTACATGCAGTTCAACACGGAGATGTTGTCGGCCGATTTCGACGAGGACGCCAACGTCTGGCGCGTGGCCACAAACTCCGGCGACACGATTGTCACACGCTTTCTCTTTACATCGCTGGGCCCGCTGTTTCGACAGAAGCTGCCCGACTTCCCAGGCATGGACACGTTCAAGGGCACGCTCGTACATTCGCAGGAGTGGGACCCAGCGATCCAGCTCGAAGGCAAAGACGTCGCGGTCATCGGCTCGGGCTCCACCGGCGTCCAAATCGTCACGGCCATCGCGCCCGTCGTCAAATCCCTGACCAGCTTCCAGCGCAGCCCGCAGTACACGGTGCCGAGCGGCAACGGGCCCGTCTCGCCCGAGTACCGCCAGTGGATCAACGCGCACTACGACGACATCTTAGAGCGCAACCGCCAGACAGTGACGGGCTTCGGCTTCGAGGAAAGCACACGGCCGCTGGCGTCGGCGACGCCCGAAGAGCGCGAGGAGGTCTTCGAGACCCTCTGGCAGAAGGGCAACGGCATGCGCTTCATGTTCGGCGGCTTCGGAGACATTGCCTTCGACCGCACCGCCAACGAGGCCGCGTGCGACTTCATCCGCCGCAAGATCGCGTCCATTGTGAAAGACCCCGAGAAAGCCCGCAAGCTCATGCCGCGCGAGCTGTATGCCCGCCGCCCCCTCTGCGACGCAGGCTACTACGAGCAGTTCAACCGGGCCAACGTGCACGTCGTCGACGCAAAAGCAACGCCCATCACCGCCATCACGCCGGCGGGGATCCTTACTTCAGACGGCGCCGAGCGCGCCTTCGATGTCGTCATCTGCGCAACCGGCTTCGATGCCTTCGACGGCGCGTACGGCCGCATCGCGCTGCGCGGCCGCGGCGGGCAGACGCTGCGGCAGCGCTGGGCCGACGGCGCGCGCACCTACATGGGCGTCGGCGTCGCGGGGTTCCCCAACTTGTTCATGGTCGGCGCGCCGTTGGGGCCATTTTCGAATTTCCCGAGCGCGCTGGAGGCCGCCGTCGAGTTGAGTATGGCTGCGCTGGGACAGGCGTTGCGGGCTGCGGGCGGGGCGCGGGATTCGGAGGCGCGGAATGGGGATGGTGATGGTACCAGTAATGGTGTCGGTGCGTGTGCCGCCAAGGGCGTCGTGGTTGACGTAACGCCTGAAGCGGAGGAGGAGTGGGTGGCGCGGTGCGAGAAGCTGGCCGAGGGGAGCCTGTTCAAGGAGGCGCCGTCGTGGATTTTCGGGCGCAATATCGCGGGCAAGCCGCTACGGCCGAGTATGTATTTCGGGGGGCTGAAGAGCTATCTTGACATTTCGCGGGAGGTGGTTGAGGGCGGGATGAAGGGGTATGTTATCAAGGTGTAGGTTGAGGGGCGGAGGGGCGGTTGTTGGACGTGTTTACCTTTGGGGATTCGGTGATGCGGACGTTTGGTTTGGTTGCTTGGGGAGACAAGCACTATCCGGTTACACTACCCTCCAGCATTAAACTATCAATGTTTGTCGTCGGGAACCACAAACCGTGATCCCGGAGGATGAAACTAATGTATCAAACGAATGTCTCTCGTGGGAAGCTGAATTCTCCCAGACTGTGTTTTAGTAGTATACATGTTGGCAGTTTATTTTAACCACAAAGGAAAAAAGAAAAAAAAAAGTAAAAAACATATTTCCCTAACAAAACGCTTCCTCTCCACCTAGGGGCGACAGACTCCGATATTCAGAGGGTTAGGCGGGGGCGTAGGAGTTATGGCTTGCGAAGCCTCTTCGCCTCCATACCACGTCGTAGAAAGCATCCCTACTACCCGCATTCCTACCGCCGAGCACGTGATACCGCACGTCTTTGCATACTGCAGTTTGTTATCCGCTCCACATACGAATAGCAACTTGTTTAAGTTGATGGCGTTGGTTAGTTGGTTAGCGGCTTTTAGGGCTGCGACGTAGTCGCTTCGATTAAACCCTGAATAAGAACGGTTATTATTATCAGGTCTGTTTACATTGGTGAAAACATGATTGTGATGGTGATGTTTATAAAGGGCTTTAGAACTCTGTACTAGACGCATTTAAAGCTACCTACCGAACGGAAAGAGCTGGTAGCCGCAGAAGTTTGTGCCCTGCTTGCATGTGCCTGCAGCAGTAGTAAAGCTAGCTAAGGTCGTGGTTAGGAGGCCGAAGGCTGTAAGGAGCCGCATGATTTTGATATTTAACTGAAGACTAGATTTTTCGGCCAGTGTTGAGTAGTAGGTAGCAGTTGATTGTGCGCTGGATTTTCGTCACTGCTTTCAGTGATTTTATATGTTTGAACGTCTCTTCAGTGATGAGAGGGCGTATATTATTTTAGCGCAGTGTACATTCCTTATTCCAATCCATGGTAAGAATTAGGCATTACCGTGGTCGAAGAATCCTCCGTCTTCCTACTAATGGCTTATGCATCCGTTAGCACGTAGTGTCTAAAGAAATTTGACGGGATTTTCCGCTTGCTGGCCTACAGGTTGAGCTTACGCTAATTTTGTAAGCCTTCGATCAGCGGTAAAGTAGGTACGCAAGCATAAACTAAAGCTGGAAAAAGCTTATCCTTAGCTACTTGTGAAGCTGGGCGGGAGGAATTGGACGCCGCTTGTCCTCCTAAATTACTACTACCTATAGAGGTATATAAGATACTATCTAGAAGGACACGTTTTCTTTTTGAGGTCATTGCTTCCTTGCAGTAGATAAATGAGTAGTGCAGGGGGTAAGGCTGTTGTGCAACCACTAGATGATGAGGCTGAAAAAACGAGAGTTATCGGAGTGATCCTGGCTGACACTACTTTTCGAGTCCCCCTGCGGAGAGAGCCGTATTTCTCACCACCCCACAACCGTGCCAAGACTCCTTGGTCTTCATTGTGCCGCCAGGGCCCAGGCGATTAGTCTCTGCGCCACCAAATATCAGCGGGAACGGCACCGTCCTCGCTAGGCTAGAGTCTCCAACGTTTTCGAAGACTGTCAGCATGTCAGGATTCTGTTGCTTGCAGTGAAGCCTCTAAGAAATACGTTACCTGCATGTTGGCTTGGTTTGCCTTGTATTTTTTCTAGAAGAAGCAAAAATTGTAAATTTTGCGCTATTCGGGGTGTCCCGCAATACTTAATCTATCCAGCTAATAGTTTTAAGTATTACCAGCCCCGCCGTTGATACACTAGCCGCTGCGAAACCGGACAAAGTGGACATCGTCTGTGCCGCGTAGTAGAAGAGCGACTTATCGACATGGTTGAACTCAGTGGATTGTTTAGCCCTTTTGAGAGAAGTGAAGATATCGTCGTATTAGTTTCTGGTTTGAAGTGGCCGTAATTTCTCACAGTGATGGTTGTGCTTTTGCGTAACGTCTCGAGTAGGATGTAGGTTGTATATTACCTCGTTTGAGGCGCACGTCGCCACAGTAGTAGAGGCTCTTTCTGCATTTGAGGGCGGTGGTAAGACCGAATATGCTTGCGGCGAGGAGGTCAAACGAAGTGACGAGCTGTATTTTTCCTCGGTTTCGGGCTTCGGTTGTGGTGATGATGAGTTTTTCATATTGCTATTAGGCTTAACTTTGACGTCTGCCTTTCTGCATTTATATATTTGAGCGTCTGACATCATCCAGAAGAAACTTGCAGTCTGGTGCATAACCCTGAAGACGAACTTCCCTCTTTATGCTGGCGGAACAGCCACCGCTTTGATAACCATTCCGGTGCTTGTCTCGAGAGTAGGGCAGCCGCCCTGTGAGTGGCAGCTAGCTGCAGAGACCGGCGGCGCGGAGGCCAAAGCCAGGGCGCCCGTGATAATTTGTATAGGAGAAAGGTTTACTCGCATAGTAATCCAGAGGAGACGATGGTAGAAAATAGATGTTAAGGTGTTTGTATGGATAAAGTCAGCAAAGTGGTTTCGGTAATGCTATAGTTTATACGGAGCAGGCAGCGCATTTTTATAAATGCTTATCACATGCTTGTCGACTCAATTTTAGATCAATTATGGTAGAAATAAGAAGTAGTAGAACTACTACAAGTGTACTATTCTAGAGTAGTAACATCTTGTATCGGTTCACTCCGCTGATATTTTTGCGCCTATGCAAGGATTGTGATGTATTTGCAACCGCTCGAGAAGCTTTCATCATATAACAGAGGTAATCATTTACACCCACTAGCTTCCCATCCTCTCAATTTTATCCTTCTCCACTACCAGAGCACATCAAGTTCCGTTTCACTAGTCAAGGCTATCCACCTAGCGACAGCTGCAAAAGCTGACGTCGAGGTGGGCACTGAATCTGCCGTAGTCCCAATCAAACTTCAAACAACCACCGAGCACCCGTCAGTCACATACACGGCGAAAAAATAACAGCGACGCAGGTAAGAACTCACCGTTCCACCATCCTTGTTCCCGTAGCACTGCCTGATAATGTCGCTGAAGGCATCATTGCACGCACTCTGGTCGGGGAAGTGTCCGCGCAGAGCGACGGTGGCTCCGCCCCAGATGAAGGCGTTAGGGTTGCGCCAAAGGTCGCTGCGGCACATGCGGTCCCGTGCTCTTCGGATCTGTTGCTTGCTCTCGCACGAACCGCAGCCGCCTTTCGAGTAGCAGTCGGCTGCAGAAACCAGTGGCGCGGAAGCCAGTACTAGGGCCAATGTGGCTACTACGAATTGAATGGGAGAAACGTAGAACCGCATAGTTGTTAGGCAGCCGAAGGTTGTATTTGATGGTAATTGAATGGATAAGATCTGAGGCAGAATTGTGCTGGTTGAGTTTTCTGAGAGCAAGAGCGCTCGGAGCTTTTAGACCTGTCTTTTTATATATCGCTGTGACATGCGTACTTAAACTCTATGTGTAAGCAGTACTAGGATTAGTATAAAGTGGTCTTAGTAGACTGCTCCCCTTGATTGCTGCGCCGTTACTGAATTTAATTTAGTCTTATTTAGCGAGGCTTACAGACCAGTCCATACCCAAGGGAGAATAACAAAGGGATAAATCTAGAACGCCGTAGAATCAAGGGTTTATTATTATCGCGGGGTAGAACTATCTATCAGTAGTTGTGTAGCTAACGCTTGGTATTACCCTTTAGCACTAGTCACCGGAATAATTCACGATTATCTACCTTCTTTAACAAACCACGATATACGATGTAAAGAGGCAAAGGTTTTAGCTTCAGAACGTTTACTGTCTCGATTAAAGTGAGTATAAATAAGTAATCACGTCCACAAATCGCGTTTTTGATAATTTTACTATATATAGAATCCTATAGATGGCTGGGACGTATCCGGGAAATACTAGAAGAGATATTTCCACATATTTTACCTTAGTCAATAGTGCGTTTAGTAGACCCAGTCTACTTAGTGGATGTAGTCGGCTTGGTAGACGCAGTCGACTTTGTAGTCTTAGTCGACTTGGTGGACATAGTAGGCTTGGTCGACGCAGTTGGCTTGGTCGACATAGTAGGCTTGGTGGAACCAGTCGGCTTGGTCGACATAGTAGGCTTAGTGGAACTAGTCGGCTTGGTGGACGAAGTGGGCTTGGTGGACGCAGTCGGCTTAGTAGATCCAGTTGGTTTGGTAGACCCAGTCGTCTTGGTGGAAGTGGCCGTCTTGGTAGAGGTAGATGTTTTCGTGGAAGTAGAGCTCTTGGTGGAAATGATAGAGACAGTGGGCTTGGTTGGTAGAGTGGGCACGGTTGGTACAGTGGGGGTTGGTTTGGTGGAAGTAGCCGTCTTGGTAGAAGTAGATGTCTTGGTGGAAATGACAGAGCTCGTTGGCATGATTGATTTGGTGGAAGTCGCTGTCTTTGTGGATTTGGTTGATCGAGTCGCCTTGTTGTCGTCGGCTAAAGCCAACGGCGTAGCGGTCAAGGCTAGGATAGCCGTAAAGATCTGAGCTGTGCTGAAGTGCATGATTGGTAGATTGGTAGATTGATGGAAAATTGAGTGGAAGATGTTGTGTGATGCTGGCGGGGCTTAGGAATGCAATTTTCAGAATACTTATAGGCGTTGTTGGGACATGGCGAATATAAGCAGTAATAGATTTTCGGCAATGATCCTCTTGAATCATGTCGTTCTGCTAATTTCTGAGTTTGTTCGAGGCCTGTTGTAAGCGCGATTTATCGGTTAGCCACAACCACTTTTAAAGTTAAGGAAGGGATGAAAGAGTACCATGTTTCAATCGTCTGGTATTATTGCGGGAACTAACTTTAAGTATCTTAGTACTTGGTTGAGTCAATTAACGGAACTTACCATTAGCGAACTAGCTGAGACCTTACTGTTATTTCTAAGTATATTCGTTGTGAGAAGATAAGTAGGCTGGATGTAGTTGTATAAAGCGTACTGTTAACGATTTCGAAGATCTTAGGCTTTGTGATTTAAAAAAATTTATAGAGGAGGTTATTGAAGCCTCGACTTACTATACATGACGAAATTATAGTTATTTCTTCTTGGTTACAGCGGATAAAGTTAAATGCAACACCAGGGACTTTTTATTTGCGTCAAATGACGAAAGATGAAAACTTATCACACATGCATATTGAACGTAACGTTTCGTTTGGATTAAAATGAATGCTTTTTGGGTACGTTCATGAACTTAACGCCAGAGCTACGTATGAATCACTAAACATCAATCACTCCTCGAGTAAATCACTTTCTGCTCCTCGTCGAAACGATCTACTTAGGAACAGCTGCAAAAATTAACGTCCACGGAGCAGTCTTTGCCGTTGTTTTTCCAGGTATACTATGAGAATTGGTTAATAACTTACCTAGTAGGATGTAGCAGGATGATGGAAAACCCACCTTGGCGCCATTCTTCTTGTTCTTGAAATGGCAATCAGTAAGATATTGCCATGCATCATAGCATTGCTGCCGACTTTCGAAGCCGCCATTGAAAGTGCAGTGACCATATTTTCCAGCAAAATAACTTGGAGGATTCTTCCAGGCAAAATCGCATCCGTGTTTGGCTAGATTGATCATGTTCGAACTTTCGCACGTCTTACACCCTCCACTGGGGTAGCAGCTGCTGGTCATGGCAGATGTATCAGCCGTGTCAGCTGAGTCTGCCGACGCCAGAGGCGAGGACAAGGCCAGAGTGGCCGTGAGGAGTTGAGAAAGACTGATGTACATGGTTTGTAGATGTACGTAATGATTGGAATACAGGTGTCGAGGTAGTTGTGTGATGTAGTAGAATATCAAGGGATGCAATTTTCAAAATTTATATAGTTGTTTCCGGGCCACGCTTAGTCGCTCACTTCCGTATACAGGCTCTCACCTACTCCAAAGCTGAGGAAGTATCAGTAAAGTCAGTACTGCTACCGTACTAGCTAGACTGTCGATCTGGTAGGAGTAAGCAGTAGAATTATAGTCTCATCGCCCTTGGTCGCTCCGCTAACGCACGCGCATCCCTTTCTGAACAGATATCACGGTACCCTTGCCGAATCCGGCCTAAAACCGTGGTTTTCGACCCTGACCGACCAGTCCAAAGACCCTGAAGGGATAAATCGAACACCTTCACAATTTAGCGTTGGCATCATTCCTTGACACAAATGATGCTTGCCAAAGCCTCGTACGTCAGCGCTAGCCTGCATGGCAGTTGCCGGTACCTGATCTGCATCATCGCGAGACCTCATCTGAACCTCAGCTCAACCACCCTCTTCACCACACGACGTAAAATACGCGCTTTGGCACAGTGACTTCATCCCTTATTTCCTCATCTCTTCATGCCGCCTCATGTATTCCGTCTGAACTCGTCTTACCCCGCAACCTCTCCCGAAAGCCACCGATTTTTACCCCGCAACGTCGTCTTGGCACGCCTCTGGATTTTTGCCCGATACCTTTTGTAAGCCACACACGCTGTACCCCGCAGTACCTCATGTACTCTAGAGTAAGCCTCTTGACCATAACTACTCCCGAAGCCATGTAGTGTTGACTTGGCAGACCCAAGAAAAGGAAAAACTCCTTGAATATTCCCTAGGACCGTCCAAGAAAACTCCGCAGCGATCAAATTGTCCAGACCGTGTCGGCCAGTGGATTTTCCGCACCAGTATCAGATAGCAAACAAACAGGATACTAGAGAAGCGCATAGAAACCACTTCCAGTATAGCAGCAGTAAAATTTTCTGTGTGCCAGCATCGGAAGTTTCCACAATGAGAACCCCCGCTGGAGCAGAACGCTAGCTTTTACCGAGATCGAGACGCTGGAAGAGCCGCGGAGACGGCTAACCCGCCGCTGGTAAAGAGGTGAAGCGACGCGGTCAGATAGTGCGGGGATCTGGCTTGCAAATTGGGATCCACGGATCTCTGTGCCTTCAATGTGCAGGATGCAAAAAACTCGAAGTCGAAGCCCGTCATGAGGTGCGGAAGAGCAACCTCATTACCGCTTCCAGGACTAAGCATCAGCGCCCTGCCGAAGATCTGTAAGAGCAAGTGTTTGGACAGGGTTGCAGCTGCAACCTCCCATACAGTAGCAGTGCTTCAACGCCATCAGAAAGAATTGAGGGCGGCATAACCGCTGTCAGGCGAGTAATGGACTGGCCAGGCACCGTGGACCTTCGGCCGAAGGCTGCGAGCAATTCCCAACTGGACATCCGTGAGGAGGGAACGTCATGCAAGGCCATATCTGCAGCACAAGCATGACGCCACCAGCAAAATGAGCGTCCTTTGGAGCTTACCCCCAAGACGACAGTAAGGACATCTCCGCGATAGCCTCTACGCCGTGCACCATGGTTACCGCTGCGTCAATCCGAGACACCAAACGCCTGTGCGCTTGGCTTACCGGGCCCGGAACGGCCCAGGAAGTATCCAGTTCGCCGGGTCTGCTCCGAGGCCGTTGTTGAACGTAGCCAATAAAGACGCACGAGTATGACTTCTCTGGCCGGTGGTGGCGTTTAGCGGGGTAGAGTACAGTCAGCAAACTACGTACTCTCACGCGGCTGAACCAGTTTAGTTAGGCATACAGGATAGAGCTCTCGACTCCTGCAAGGAAGTTGTCATTTTACCGCCATGGTCTGACCGAGGAATGGCGGTTTGCCCGTGAGATCAGCGCGATTTCACAGACGACTGACCGCAAGAAAGTCTGTCGGCGAGAGGCGCTGCCTTGGATCTCGATCTCTCTCTCTCGCCCGATAGAGCAGATATGGAGATCTCATAATCTCAGATACTACGTACCTGCCAATACCGAGCCAAGGACGACATGGACATCGCGCACGCACTGTCAGCGGTGAACGAGGCGTCGCGCGGGCAGAAAATACGTCTGAATTACGTCTTCTTCCGTGCTGGCAACCGCGCAGACGTCCGCCCCGAAGAGGTGAGCGAAGTGACGCCGCTGTGGTGAAGTCCTTTCTTGAGCGAGGGATGTCGTTGCCGCATGCCGTACCTGATTTTCGGCAGGACGAGGCAACCAGTTTTCTTGACCCTGAAGCTTGACTGGACCCACAGTGCTCCACATTCAGGCTTCGGAACTGCTCCCGAACAACAACGTTCACCCACTCAACACCACATGCTACGAGGACCATCTGGATGAGATACCTGAAGACTGTAGCGAAACGCGCATGTGAGTTTCCGGGTCCCAAGGGGCGTGGATCCCTCCGCTTCCGCCGACGCGTCTGCGAAACGAGAAACCACGACAACCATCACACGACGTCAACGCTCTCATCAAACTCGCAGCAAAAGAAACGCGATACTCAAAGTGCATGAAGCAGCGTTGACAGGGTGACAGCGCGCATGGCTCGGGTTTCGTTGCCCCTCGAGTTGCCGAGCAACGCGTTGCAAAAACATGCAACAACATGCACGAATCCTGGCACCACAACAACTCCCGCATCTTGAACCACTCACCCACTATCACCATGCTCTCAGCAACTCCTTCGCACTCGTTTCCCTCACGGCGACCGTCGGTCGCTGCTGGAGCCACGCACCCCTCGACGAGAACACAGACCCGACCGATCGCTCGCTCGTCACGACGACCGGCCTACGCGCGACCGACAGCCTCTTTCGAGAACAGACGCACCGCCCAGAAGCCGCCCTCGACCACGATCTGCCCTCACCGAAGCGATCGACCCCCTCGAGCAAGGCCATCCCCCTCCCGCACGGCTCCCCCGCTAAACACGACGACCGACGGCGGCGTCCCTGAAACGGATGCGACACACACAAACCGCCTTTGGAAACGCGTCATGACGACACGAGGCCGCGGCAACAACGTCATCAACACTGTGCCCGGACGCGCCACCCGGCCGACGGCCGCCTGGCAGGCCAAAATGAAGGGCGGGCCTGGCGCGGCGTCGTCGACAAGCAGCAAGGACAGCGGCATCGGGAACAGCGGCAGGACGAGGCTCGACACCGGGACCGCAAGCAGGACAAGGGCCAAGAGCTCGAGAGCCAGCTCGGCGTCGCGATCCACGACGACGACAACTACGGCGGCGACGACAACGACAACGCTGCCAGCGGCAAAGCTCAGCGACGGTGACTTCGAGGCGCAGGTGCTGAATCCGCGCGGCATCTCGATCGACGCGGAAGCCAAGTCAGTCACGCCCTTCTACCACTTCGGCACCGTCCCGCCGTCCGACGTCGAGTTCTACCGACAGCTACCGGGCCTCGCGGAGTCGAAGCTGTGGCTGGATCCCGACGATACCTCGTTCGTGACGGACGTGGTGCGCGAGTACGCCAGCATGCGGAACTACAAGCTGTGCGAAGCCGAATTTGCTGCCTATGCGACTGAAACACTGTTGAAGCGGGAGATACGAAATCCGTCACTGCCGGAAAGCCGGACGTGGTGGGCGGAGCGGTTGGTGCAGCTCACGGCAAGGCCGGACAAGGCATGGGCGGCACCACCGTTCCTCGACGACGGGAGCGCGCCGGTGCCGCGCAAGGCGTATGCGTTCGTGATGCGGCCCGACTGCGCGTACTGGATCAGCCTCCAAGCGTTCAACCCAGACTATCGCAAGCGCGTCAAGGAGTACGTGTCGGTGCGGCTCGACCGGATCCTGTGTCCGTATCTGAGCATCGAGTTCAAGAAGGACGACACGAGTGTGGGACATGCGCGCAACCAGGTCGCCGCCGCGGCGAGCATCGCGCTGTACAACCGGTGGCGCGTACGAGCAGCCAAGGTCACGGCGGCGAGGCAGCGCTGGAGCGAGCGATACACGACTGCTCTGCGCCATTACGGCCTCACATTCACGGGCGACCAGTTCGAGGTGTGGTGCGTGACAGCGATGGTCGATGAGGCGTCCGGCGAGTGGAAGGGCTGCTGCATGCGCAGACTGTGGCAGGACGCATTCGACACGCCAGGCGGAGTGCGCATGTTTGTGAGCTGGAGCAACGAGATTCATCGGTGGGGGCTGGCGGTGCATGGGCCAGCGTGCGAGAGGGACATCAAGGTGTGCATGCGCAGCACGCCGGGAGCGGACCGGACATCGTTGGATGGGGAGGAGTTTGAGTCGGAGGGGGAGTAGTGGAGAGGGAGAGGGGGCTCAAAAAAGGCGTTTCTGTCTACCAGAGTGGTTTTTCCTTGGGGTGTCACGTGGGGTAAACGGGTTGGGTTTAGAGGGCTGACGGCGAACTGCGAAGGAGTTTCTGGAAGGTAGCAGCAGCGCACATTAATCGAAACAGGTCTTGCAAGGGAGACTTGCAGACGATGAATCCCGTCGGCGATGTCGGGGGAGATAAGATTAGATGCGCCTTGCCCGACTCGTCATTCCGTGGAACAAACATCGACTTCCGGGGAAGCGTCGACATCTCCTTATCGACGCGTCATTTTAGCCCTTCCACGGGCGCTGTTTGACGCCTCGCCCTTTTCCAGAGCAACCTTAACTGGTTTAAGCACCATCACGGTCCAAGCCACAGCCGCTTGTTTCACTGTAAGACTACATGCTGTCTCTACTCTCATGCCGCGTCTTGGCTGCCACTATAGCATGGCTCTCTTTTGGAGCGATAACAACACGTACCACTCGCTAGCCATGGGCTGGTAAAACAGTATATATACTGCGGCAACATGGTTGCTCAATGCCTCTTCAGCCTCTCGCTTCCTTCCGATCCTTTCGTTTGATACATTCGCTACATTGACAGCCATGCGTCAATCTTCCCGCACGGCCATCGCTGCCCTTGCAGCGGCCTCTGCTGCCAACGCCGCGTCCCTCACCGACCTCTGCACCGTCGACAACATCCAGTCTGCCCTTCCCGCTAACGGCACCCTCCTCGGCATCGACCTGCTCCCGGACACTGTCTCGGCCAACGCCGTCTACAATGCCACCACTGCTCCCTCGATGATGTCCTCTAGCGGCTCTGACTCGAACACCTACAACTACTGCAACGTCTCGGTCTCGTACACGCACACTGGCAAGAACGACCGCGTCGTCCTGCTCTACGCTTTCCCGGCCCCCGCCGACTTCAAGAACCGTTTCTACCTCGGCGGCGGCGGCGGTTTCTCCCTCAGCAGCGACACTACCGGCGGTTTCAAATATGGCGCCGTCTCCGGTGCTACCGACGCCGGCTACGACGCCTTCAACAACAGCTACGACGAGGTAGTGCTGTACGGCAACGGCTCTATCAACTGGGATGCCACGCACATGTTCGGCTACCAGGCCTTGGGCGAGCTGACCCAGGTCGGTAAGGCCATGACCAAGGGTCTCTACTCCACGGGCGACAAGAAGATCTACACTTACTTCGAAGGCTGTTCTGACGGTGGCCGTGAGGCCATGAGCCAGGTCCAGCGCTGGGGTGAGGAGTACGATGGTATCGTTGCTGGCGCGCCGGCTTTCAGATATGCCCAGCAGCAAGTCGTACGTTAGCCGGCTTCCTCTTGTTTATCAAACGAGTTCCGTACTGACAAAATTCCCGCAGAACCACGTCTTTTCCTCGGCTGTTGAACACACGCTGGACTACTACCCGCCTCCTTGCGAGCTCTCCAAGATTGTGAACATGACGATCGCGGCCTGCGACCCGCTCGACGGGCGCACCGACGGCGTCATCTCCCGCTCGGATCTCTGTCAGCTCAACTTCAACATGAACAGCACCATCGGCGAGCCCTACTACTGCGCGGCCAAGAACAGCACATCGCTGGGATTCGGATTCGGCAAGCGCGCTTTGACTTCGGGCTCGAGCACCAGCTACACGCCCGCGCAAAACGGAACTATCTCGGCCAAGGGTGTCGCGGTGGCGCAGGCCATCGTTGACGGCTTGCACAGCAGCGAGGGCAAGCGCGCCTACCTGTCCTGGCAGATTGGGTCATCGTACGGCGACACTGCGACGACGTGGGATGAGGACAGCAAGAGCTGGCAGCTCAGCATCCCGTCGACTGGCGGCGAGTACGTGACCAAGTTTGTGCAGCTGGTGGACGTGGACAACCTCACGACCATGGATGGCGTGACTTACGACACGCTGATTTCGTGGATGGAGACAGCCATGGTGCGCTACGGCGACACGCTGCAGACGACGGAGCCCGACATCTCGGCGTTCAAGGCGCACGGCGGTAAGCTGCTGCACTACCACGGCGAGAGCGACAACTCGATCCCCGCGGCCAGCTCGGTGCGGTACTTTGACAGCGTGCGCCAAATCATGCACCCCGGCAAGGGCTACAACGAGTCAGTCGAGGCCATGGGCGACTGGTACCGCTTCTTCCTCGTCCCCGGCGCGGCGCACTGCAGCTCCAACTCGCTGCAGCCCAACGGGCCTTTCCCCCAGACAAACATGCAGACCGTCATCGACTGGGTGGAGAACGGCGTCACGCCGCAGCGCCTGAACGCCAGTGTCACCGCCGGCCCGTACAAGGGCGAGACGCAGATGCTGTGCTCGTGGCCGGAGCGCCCGCTCTGGACCAAGGGTAACGCCAACGGCACCCAGTTTGAGTGCGTGTATGACCAGGAGAGCATTGACAGCTGGACGTACACTTTTGATGCGTTCAAGGTCCCGGTTTACTAGTGGAGGTGAGATGCCTGGGTGAGGAAGCTGTGTGGGAGAGGGTGTGAGAGAGGTTGTTTTTTCTTGTGTATGATGGATGCTTATGTAGATAGGTGTGTATATGAGTTTCGTACATCTCGGGTATTGCTTGCGAGGACCTATTTGCATGTGATTCGAAGCTGTTTTGGATTGCATCACGTAAGGCGGAGGCCCGGGAGGGACGGGGCCACCCCCCACATAAAGCGGTGACGCTCGAAGGATGGCGGAGGACCCACCTCCCGTAAGGCGGATCCCGGGGAGCCCCACGCAGAGTAAGACGGAAATAATGCGGGGATTATGGACGTACTGTCTATCCGCTCAGCCTCTCACGTCAGCACGTTGGAAGAAGGCACGCTCAGGAACAATGTTGTGGTTGAGGTACAAGACAGAATTAACACCCAAAATCTACAATCTACCACAGCCCAACCACCACCCCAAACAGCCATCTCCAAAACCTACGCCACCCGCCTTACCCCCCTCGCCTCAAACAACAGCACCCGTCCAACAACGCGCCACCGAACCGTCTCAAACGCCTCCTCCAACGGCCCCACAAACCCCTCCACATCATCCCCCCAATTATCAAACACCCCCACCGCATTATGCCACCACATCAAAAACCGCCCAAACGCATTCTGCTCGACGCCCTTGCCCAGAATCGTCGCCCCGAACAACACCCCCCGCTCCGCCTCCAGCAACTGCCGCCCCACCCGCACCAGCGCCGCCGCTTTCCGCGCCGTCGGCCCCGGCAAACAATGCAGCAGCAGCATAACAGAGATGGCGTCGAACTTCTCGCCGCCCCGCGTCACTTCCGCGGCCTGTAGGCCCCGCCGCGCAAGAAAGTCGCCTTTCGCCGTGCGCACCGCGAGCCCGGGGTGCGCCTTGCGCGCCCGCCCGCCCGCTTCGTCCAGGCAGTGCGGGTTCAGGTCCACGAGGACCAGCTCGTTGACGTTGGGGAGCGTCGCGCGCGCGGGGAAATAGCCCGTGCCGACGCCGATGTCGAGGACGCGGCGCGCGGGCGAGGCGTGGGCCTGGAAGAAGGGGAGCAGTATGCTGCGTGTGGGGCAGCACCAGGCGAGTGCCATGTACAGCCCGAGCACCAGGTGGTCGTAGATGAAGCGTAGCAGGAGCGGGCTGTAGACTGCGGCGCCGGCGGAGGTGTCGGAGAGTGTGCCCCGGTCGGCTTTGTCTTTGATGGTGAACATGGTGCGCTGCGGGCTGTGGATCGTGGCCTCTTTCTTGGTGGTGGGGGCTTGAAATGAGAGAGCTGTGCCGCGTGCCGTCGTCGGCTTGGGCTTGTCAATGGATGGTTTCGCTGAGCAAAAACGAGCAAGTAACTAGAATCAGCAGGCAGAACAACAGCAGCGCGTGCTTTTATCTTTATTCCCATCCACGGGGGTTCATCTAATCATAAGTCATCGCTGCGGCTGAGCGCCGTTTGTGCTTCTTGCATTGCAGAATGCAGGATAGGATCGCGCCCGTGGTGGGGCACATGCAGCTGCCTACCAGCCAGGTCCCGCTTACACATGCATGCATGCATGGCGGTAGAGGTGGGTTTTGTCAGCACGCGGCCGCCCTACGCCGTGTGTAACTAGGTATCCTGGCTAGGTATCGGCCTTGGCGGCTTACGTGTTTGTGAGACTTCAACACTTTCTGTTTTGGGAAGACGGTTCTTTTTTTTAGGAAGGGGAGAGCAGCGCTCTTCGGAAGCTGCAGATTTGTACTTGCTTTTTTAGTTCTAGGCGGTTGAGGGTTTGTAGACTTTTACAAGTTTTGAATGAATGCTTTTGAGTTATTGCTTTGTTTTCATTTTCAATTCGGCGAGTATAAGGTAGAGATCATTACTACAGTGACATAGAGAAAAGGAAGGATTTCTCTTTATAGGACTGTTTGCTAATAAGCGATTATATTGTCTTACCAAGACTATACCTCGATACGCTTAAATAAAAACCAGGAACTTGAACATACTGGTAATAGGATGTAAAGATAGCTATAGAGATAAAGCAAGATAAAGCGAGACTCAGAAATTTAGAGTTTAGGAAGTTAAATACAGACGTCGAAAATGAGCTCTTCCCTGTCTATACAAGTATAAAGAGCCGGCTGTATACTACCAACATAAAAGTAACGCTCTAAACATATACCCACAAGCACTGAAAAACGGCCATATCACATAAACGATCGTACTCCCAAAGCAGATTCTACTTTCCATTTTACCCTTTCCCAAATACCAAAAACTAAAAAGAGTAGAACAAACAAACCCACCCGCCCCGTAACTATACCAGCAACACAGCACCCCACCCCAGCAGAGGCAAGCCGCAACCATAGACCCCGCGCCTCTAAGCCCGCGCTTACGTCTTCTGCTGCTGCTGCGGATTATGGAACGCCCTGCGCCTCTATAATCCTAAAAGTTAGCCGGCTGGACTAGGCTAAGCGTCTTGCCGTGTATGCATGCATGCGCACTCAGTCACTCACCTTGAGGAAGAAAGACGCTACCAGCGCAACCGCCGCAGCGGCATATGCAGGGATGAAGCTGGACCAGACGGCCTGTCAGCGCGCTATAATCTATTATATACACGAGTCCGGCTCGTGCTCGCGGATCATCAAGGCAGGTAGGTAGGTATATACGTACACTTTGCGCAGGCTGTGCACGACGGCGGCCAGCACGCGCGGCCGCAGCGCTTCCGGCACGCTTTGGATGGCGGTCGAGGACGTGCCTGGATGGTGGTTTTGCTGTCAGCTACGTACCTAGGCGGTGGGGGAGGGGGGGCGCTTCGCTTTGCGTTTAGAGCAAGTGAAGTGCAGTGAAGCTTACCGCTGATGATGGACCGGATGCCGGCGTCGGACGTAGCGGGCAGCAGCGCGCCGACAGCGGCCGTGGCGTCGTTGATGAAGACGGCCCCCGAGATTGCTAGCCCGAGGTTGATGCCTATGAATTGCGCTGGTGTGTCCGGTCAGCAGGATTCGCTGGAAGCGGGCTGCGGGCGGGACATGTGTGATGCCTGGCTGGTTTGGCTTTGTGCCGCTGACTCACCGAGCATCATGAACCTAGACAGTTTGCCGGTTAGAGAGTCTTTAAATAAAAGCTTACGTGGGGTGGAGTGGGCTTCTTACGCGATGGCGTTTGATGTGTCCGCTTGCGGGACGACGGTTTGGATCGTCGCGTACCCTGCCTGGTGATAGTTGTTAATTTGCGTTGGATTAGAGGAGGAGGGATGTCCATGTCGACGATACCTGGATGAACGCGCCACTTCCGATTGCAACCAGTACCTCATAACCGTATATGTCACTAGTGTTGGTTCCGATGTCGATACGTGCTGTGGATGGAGGGATACTGTTAGAAAGCAAGCAGACCCGAGACCCGGAACGATAGAGGCACGTACAAAGGAGCACGTTCCCAGCCAGTGCTAGAGCAGCGCCGGCAAGGTACCAGGGCTGATAGTAGCCCAGCTTCCCCATGAGATAGCCGTTTGCTATGATGGTGGCGCTCAAAAGGGTGATGAGGGGGAGCAGGCGCACCGCGGCCTCGAGGGCGTTGTCGCCCCGGGAAAACTGGAAATAGATCGGGATGTAGTAGACGGGGATGAAGCCGGCGGCATTGGAGCATGCGGCACAGATAAAGAGGAGGTTCGCCTCGACGTTGCGCAGCAGGTGGCACGGAAACATGCGCTCCGCCCTCGTCGTCAGCCAGGCAAACTTCTGCTGCACGCCGAAAAGGACGAACAGCAGCGCGGCCACGACGAACAGCGCCACGATGCTGCCGCTGTCCCACGCATACAAGGCGCCGCCGAAATTGATGGCCAGGACGAGGCACAGGACGGCTCCGATGGATAGCGCGGCGCCGAGAAGGTCAAAGGAGGCGGCTCGCTCGAGGAAGCCGACGGTTTTGGGCTGCGGGTCAAAGGGCGGCAGCAGGAAGAGGTAGACGGGCGAGCAGACGCCGCCGATGATGAGGTTGATGTAAAAGGCCCACCGCCAGTCGACCTTGTCGAAGGCGCCCCCGATGACCGGGCCAAGCACTGTGCCGACGCCCCAGAGGAGCCCGACCAGGCTGAGGTAGGCCGGGCGCTCGTGGTCCTCGGTGTAGACGGAAAGCAAGGTCAAGATGCCGCAGTAAATGCCGTTCCCGGCCATGCCCAGGAACACACGGCCGACAATCATGGCCGACATGGTGGGAGCGGCGCCGCAGAGGGCCGACGAGGCCAGGAAGGCGACGAGGGAGATGATGTAGAGCGTCTTGGCGTTGTACTTTGCGTATAGCTTGCCTAGGGGCAGGACGGTGACGATGCTGCCGACCATAAAGCCGACCGACAGCCATGGCAGGAGGGGCACGCTGTCAAAGTCATTGACGATGGATGGGACGAGGTCGGCGGTGATGGTGCCGTCGAGCGAGTAGATGAACATGCTGGACAGCACGGCGACGACGACGAGCACCCACTGGGGCGAGTAAGCAGGTGGCAGTACTGACTGAGTGGCAGTGAGACACTTACCCGGGCGCCTCGGAGGGTGCGCTGGCCGGCTTGGGTGGGGGCCTTCTCGACGTCCGTGTGATTTGAGGCAGGCGTCGAGGAAATTTCTGGCGTTTTCATTGCGGCCATGGTGATGATGATGGTGATAGGTAATAGAGTTAGAGAGAGTGTGTTGGCAATACACGGCATTCACGCGTCTTTTGAACGCGGCGACAATGGGAGTATAGTAAGCACATAGTAATCAATCATGTGGAGGCGTATAGGTGTGTAGGTAGATAGGTGTGTAGGTAGACGAAAAGTATGTTTGTAAGAGTAAGCATGTCGAAGCAGATAAGCGAAAAAAAAGAAAAAGAAAAAGAAGAAAAAAAAAAAGGAAAAAAAAAAAAAGAAAAAAGAAAAGAAAAAAGCGAAAAAGAAAGCGGAGGTGTTGCATCAGCCGCGGCGGGGGACAAAGACCATGTCTAGGTTGGTCTGCTTGGTGAACCAGTGGCCCAGCACCTTCCACTCCTGCTCCGGGTGGGCCAGGGCAAAGTCAAACTTGAGCATCAGCGCCGGCACCAGCTTGACCAGCTCCATCATGGATATGTTGCGTCCGATGCACACGCGCGGGCCAGCACCAAACTGTAGCCATGTTAGCAGGTTATGTTAGGCATGATGCTACTGTGCTGTACTCACCGACATGTTGCAGCGCCTCATCTCGCGCAAGCGCTGATCGTCCTCATCGAACTCCAGCCACCGCTCCGGCCGAAACGCCTCGGCATCAGCCCCGTAAACTTGGTTGTTGGCGTGCATGACCCAGGAGTTGATGCCGACAATGGTGCCACCCGGCACGCGCCGCCCGCTCAGCTCGACGCCTCCCGCCGGCACCTCGCGCTCCAGCACGAAGCCCGTGGCGGCGTGGGCCCGCAGCGCCTCGGCAATGACGGCCTGCAGGTATGGCAGCCGCGTCGCGTCGCCGTACCGCACCGGCTGCGACAGCGCCCCTGCCGCTACCGCCCCGTCCATCTCCTGCTGCAGCTTCTTGTACGCGCCCCCGTTGCGGCAGAGGAAGTACAGGATGGCCCGCAGCCCGATGGCCGTGCTGTCCGATCCTGCTATCAGGTTCGTCGTCGTCAGCCCGATGATCTCGCTGAAGCTCAGCTTGCCCGACTGCTCCAGCAGCCGCGCCAGCAGGTCTCGCCGGGGCTCCTTCTGCCCGCCCTCGAGCCGCTGCGCAATCATCTTGATCGCAAACTGCCTATGCGTCTCAGCGCACTGTCTCAGAAGGTGGTGGCGGGGGTGGGGGACGCACGTTCTGGACCTCGTTGCTGCTCTCCAGCGGCAGGATGCGGTGCACCAGCGGATTGCCCAACAGCAGCTTATGCAGCCACGGCGCCTGCCCGATAATGGACAGATAAGCGAGCAGGCCGTCGATGGTGCCAATGCTGTTCCCCACGTCGCTCCCGGTGCGCAGGAAGCCCAGGTCCTGCGAGAAGTTGATCTGGCCCAGCGCGTCAAACGCAAAGTACTGCGCCCAGGTTCCAATGTCAAAGGCCCGTTTGCCGCTCTCGCCAACCTCTTCGATCCGCTGCAGGAAGAGCTCAATCACCGGCTGCACCTGGGGCTCCAGCTCGCTGAGCGCCGTCATCGAATATGCGTTCACCGACGCCCGCTTCAGATGCGCGTGGTACTTCTCGGACCGCGTCGTGAACAGGTTCGCGACCAGCTTGCCCTTGTACAGAGCCTCGACGATTGGGTAAAAGGCCGTCTGTAAATCGTCCACGTGTCGGCCACTGCATGCCCGCTCTCCTGATGGGTTCACGTACCTTGCTGTAGATCGGCTTGAACCCGTATATGATGGGCAGTGCCGCCGGGTCGTCGACCGAGATCATGTTGGGTCCGATCCTGACCAGGGCACCGTACCGGCGGTGGAGCGCTATGTTCCGCTTTGGCATGTCCGCGTGCCATGCAGCATTCATCTTCCATAGGTTGCTGACACTGGCGACCCAGGGCCCGGGAATGTGGGACAGGCCGGTAAAGTATCGCGTGTACACGGCGTAGCCAACCACAAGAAGCGGCAACCAGATGTACAGCTTCGCCATAACTTCGAGGACGGAGAGAAACGAGGTATTCATGGCGTGTAGACTTGGTGCTCGAGATCTAAGAGGGGGAGAGGCTGGCGATTGGAAATTTTCGAGAGCGAAACATGCGTATTTTAAACCCCTCTCGGACGCGCACTGCAGCGAAGCCGTTTTCCATTCACTGTGTTCATGACCAACCACCACGGAGGTCGGAGACTCCCGTCTCTGCCCAGAAGCAACTTTCAGCTGAGTAGGTATCAGTTGCTTTTGGATTTTGTGTTCTTCATGCTTTTCATACCTTCTACCTGTGCCACTCATATCAGACAATTGTGGCTGTTGGCCAGATCTATACTTTCCACAAAGGCGCTCGAAAAACGTGCAGCCACAGAGTCGGCTTGCTATAAGCCACATGTCACCGAAAAGCATCACTTAGGCGTGCCATCATTACCGTGGCGGCTTACTCGCAGCTTAAGCATGAATAGTAAACGGTTTGATTTCTAATACGTTTCGTGCCTGTAGTTGTACCGCCTTGAAAGTTAAAATGCATCAACTGCCCCGACTTGGCTCATCTCGCCTTTAGCTACCCGGAAAGTATCCATCCTGCGTTATTGTCCTACCTATACCAAATCATGTCCGACTCCGCGCCATCCTCAGACCCCTACCGCAAGACCAGTCTTGTACCCTATGTCGATCCTGCCACGGCGCCGCCAGCCGTAGCCGAGAAGCTCAAGGTCCTCCCCTTCCGGCGGAACATCTTCCTTCTGCTCGGCCACTCGCAGGGCCTCTTTCCGCACCTGATGGGCGTCATTGGCGGGTGTTTCGACGGGAAAGCACGCACGGTGCAGCTGCTCGACTGGGTAAGTAACCACCTGCGGTTTCCAGTTAAGCACAGCAGAACTCCGCGCCTTGCACTCACTGGTCGGTAAGCGGCTAGCTAACGCCCCGCGCCCCCTTCCAGCAGCTGATAGTGCTGCGCACGGCGACGACGCTGGGCGCCCCTTACGAATACGACGTCAACCTCCCCGTCGCAGAAGCCTACGCCATGGACCCCGCCAAGATCGCCGCCATGGCCTGCACCGCCGAGAGCGTCCGCGCCGGCGACGGGCCGTGGAGCGCGCGCGACCGCGTCCTCCTCCGCGTCGTCGACGAGCAGCTGGCTACGTACACCAACGAGCCGCAGACTATCGCCGACGCGCTGGAGCTGCTTAGCAACGCGGAGCTGGTCGAGACGCTCATTATTCTCGGCACTTATGCCCTCATTGCCCGCGTTATTCGCGGATTGAAGATTGATGACGATCAGCCTGTTCGTCCAGATGGCCTGATCGAGATGCTAAAGAAATCGGTTACGCCGACTGTGCCGCATTAGTTGGTTGGTTCTTGAGCGCTGCAATTGGCTGTAATGCTCTGGTTGGGTTTGCTGGCTTGCGGGATGCGGTGTTTCTGGGATGTTCGAGAGCCGTATTGAGTATTGACAATGACAACGCTGTCAGGACCTGGCCTTACTCTTTTGTTTCTGTTCCTTAAACGACTGATATGTTTGCTTTTATTGCCCTTTACACGTTTCCTTTCAAGTAATATATCATGTTACCTTTGCGTCACCATTTCTAACCGTGATTATATCGTCATCGACCTGCCCTGGCACCATGATGCTTTAACACCGCAGTTGGCTCACTTCCCGACGGAAAGGCATGTATAGTATATAAGTGGAAAGTAATTTAAGGGTTGGCATTATTGAAATACGCTCAGAACACTATCTGCGGAGTTGCGAACAAAGAACGACAGCAGACAAACCAAACAACAACGTATCCATAATTTAGTGTTTGAACACAAGAATCTGCTTCCTTTGGCCCAGCGCAGCATCCTGAGCACGCTTGATAGCAGAAACGACCTTGGCCTCCGCAGCAGCGCCGTCACTGACCTCCCAATCGACGCGGGAAAGGCCTAGGGTGGGCAGCTGGAGCAGGCCGCGATTGAAGAGGCCAACGAACCAGTCGCATAAGTCGGCTTGCTGCTGCGGAGAGCGTAGGGCGAGCTGCACAGTGCCGCGGAAGGCCTTTATGGTCAAGTTGCGCCCGAATACGTCCGAGGCATCAAGCGACAGCTGCGCCTGGGCGCCTGAGAGGAATCCGAGCTGCACGTACGTGCCTCCTGGAGCCAGCGCCTTGACGAGAGCCTGGCCTGATGCGCCAAAGACAGAGTCTAGAGCCAACATGATGGGGCGGGCCTGCAGCTGGGCCAGGCCATCGGGCGTGGCAACCTCAGCTTCGGTGAGGACGAGGTCGACGCCCAGCTCTCGGAGCGCCTGCTTGACCACCGCCTCCTCGCGACCTGGCCGGTCCCGGATGATGTTGACGACGTACAAGCCGCGCATGCGCGCAAACTGCACCACCATCTGCGCCACTGCTGACGTTCCCGCGTTCTGCATGATCCAGGCCCCTGGCCGGAGCGTCGCCATGTCTTCGACCAAGCAGTATGCCGGCGCCACAGTCACCCGCAGGATAGCCGCAAAGGCGAGGTCCGCGGGTGTCTCGCCGAGTTTCTGAAGCGACAATGCCGGCAGCACTGCCGCCGTGCGCCAGGTTCCCACGCCGAACTTTGCCGGAATCACCTTGTCGCCCGGCCTCAGCTGGTCGACGTCCGGTCCGCATTTGATGACCTCGCCCACGCCGTCGTATCCAATGATCGCCTCGCCGTTGAGATGGTGTGAGGGCTTGACCGGGTAGACCTCTGAGAGCACCAGCATGTCTAGTGGGTTGATTGGTGCTACCAGGAACCGGACGGTAACTTCGGCAGGACCGGGAGGGCCGACATTCTCGTGGATACGGAAAGTCGCCGAGCCTTTGCTGGCTTTCGTGATAAGCTGAGACATGATATGGAAAGTTTGCGAAAAAGTGTGTGGGAGGAGTAAGGTTGCTGGTGGTGCTGTCAGATTGATAAAGGCGTTCTTTGTCTTAAATATTCCAGCTGCCAAGCAACCAAGCAATCATTGCTTTTAGGAGAGACAATCATGTCTTTCATCTCAGGCTTCTAAAAATAAACTTGACTTGTTCTGTCTCGCGAAGGTTCTTTTTTGCCAAAGCCGCCCAAAAACAACACCAGCAGGTCTGACCATTCACCGGTCCCCGTATCCGATGTGTTGCCGCTTTGTTACATACTGCTTAGACGGGCCAGACCGTGTCGGGCGCGGAATATTCCGTAGAGAAGAGGCTCAGGTTGTCATCTTCTCGCTTCGAGCAGCATCGTGAATTTCAGCTGAAGGGATTCTGTGGAAGGCTGGACCTAACTCAACAGCTCGAGAAGGGCGTGGATCGTACGATAGGCCATCATGAGACACCAAAATCAAAGGCTTAACGAACTAAGCAAGGTGGGCAAGGGAAACCGTCCGTCCCTTCATCGTGAGGGGTGATGGATGTGATTCTTGGTGGAGCATCAGGAAATAAATAAATAGTGATGCATCACGGCTCTTATCCTGAAGCACCGCACCGATCATCATCAAGACAGAAGATACTCTATCTTTCTACCATCCAGCCCGCCGCCCAAACAATGGTGTTTCAAAGCCATCACGTCCTCGGCCGAGAGGCCGCTCAAATCATCGAAGAGCTGACGAAGGCCACCGAAGACCGCAGGTCGGAGCTTGTTCACGGGTTGATTGAAGCTCAGTGCAAGAAGCACCCGGAACGCATTGCCATCCAGTTCGAGGATACATCGCAGCTCACTTATGAGCAACTCAACGAGGTGGCCAATGCCGTGGCGAGGCAACTAGTTTGCGGTCGCGGCGCAATCATACCAATCCTGACCCAGAGATCCATCCACATGGTCATTGCTCTTCTGGCAGTCATGAAGACAGGTTCCGCCTACGTACTGCTCTCTCCTGATGCCCCGGTCTTTCGAAACCGCTTTATTGTAGACGACGTCAAAGCCCCTTTCGTGCTGGTGGACGACACGACGCGTGGGATCCTTGGCCATTCCACCGAGATCCTGGTCGAAACCATGGTCTCCGCAGCAGCGGAGGCACCGCTGAAGCATTTCAGGAACCTCAACCTGTACCAAAGCCCTTCAGACGTTGCTTATGTTATCTACACCTCGGGCACAACCGGACAACCCAAAGGCGTGCTGTTGTCTCATTCTGCAGCCACTACGGGCATTACTGCCATGCCAATTTCCAGTTTCACAGAGCCTACCCGTCAGTTGCTCTGTCATTCTCCCAGCTTCAGTGCCGCGCAGCGCAGTATTCTGGGCTGCCTCTGCCGCGGAAACACTTTGTGCTTGGCAAGCAAGGACAATATTACCGTGGGCCTTTTCGAAACCATCCTTCGCATGAATATTGGCTCCCTGGAAATCACACCAAGCATATTAAGGCTGTATGCCCCAGACATGCTTCCGAAGAGCGTCAAAAAGATCATCCTCGGAGGCGAGCCAGTCGGACCTGCTATTGTCGAAGCGTGGGCGAGCAAGGTTGAGCTTATCAGTGCCTATGGGCTCAGTGAATGTACTCAGGTACGTTTCATCTGGTTGTACCGAGAAGACCCTTCTCGGGACTAACTTGCAATAGCTGAACATGAGATACCATCTCACCCCCGGAAGCTCGCCTTCGCTTCTCAGCATGCCGACCGACAGTAAGTATAACTCTGGAAATTCCTGTAAAACTTAAATAGCTTTGCTGACGAACCATTTCTTCTAAGGCACAACTTGCTATGTCTTGACTCCCAACTCCATCAGCCCTGTCCCGGCAAATGTCCCCGGCGAGCTGTGTCTTGGGGGAAACCAGCTGGCTAAAGGATATCTCAACCTGGAGGCAAAGACCCTTAAAGCTTTCATTAAGAATCCCTTCGGGTCAGGCCGACTATACCGCACAGGCGACATGGTGGTATTTCGAGACGACGGGTCGATGGAGCTCATCGGACGCATTGATCAACAGACCAAGATCAACGGCCAGCGCGTTGAGCCAAACGAGTCTAACTTTTACATTCAGCTCCAGCAGGGCGTCGTACAGTCGTGCGTGGTATCAGCCGACGTGCTGGGCCGAAACGCTCTGGTTGCACTGATTGTCTCGGACCAGAGTAATGCCTGGCCTTCTCTCGTGCACGACATTCGCACCGCGCTCCGCGGGCACATTCCTTCATACGCAATTCCCAGTTACTGGGTCGAGCAGGACGAGCTGCCGCTGACACCTACCGGGAAGGTGGACATTGCTAGTCTGGTCCGGAGCGTCCAATCGCTAAGTGAAAAGGAGCTGATTACACCTACGTCTTCCGTGGGCTCGACTCCGTCTTCTTGGGCAGCAGCAGCTGATATGTTCGAATTCAAGCTCTTGGAAGCCGTTGCAGCAGCTCTTTCGCTCAGTCAAGCCTCTGTCGATATGAACGCGTCATTCCAAGAACTCGGAGGCTCCTCTTTGGACGCAATCATCCTAGCCACCAAGTTGAGAGCCATGGGCATGAACGCCTCAGTTCCAGACATCTTGCAAGCCGAGTCACTGCACCAGATAAGCTCTGAGCAGCAGACTGTAGTCCAAGAGGAAATCCCTGCTCCGTTCTCCTTACTCCCGGAGGGAGCTTCTTCAAGTCTCCCTGAAGGGCTTGAGGATGCGTATCCTGTCACTCCGCTACAAGAAGGCCTGATTACAGACACTATCATGGGGAACGCCAATTATGTGTACCGTAGGGTGTACCAGATCCAGGGCGTCACACCGGCCCAGGTACGTAGCGCTCTGGAGGTCGTCATTGCCCAAAACACTATCTTTCGGACGACCTTCAGTTCTTTCAAACGCGGCTTCGTACAACATGTGCACCCGAAGGTTGACCTTCCGTGGACGACGGTCAATGGAGTTGGCTTGGAACGCGCTCTTCAGAACATGGCAGAGCAAGCCCTAGACCTGGACGGACCGCTTGTTCGGGCAGCGGTGCTAGATAACGAACTGCTCGTGCTTGAAATGCACCACGCCTTGTTTGATTTCTGGTCCAGCCAGTTCCTTGTCACGGATGCTATAGCGGTTATAAGAGGTGAACAGCCTGCCGTACGACCGCCCTTCAGCGCATACGTCGCTTTTGTCAAGAGACACGAGAACAAGTCTGGAGCGCAGGATTTCTGGCAGACGTACCTCGACTCAAGCCCAGGCGCTATTCTGAACCTTCCTGCGTCGGACTCAGGCCCTTTTGTGCTGAGAGCAGGTTTTGGTGATGCATTGCAGCGCTTGAGCAAAGCGGCAGCCGTCACCCTGGCCACTGCCGTCCACGCAGCGTGGGCCATGACTCTGGCCAAGTACTTAGAGTCGGAAGACGTCACGTTCCTATCAGCATTCTCTGGTCGCGATGCCAACGTTGACGGTATTCTTTCTCTGAATGGTCCGACGCTGTGTAACGTCCCCATCCGGATAGCGGTGCCCAGATCTACGACTTTCACAAAACATGCGAAGCTCACGCAGAACAACTTGTGGAATCTGTCACGTTACGCGCATTCAGGGCTCCGAGCTGCTCTGTCCGTAGCATCTCTCAAGCCGGATTTTGCCAATACCATGGTGAACGTATTGACAGCCACCCATGTTCCCGTCAAAGACGGACCGCTCGTGCCGCTGAACGCGGAAACAGAGAACTTTACACAGTGAGAGAACCTCCTTATCGTGAACTAGCTTGTACTAACAGCCGTAATAGGTACATAACACTGGAATTGAACGAAGTTGATCCGACTCGTGTCAAACTTCTTGTTCCAGCTTCTGTGGATCGTGCCAGCGCTGCAGGTATTCTGCAAACATTCGCGGCTACGGTTCAGAATGCAGCCGTAAATCCAGATGCATTTATAGGCGAATTGCAGGATCTTGAGCCTGCGCCTTTATTCGGCCTCTCCCATGCTGCTTTTGAAGAGCACGCCGCCACCAATCCTCTAAAGATCGCTATTATCGAGAGCAACGGGAAACACTGGACCTACGAAGAGCTAAATTGCAAGGCCAACAATTTTGCCAGGGCCCTTATACAGCAAGGAGCCAAGCACGGAGAAATAATTCCGCTTTACATGGACAAGTCGGCATACACGCTTGTAGCAATTCTCGGCATCATGAAAGCGGGTGCAGCATTCACGCCCCTCGACCCACAGAATCCACGCGACAGAAACTCATTCATCATAAAAGATGTGGACGCAGTCCGCATCGTGACGGATGCCCGCAACTGCCACGCGTGCAGCTTCTTCGGCCTGAATATCATAGTTATGGAAGAGACGGCCCTTGATAATGGTGGAGGGCAGCTTGTCGCAGTCCCGGAACTGACCCCTGACAGTACCGCATACGCTATATTCACTTCGGGCTCGACCGGGCTGCCAAAGGGCGTCCTGGTTTCACACCGCTCTGTGACGGCTTCTACCGAAGGCATGATCGAAGCGACCGGAGTAACTGGGGAATGGGTATCTCTCTGGGCTCTGAACTACGTGTTCGATGCGTCGTATTACGACGTGTTCACCATACTCTCCACAGGTGCTACCCTCTGCGTAGCCTCGCAAGATGACATTCTTTCCGATCTGGCAGGCCAGATCAACCAGATGAATGTCGAGCAAGTCATGCTCACACCGACTATTGTAAAGCTCATCAGTGGAGGTGCAGCCGAGGTCCCGCGCTTGAAGGTTCTGAATGTCTGCGGAGAGAAGATTGACACGAACATACTTGAATGGGCTAAGCACTTAACTGTGTACAACGGGTTTGTCTATTACTAATTTCTTTGAAATTTCAGGCTGATTTTCAATGCAGGTATGGCCCCACCGAAGCCACCATCTTGATGACTGTGTCGCAAGTCATGCCCGACGGAGATTTGAACAGCATCGGACTACCACTAAAACACGCCACTGCCGTTATTCTGCCTTCCAGTGGAGAAAGCCTAGAGAGGGTCCCCGATGGACAGATTGGCGAGTTGTGTGTGCGTGGGCCGCATTTGGCGAAAGGGTACTTGAACCGGGCAGAACAAACTCGTTCTGTCTTCATCCGCGACTTTGATGGAGAGATGCTTTACAGGACTGGCGATATTGCGCGGTGGGCAGAAGACGGAACGTTGATGTAAGTCCCTGTTTCTCAAGATTTTCCCTCACTTGCTAAGCCAGTGTTTTTCGTCTCATAGTTGCCTCGGCCGAAAGGATTATCAGGTCAAGCTCAACGGTTTCCGCATTGAGCTCGGTGAGATCGAGAATGCCATCCTCCATACAGGTTGTGTAGATGCTGCTATTGTCTCGGTGGCAGAAATCAGGGGCAAAAGACAACTGGTGGCTTTCTGCATCTTCAAAGGGGACCATGATCCCGATAGGCAGAGCCTGATTCCGCCGGAAAACAGGCTACAGACCTTCAACGAAGTCATGGAGAATCTAACGACGATATCTCACTATATGATACCGTCTGTGTTCCTGCCTTTCGCATCCTTTCCAACACTCTCATCCGGAAAGGCAAACAGAAAAAAGCTTATTGCGATAGCCGAGGGGATGCCAAAAAACGAGCTTGCCCGATACTCTCTGCAAACTGAGAACACAAAATCTTTTCAACCGGTGTCGACAACCGAAGAGCGCATCTTACAGGAAGCCTGGATGGTAGTTCTAGACCAACCATCCGACTCCATCGGAGCTCACTCATCATTCCTTGCCATGGGTGGAGACTCGATTGCCGCTATCAACGTCGCAGCCGAATGTCGACGGAGGTCATACAAAATAGCGGTCTCTCAAGTGCTAGCATGTCCAACGCTAGGCGAACAAGCAAAGCACGTGGAGTGGATTACCCAAAAGAAGGAAACCGCTAGACTCGGATACACTATTCCGGAGGCGGTTCTGTCGGCTGTACAAGAGGCCGGCTGTGAGGACAGTATCGAGGACATCTATCCTTGCGGACCAGGACAAACCGAGTTCCTCACTCAGGGACACAAGAAGCACCAGTTCTGGAACTTGACTGCATGCCGGGAACTCCCAAGCGACTTTGACCTCGGCTTATGGAGAGAGGTTACTACGCAACTAACAGCTCGAAACCAAATCCTCCGAACGTTCTATTGCCTCGCCGACGAACACGATGTTTCTTCGTGGTATCAGGTAAGCTATTTTACTCCGCCTAAGCCGATAGCACTGTACTAATGATACATTTAGGTCGTACTCAAAGATCCGATGCTTAACTGGGAGGAGAGACCATACGAATCAGAGTCTGAGAAGGCACGACTGATGGAAGAACTCAGAGACAGCGAGTTTGAACTCGGCAAAGCCCACGTGAAGTACCGTGTGCTTCACTCAATCACGGATGGCTCCCGCACCCTCTGCATCAAGCTTGATCACGCAAGCTACGACGGCACGCTGCTCCGAATCTTTCACGACCAGTTCAGCACTATAGTTCGTGCTGATAGTGAGTTACCTGCTCTCCGTCCGTTTAAAGACTTCGTCGACTGGACTTTTTCGGGAAGCCGGAGCTCCGACCTCGAATACTGGCAGGAAAAACTCTCACCGCACACTCCGGCCGATCACATGTTTCCTGTCCACCCTGCAACCGACCGCCTCCGATTCAGCCCCCTGCACGCTGACGTAGATGGTATCGCTAGCAAGTTCGGCGTTACAGCCTCTACTGTCTTGCAAGCAGTATACGCCATCGTTGCCGGCCAGCTCATGCGCTCTCGGGACGTCGTCATTGACAATTTAATCACGGGCCGGAATGCCGACGTTGAGGACCCTCAGCTACTCAACGGCACGTGTGCCAATTTCTTACCGCTACGCACACTTCTTCCGGCGAGCGATAGCCCCTGTGTGAGTGTGGCGGCCTTCTTGGCTGACACCCAGGCTTCCTTCTGGGAGGCCTCCGAGCATGGCAGAGTTGGCCTAGGTGATATCTACAATCACATGGGGCGCGACCGTCTTGTGCATGCGGCTAAGCTACTGTTCTGCTTTCAACCCTTTGATCCGACCCCAGCAGGTTCCAAGCCGAACCCCATGAACTGGCTCGTTATGGCTCAAAGCAAGGTATTTATGGTTGTCAATTATGCTCTCATGGTCGAGGTGCAGAGGACACTTGATGGCTACCGCCTCAAGCTACAGTGGGATAGTAGCGGATTGAGTGATGAGCAACTAAGTCTCATTGTCGGGCATTTTAACCGCATCTTGGAAGAACTTCTGCGCGGGGACCGCGATGAGCTGTCAGTGAATGACGTTATCGTTTCTGTGGCCAACATATAAACGCAACACGATTGGAGGAAGCAAGACATTGTAGTTGAGGCTATAAAATATCAAGGTCATCAAGAATTCGCCTCGTGGAGCGCCTTTGTCTTGACTCTAGTAGTGTTTGCGTACGAAGTGTTGTAAAAAGCAATACCAGCATCCTTAAATACCCTCACCTGACTTGGTATTCCAAATGTCATCCACGACAAGATCCCTTGTTGCCACACACTATCGTCATTCGTACTCACCTTAAGGTGGATCCCTCATGGTATGCAAAAGGTGGCGTATCGAAAATATCCCGAGTCTCGTATAATCAATAGCAGCTGAACAAACTCAATAACTCGTATATGTTGGTGGCTGAGCCGCGTGCCATGGTGATAAACTGAGGCTGAGCATCGCAAGGAGTCGATCCGTTTGTTCAGGTGGAATATTGAACGGAAGCGCTCGGAGAGCTCAGGTAGGCCACTGAAAATTGATTTATTGACCTTCATATAAAAAGCGAGGAGTTTGCAGGAACGTTCTACTTTGACATGCGCAGACATCTCCAGACTACCACCAGTTCTTTTCCACAAATTTTTGTGAACATGAACGCCTTAAAAGCTATTACTCTTCTCTTCGCCGCCGGTATATGGGTTCATGCCGATGCAAGGCCAACAGATTACTTTAGCGCGACGGATCCGCTGTTTGGATCCTCGTTTGGCATTCCAGGCAACCAAACGTTTGACTATGTCATTGTTGGTGGTGGCACGGCTGGTAAGAACTCTTGCTGGAATGGAATGGACGTGGTGTATTTAGTTAATGGTTTTATGTGACTGAGCAGGTCTTGCGCTTGCTAATAGGCTTTCCCAAAATCATGCATGGACAGTGGCCGTAGTAGAGGCTGGCGGCTTCCCCGAGATCGAAAATGGAAACGTCTCCCAGATACCGATATACGGCGCAAGCGGCTCCGATAAGGGGACGGCAAACTTCAATCCGGCAGTAGACTGGGGATTTGTCACGGTGTCTCAGAAAGTATGCATGATTCCGGCTACAATGCATACAATTGTGGTCACTAACGAGAAGGCAGGAGATAAACAACTCTAGAGTCCACTACGCTCGTGGAAAATGTCTCGGTGGATCTTCTGCTCGGAATTACATGGCCTACCAACGCGGTTCTGTCGACTCCTACAACCAATGGGCATCCCTAGTTGGCGACGAGTCGTATCGCTGGTCGTCTTTCCTACCGTATCTTCAGAAGAGCGTTTCCTTCCATGCACCAGACCCACTTAAGCGAGCCGCGAATGCGACGCCTCAGTACGACTTGCGCAGCATTGGTCAGAAAGGCGAAGTGTCACTCACATTCTCCAATTATGCTCAAGCCATCTCCTCCTGGGTACAGAAGGGATTGGCTGAGATGGGCATTAGACCTGTGGCTGGCTTTACGAGTGGGCGCCTTCTCGGCTCCTCTTACGTCCTGCAGACCATCCAGAAGTCCCAAGTCCGGGAAACATCCGAGACGGCCTTTTTAGCGCCAGCACAACAGCGGGGGAACCTGATCGTCTTCACGCATTCGATGGCGAAGAAAATATTGTTTGACTCGGAAAAAACAGCAACGAGCGTTTTGGTCGACACGGCGGGGAAGACATATACTATTAGCGCTCGCAGGGAGATCGTGCTCTCGGCGGGCGCTTTTCAAAGCCCGCAGCTACTTATGGTATCTGGAGTGGGCCCAAAGCCGACCTTGGACAAGTTTGGAATCTCGGTCGTTGCAGACCGCCCAGGTGTAGGCCAGAATATGTGGGTAAGTGGATGCAGTGCGGCGTTAGTTGTAACCATGTACGGGGTGCTGACGACTATAACAGGATCATGTTTTCTTCGGGCCCAGTTACCGTGTCAAAGTTATAACCAGCTCTGCTCTCAACGACAGGGAATTCGCATCTCGTGCTGCCATTGACTTCAATAAGAGACAAGCTGGAATCATGACGAACTCTGGAGGAGATTTTTTCGGTAAGCATAGGTTTCTTTGAAGAGTAAGGAAGGCAACTAAAAGATAGCAGCTTGGGAGAAGTTGCCCGCGGCTAGTCGTGCGTCCTTCCCAAAAGCCGTGAAAAAATCCTTAGACCGATTCCCAGCAGACTGGCCTGAAGTCGAATATCTTACGGTTGCTGGCTTCCTTGGAGATAACTACGATTATGTGAGATCCACACCAAAGGATAGTTATAACTACGCATCTGTGGTTGCCGCTATTGTGGCGCCTCTTTCGCGAGGAACCGTATCCATCTCGTCTGCCGACGCTGCGGACCCGCCAGTGATCGATCCACACTGGCTGGAAGATCCGGCAGACCAAGCGGTCGCTATCGCTGCGTACAGACGCATTCGTCAACTTTTTAAAACAAAGGCCATGTCCGCGGTACTGATTGGCCCTGAATACTACCCTGGCATCACGCATGGACGACCACAAAGTGATGCGGAGCTGCTAAGTAAGATTAAGAGAGACTTTAACACTGTGTGGCACGCATCATGCACCTGCAAGATGGGAAGAAGTAATGATCCAATGGCTGTAGTAGATTCTCGCGCGCGCGTCATTGGAACAAACAAACTCAGGGTGGTTGACGCGAGCGCATTTGCGATCCTACCACCGGGACATCCCGTCAGCACTATCTGTATGTGTGGACCCCCAAATCGCTAGCTAAGTTGCTAACAAACCTGCAGACGGGCTAGTGGAGAAGATCGCGGAAGACATAAAGAAGAATTAGGGAAGGAGGGTCATGCTTGCAGCTGAGAGTTTGTGTAACGTAGATGCACTCGTTTGTAATACAAGTTCAGCCACTTTTGCGCACGATGAGTGATCACTTCGTTCGATCAGAAACAATAAATTTCCACCGTGACAGCAGTTTTGAGTGATTGTGCGCCACTCTGGCACCTGAATGCACTGGTTCTACTAAACAAAGAAACCCTACGTTGTACAATGCGTGTGGCGTGAATTAGAATGGCGCAGTGCTGTGTAGGAAAACAAAAGATGGTCAGCTTTCAGGTCCCGGAGCGACAATCGAATTTAGCCGTGGCATCGGTTCTAAAGGACTCTGTGCCACCATGGCTCCTGCATGCATCGATTTCGATAAACAAAGAAATTTCGGCTTGCATAGTTTAGGCGATGGGCCATAAATGGAATAGCCTAGTGCTATGGAGAAAAAGAAAAGACAGACAGTTTTTCAGGCCCCGGAACTACGAGCTAATGTCTTAGTTGATTGCTAAGGAAAAAATGTAAATGAAAGGCGTCAGCTCCATTGTTAGCTTACCAATATACGCCCGCAGAAGCAGAATATATAAAGGCTTCATTATGGTCCTGCCTACTACTCACAAACCAACACTTTGTCGATACACAGTAAGGAAAAAGCTCCAAGGCCACCAACATGTCCAAGCCAATTGTTTTGTACTCCCACAAATCGGTAGGGATCAGACTCGTACGAAGCAAACGGCATATTTCTGACAATGATAGGGACCTAACCCGTGGAAAGTCGCTATCCTGCTCGAAGAGCTCGGCGTTTCTTACGAGACAAAGTTCATGGAGTTCCCAGAGCTTAAGAAGGAGCCATATGTGACTCTCAACCCCAACGGACGAGTGCCTGCTATCGAGGACCCCAACAGCGGCATCACCCTCGCTGAGGTACGGCGTCAAACTCGTAACTGTAATAGATTACACAGAAGCTGATTTGTTGACATGGTGCACGTAGTCTGGTGCAATTATTCAGTACCTAATTGAGACGTATGACAAAGAGGGAAAGCTGCACTCGACTTCCGCTCCCGAGAAGTTTCAGGAAATCCAGTGGCTCCACTTCCAGATGTCTGGCCAAGGCCCATATTTCGGCCAGAAGGCGTGGTTCTCTAACTTCCACTCCGAGAAGCTGCCATCGGCCGAAGAACGCTATGCGAACGAAATCAAGCGCGTCTTGGGCGTGATCGATGGTCATCTGTCCAAGCATAAGAGTGAGTACCTTGTTGGTAACAAAGTTTCATACGCCGATCTTTCCTGGGTCACTTGGAACTCCCTGCTCGGTTGGCTGCTGCCTGAGTACGACGCCGCTCAAGACTTTCCTGCTTTCGCCGAGTGGAACAAGAAGCTTATCGCGAGACCGGCCGTTGCTAAGGTTCTAAAGTCCTTCCACGGCCAGTAATCGAAGCCTTGGGGGCGATCCGTTATATGGGTCATTGATTCTATCTGTCTCTACCTTGGGTAGCCATTAGGCAGCAAGGTAGCCGCACAGTTCCTACGAGCGCAGGTCACATTCCTTTAGTGTATACACCCACACAGATAGCTACTCTTGAAATCAGATTGACTTCGACTTTTCAAAAAAGAGCAATTCATTTTCTGTCTAGTCGATATGGAGACGCCAAAGCTCCCTTCCAAATTTTGACGAGTATCCCTCGCGAGTGTGCATCGTCAAAATATTGTCATTGACAAGAACATCTCCCTTCTCCCATGCCTGGTACAGGCACACTCGCCTGTCAAACAGCGCCTTCTCAATCGCCGTCCGGATACGCTCGTCTTCCGTCTCATCTACCTCTTGGATGTGTATCCGCGTCTCCGTGAAACGCGTCCGCGCCTGTGGCCAGTCCTCATGGTAGCGGATGCACGGCGCTCCCGTGATAGGATGGTCAATAACCAAGGGAAGGTCGCCGAAGTGGCTGTTGTCAAAGCTCTCAGTCTTAACCAACCACTTGTGCATCCGCAGCTCCTCTATGGTGTAACCACCTGTTAAGTGCTGGAACAGCAGTGGTGATGTCGCGAAGAGAGTGTGCCCCATGCCGCGCGGACTGGTTGTCACGGCCGTGAACATCTGGAATTTGGGTGGGGTTGACACGCCGTTAATCATCTTGAAGATGCCGTCGTAGTGGAACGGCATTGGCTCCGTAGACAGTACATTGTTAAGACCCCGGGCATCTTCGCCGCCATCCTTAACCTCGAGCAGCTCGCCGAACTTCCATTTCATGATTTCGCCCATCTCACGGCCTTTGGCCATAAAATTCTCGCGGTCGGTGGTCCCGGCCAGGTTGCGCAGAATAACGGGCGAGTTGTACTCAGACAGCGTGCGCACGTTCTGCATGTCCGCGGAAGAGAAGGGTGTGTTTTTAGGGAAGGTGAGAAGCAGACCCATCGGGTAAATATGGTCGATGAAGACGTCATCGGGCCAGGCGTTGTAGAGGGGAGACTTCTCGCGGTAGCACCAGGGGCGATCGTTCTTGTTTATAAGCTCGAGCGAGGTGTTTTCAGCCGCTTCTTGGTGCGAAAGTGGGATGAGCGAGCCGTCAAGGCGACAAGTCATCACCGAGTGCCATGGTGTGATGGGCTTAGAGTGTGCATTTGGGAGCACGGTAATTGATATCTTTGTTGCGGAGTTTGAGGCATGAATCGAAAGTCGTACGGAGTTTGGGAAAGACTCATAGACAGAGGCAGCGTAGCACTATTGAGTGGTCAGTGATTGTGGGCAAAGAGAGTGGAACAGTCGTCACAAACCTTTCCGCGTGCGAGCATCTGCTTTGCAACTTTGGACACCTTTCTTTTGAATGCTTTGCGACTTCCAGTGGAGACATCACTGTCGGACGAGCCGGAGTAGTTGGAGCCGCCGGAAGAGTCTGATGCTTCCCCCGAGGGCTGTCCAAGCTTCCGCAAATCCCGAGAAAGGTACTTCAAATACCCCATGTAAGTAGCCCTGATGCTCTCGTCCGTAGCGATCTCCTTGTTGACATCGTAGTCCCGCTCACTGAAGGTGGCAATCAGCTGATCACGAACCAGCGGAGCAACCTTCTCGTAGCTGGCGCTGTCGGTGTATTCCAGCAAGCCGGAGGGCAGTTTCGTTCTTAGCGATGGCATCATCGAGAGACGAGCGAAGTGAATGGAAGTGCAGTCCAACTTGATGGCCATCTGGCGAAGATGCTCGCCATACTCCCACACAGTGGAGTCAGGGACACCGACCAGATCTTAAATCCGTTAGCAATCTGTTTCAGTGTACACTTGAGACGTTTACTCACCACTGTAGACGATTCCATCCGAGACGATAGTGAGTTCCGCTCCAGGCGCATAGGTGTCTTTAATGTTATCGCAGAGACCTTGGAGATACTTCAAAGACACCTCCTCAGCCTTGTCTGGTAGTACTCCCAGGACCTTGTCTTCGGTGTTGGGTGACTTGAAGGGAAATGCAGGCAGTGTGAGAGACACAGGTTGCCGCTTCTCAACGGCTCGCTGGATGATTGGAAGGAATTTTTTTCTGGTTTGCGGAATGATTTTGGGGTCGAACGGTGAGGCTCTCAGACGATATGACTCGATGACTGAGAGAACATCATCGGCAATCTGAGTATGAGAGCGCTTGGAGGCGGCTACTGCGTGGATTGACATTTTCGAAGGAATTTGACTGAGTGAGAAGGTGAGAGAGAGCTTGATTGTTTGCAGTTGCTCGAGTTTAAAAGAGAGACATAAGAGCCGTGATGTTACGGGCGACGAGATCCTGTGATGGTAGTGTCTGTATTTATGGTCACCGACTCTTGCGACTTCATGCAGATACCACTTTCATTTCATCCATGGTTTTTGCCGCTCTCAAGACGGTGGAGCCAACAAATCAGGGGATCCTCGTCTACTGCAACGCCAGTCGAATTCTCTTGCTGGAGCCTCTTACCACACCGTTCGACATGGGATAAAGCGGCCTCTATCGGCACACGCCGACTCATGCATCAGGTAGCGCTCATGCGTGTTTCCACATATCACACGTGAGGATCCCCGCCGTAATGGCAGCTCGAATGATTAGGGGAGCTTTCTAATCAGGCCGTAAGCAATTCTTGGGGGGCGCAAGCGTTATGCGACGCCATGGACCGACTAGCGGCCCGGAAATAGCTTAGGCATCTCGGCAGGTTTAAACAAGCCGTGATCAAAAAATTCAAGGAAGACCGGCTGTAACGGCTTGGCCTTCGGCAAGCAACCGGGTTGAGGACTAGGTGTCCCGAGACCACGGGGCGGGCGGCAAGAGGGTGTATAGGAGGCATGCCCCGAAGCAGAAGGTCGCTCGGCGGGCCGAAAGAGCCATGTAACTGGGCGCGGAATTGATGATTACTAGGCCCCTTCTGCATCATGAGACCCGACGGCAGTACGGCTGATCTCCTGGGGAAGCACGGGTATCGGGCGGCTCCCACGTGCGTGTAGTAGAGGCTTGCCTGATATTGAGGCTTGCCGAGCCGGTGCATGCCACTCCAGGCCTAACCGAGCACTCAGCCTATCATCGGCTGATGGCCCGATCAGGCTCTTTCGGCCGTTTGATGATCGTCGTCGTAGGTGTTTGGTGTAGGTTTTCGGGTCGTGCCGCAGCTGATAAATGGTGTGCGGCAGGATTCCGTCGCTCTGGGGCCCTGGCACCGAGCTTGCGCCGGGCGTGGAGAAACGCGCGGAGAGCGTCATTCCCCTGCACAAGGCATAGACAAGCGAATACGAGCCCATCCCGTCGTTTCACCCTCTGGTCTGGATTGCGACACCATCGCCAGACCTTGCGCTTTGCCAAGTCTCTCCGGCTGGGATGCGTCTCAAACCTCCGCGATGAAGTGACATGACAAGAGATGATCTTATCAGCTTGTCTGCGCTTACCTAGGTGGTTGCCCTATATGTCCTGTTGGGGCAATATCTAAAACCCTGCTCACGCCGCTGCTTGTTATCTTTCACTTCACTTTCATCTCCACCCGCACTCTCGACACGGCTCGCACATTTGAACGCCACAGTACACCGCAACGAAGTCGCCATGACTGTGAAAGAAGTATACGCCGATCTAACCATCGTTGGAAGTAAGAATCCCGCGTTATCACCATGGAGAGCGCATGCACTGATTTACGTTTCCGCAGGCGGTCCTACTGGCCTTACGATCGCTCTACTCGCTCGGAAGTTGGGCCTGTCAGTTTTCATCGCAGGTAAGACTTTTGACAGCCTTACCATCAAGTTTTATTTCTGACGTGAAGCACAGACAAAGCACCTACCTCATTACCCGTCGGTCGCGCAGATGCACTCAATGCAAGAAGTCAGCAGACTTTAGAAGTAGTCGGTGTGCTGGACAAGCTCGAGCCGCGGGGCCTGAAATGCAATAGTGAGTAAAACTGCCGAACAAAATAGTCTACATGCTGATTATCTCCCTAGCAAGCTCAACATTTGCGGATGGCAACTTCGTGTCACGGCAGAACAAATGGTGGGTGTCGTTGCAGAACTGCTACCGACCCAATTTCCTCATGATTGGGCAATCGGACGTCGAAGCAACCATGCACTCGATGCTCGACATCCCTTGTCACTACAACCATGAAGCCCTTGACATTGAAGAGTGCACCATCGACGGCGTAGACCTTGTAAGGACGATATTTGCAGACAAGGTGGTAGTCAGCAAGTACGCCATCGGTGCCGATGGAGCGAGGTCGATGGTACGGAATGTGCTCTCGATCCCCTTCGAAGGTGACAAACCAAACATGAACTGGCACGTTTTGGATACCTTCATCGACACCGACTTTCCTTGTTGCGATGAGATCATCACGTTCCAACTCAACGGTCAAGCGCGTATCTCTTGGATCCCAAGGTAAGATGAAAGCCTCGTAACCGGAACCCACTGTTTAATGAGACGTAATTGCTGACACTTGGCAAAAAAGAGAGCGTGGCATGGCACGTTTCTACACACTTTTGGAAGACAATTCGCGCGCCGACCAAGCTCGCATCGAGGACGAAATCCGCAAGTTTCTGGCGCCGCACCGCGTTGACTTCAAACGCACGGAATGGTTTAGCATCTTCGAGATCAAGGAGCGTGTCGCAAAAACTTACTTCTCGCCCAAGCAGCGCATCATCTTGGCCGGTGATGCGGCTCACATTCATGCCGTCAACGGTGGTCAAGGCCTCAACACCGGTCAGGCCGATGCTTTTGCCCTGGCATGGAGATTGGCGCTGGCGGTTCGTGGTGGGTGGCACAGCGTGCTGCAGAGCTACGAGGATGAGCGACTAGCTACAGCCAAGGGCGTCATTGACGTCGCGGCAAAACTGGTGAGGAGCACGGTCAAGACGGCGGCTGAGTACGTCGAGCTGATTGAGAAAAATGCAAACTACATCACCGGTGAGTCTGATCAGCCTGATATAGGCAGCAACAAGAAGTGCTGACGTGGTTATGCTAGGTATGGGTGTAACGTACGATGCCAACACGCCGGTAGTACAAGGCTCGCCAGCGGGCATATTTGTACCGGGCCATCGCGCACCTGACATCTACCTCCACGCTGACGAGAGCGACGTTGAAGGCACGCGGCTGTATCAAATGGTTTCCTACGGGAAGTTCCTGGTATTCTCATTGCGAGGTCAGGCATGGTGCCCTCCTGAAGCGCCATGGGCGGAGTGGGTCGAGACTTGGGATGTGTCGAGCAAGGCTAAGCTTAATCGCAACGCAGTGCGGAGGTTCGCGAGGCTTAGCAGCGTGGGTGTTACTAAAGATACGCCTGTTGAGATCGGCAATGCTGATTTTGTCGTGATTCGGCCGGATATGTACGTCGGATATGCGGGCAGCGATTTACAAGGTTACTTTGACAGGGTGTTTGCCTCGTAGGAGAAGAATAAAATGAACGCGACAACTATGATTACTTATAGTGATCATCCGAACCTAAATTTTCTCCTAAATAATTTAAATGAATGCACGGTGATAGGAATGATGTAGGTTTGATTTGCGCTAAATCTGAAAGACCTCGTCTCATCTATACTATTCCTCTCTACCCCTCAAGCAAAGATTTCAACACATCAGATGGCGATCGCATCGATACACCAAGATCCAGAATCTCCTTGCTTGTAGTAACAGCCCCACACTTGCCCTCCCACGCCGTCTCAGGTGCATACCGAATAGAAGTGATAACGTTCTTTGAATCCTGGGTCGTAGCACCCATGTGGTCAATGAACGACATGTCCTTGTATATCACATCCTCCATCTTGACCCCAATATACCCCTCGACCATCTTTACAATCTGTTTCCCAGAAATATCTTCAGGCCCGTTCAAAACATACCTCGACTTGTTGTGCACATTAGGGTCATTGACAAGCAGGAGGCGTGCAGCAATGACACCGATATCATCTGGATTGATAATGGCGACAGGAGCATCCTCCGATGCCATCAATCTCAAAGTATCCAGCTTCCCCTCCTTGCGATACTTTTTGATGAGCTCGGCGGCCGAGGCGAGGTAAAGGGGAGCAAATATGTTGGGCTGCAGTGACGTCCATTGCAAGTTACTGAATTCCGGCGAGCTCAGCATAGACTCGATGGCCCAATGCGAGCGAGGGTAGTAAGCCTTGCAATCGGGACGAACGTTGGCAGCCGTAGTTGAGATCCTCACGACATATTTGACGCCGGCGTGCAGGGCTGCTAGGTGGAATGTTGATTCTTCAGCGAATTGGTTGGGCTGGTTGTGTGGCGCGATGAATGCTCGCACGACCTCTTGCTCGCGGAGCCAGTCGGAAGTGATTTCAACCCAGTTGTGTTCTATGACCGTGATTCCAGGCAATCTAGCCAGTTGTTGTGCTGTTGGATTGTCCTTGGAGCGTGTGAGGGCGAGGACTCGGTGGTTGGGAAATTCTGAATTGGCTTGGAGCTGGCTGGAGAGTGTTCGGACGACCGTTCGGCCCGTGTTGCCGGTAGCACCAACGACGAGGATGGCAGGGGCCATGATGGGAGTGAAATGTACGAGTAGATGAAAACAGGTGAAGATGTGCGGTGGTGAAAAGAGAATGGCTGGTGTTAAATATCAATCTTTACTCTTTTATGCGCCACGGCCGGACGAAAGCAGGGCGGCGGGTGAGAGGTGATTGGTAATCCTTTGTTGCCTTATTTTGGCCGAGGACACTACAAAGGGTTAGAGTTTGGTTGGGTGGCCCTAGCTCTTGGATAAGGACTACTCACTACAGTGCACGACCCGGCTAACGGCAGAAGCAGGACGCTAGCATGCTGCGTAATTCGACCATATTCATCCGTGATTCGTCCCTCTTTAGTAATCCAGGATTTAACGGGGCTTGAGAATAACGAAGTAGACTCGTCTTCCCTCCGCTTTTTCTCTGCTGTCCCATATATTCCTCCCTCGCTCGCCCTCTTCCTACGCCGCCCTATCTCCCCTCCCATACCACACCTGCCTCTATCTCGCCCTCCGGCAACGAAATGAAAGCAGTGTGACTCATCAGCACCGGCAGCCAGGCCAGCCCGGAGCTGCGCAACGAGCCTATCCCTCAGGCCGGCCCCTACGACGTCGTCGTCCAGGTACACGCAGCAGCACTCAACTTCCGCGACCAGGCCATGCTCAGCGGCGCCTACGGTGCTACCGGCTCCAACAACGTCCCCCTATCCGATGGTGCCGGCGAGGTGATTGCAGTCGGAGGGCAAGTCACACGCGTCCAGGTTGGTGATCGAGTCGTCGCCCATTGCTTCGAGCACTGGATCGGCGGCCCCTTTATGCCCGAGTTTTAATCCCGCAGCCTCGGCCACAGCATCGATGGCATGCTAGCCGAGTACGTGCGCCTACACGAGAATGTCCTGATCATCCTTCCCGCTGGCATGTCTTATGTGGATGCGGCATCGCTGCCCTGCGCCGCCGTCACCGCCTGGACGTCGCTCAATATCGCTCGGCCGCTACAACCAGGACAGACGGTGCTGGTCCAGGGCACCGATTGATTGATTGATTGATTGATTCGTTTTACGTCTATATGCAGTTGGAAACTATGACGGACGGTCCATTTAGGACTGGCTAGGGGGTTTAAATACAAGATAAAAGCGAGGGGGTGCGAGGGATAGTTGGATCTAGGCCGAGGTAATAAAAACGAAGGAAAGAAACGGGTTTTTAGAGAAGATAAAATAGAAAGGAGTGGATCGGAATTGTAGGAGTTTTACTCCCCCTCGGGAAGGTCGTTAAGGCGCTATTTCCGCGTAGCTATCCTCGTTTGTTTAAGGAATTCTAGCGTAGCTAGGATTCCTAGTCCGGTAAGTACCTCTTGAAAACTAGGGTTATTTGTCTCGAGGGTATCCTTTAGAGCTCTCCTAGGAGAGTTATAGAGAGGATACCTTAGGAGGAGATGTCTAGGGATTTGTTTAGCGGGTCTACACGTGCAGAGATCTATCTCGGAGTGAGAAAATCTATGTAAATAGGACTAAAAGTATCTGTGTCCTATTTTTAATTAGTAAAGAGTAGACTGTATCTCTCTCTCGTATAAGAGAGGTTTAAGTCTCTACTTTATCGTCTAATTAAACGTGTTGATATAGGAGGAGGAGGAGGCTTTACTCGCTTCTTTTATAGCTTTATCCTTCCACTCGTCTACTATTATTCTCCTAACATCCATCCGATAGGATACATAGCTAGAAGTAGTAGTAGAGGGAGGGACTTTAGTAGCGTATTTAGTATAGAAGTCTACCTTCTCGTTTCCTTCTATCCTAGTGTGGCCTGGGACCTATTCTAAGGTAATAGAATTTCCTCTAGATTTTAGCGTTTAAGCTGCTTTTAACGCTCGAATTTAACACGCTTGTCTAGGATTCCCGGAGGGGGTTTTTAGCCTATAGAGTGCGGCCTGGTTGTCCGTAAAGACTCGGATATCCCGTAAGGAGTACTGGTTTATAACTACGAGTTTTAGGGCTATTGTAATAGCTTCTAGCTCTCTGTTGTAAACTAGTTGGTTCGGCCCTATGTTTTTAATAATTTAAAGGGTTTCTCCTGGGGATTAGCTGCCTTTATCTACTAGAACGCCTATGCTAACTCCTTTATCCTTTGGGATAGAGCTGGCGTCGGTGTAGATAGTGATAAGGTTTAGGGAGGAATTCTTTAGGAAGGAAGTATATTGTTTAGCTTCTTCTTCCTTAGATAGACTAGAGATCTTAACGTGGTATGGGGTTTCCTTTTACTATAGCGAAAAGTAGAAGGGTTCTAACTCCTCGTTGAGAACGGGGAGGGTTTAGTTTAAGAACTCCTTTAGTCTTTCCGCGTGAGTGCTAGGGGGTCTCTCTAAATTATCTAGTTCTACCCTACTAAGCATCTGCTTAATAGGGTGGTCGTTGGTAAGTTTTAACGTTCTTAGTGCGTAATTCCGGAAATTAGCATTTAAACGTACGTCCGGGGGTGGGATCGCGGCTTCTAGTTCTAGAGTAGTTATT